ATGATCGTTAGGGCCTCGTTTCGGCCAAGTTCGTATCCTCTTTTCTCGAGACGTTCTGCGATGATCAGACTGCCAGACGCTAGTCTCAATTCAAATTTAGCATAACTTTCACAGGGTAGTGCATTCATGACGAAGTGTGTCGGAGTAGGAAAAACGAAGCTGGACAGATCAGCGCCAATTTTCAGGAGCCAAATGAGTGCATCGGGCAAGACATGTGCCACAGCGAAATGTAGCTGCCGGGTTGTCTTGCCCTTATCTAGAATATAAATTTTCACCGAGTTGTTTTTTTCACTTTTCTTGCAAATAGTGAGCAGAGGAGTCGACCCTTCCTCGTTAGACGAATTCAGGCCAGCTCCTCTTTGCAGCGAATCGGACGCCTTTTCTTTGTCGTACTTCAGAGCCAAATGTTGCGTCGTGTCAGCTGTTTTCGATACGCGGCATTTGTTCCCGTTGAATCCGTCATAAATTTTAATAAGCTCACGGATCACATCATCTTCGATGAAGAACTCGTATTTAGTTGCACGATGCAACAGTGGTTTGCTGTCTTCATCAACTTTGTAGCTAACGTGGACCACGAACTTGACGAATACTTTCCCTGCGCGTTCGATAATATCCGAGTCTTCTTCATTCACGTAACATATGGAGTCCGAGAGTAGCGAATCAATCTCTTCCTTTCGAAAAATTTTCCAGAGATCGGGAAGTAGGTCTTGCCAATTTTTCATTGAGTTATAAAGTCGACGGAGAAATTTGCTTCGCTCTTTTTTGATCTCCCATTTGACGTTTTTTCCTAAGCTCTTCAATTTTTTAAATCTCTTAATGGATCTATCTTTGGACGACATATTTGTACTGTTCGGTGCACTCGCATACAGTAGCTTGAATAATATTTTTTAATTTCTTTCTGCGAGGATCACTAGCTACGGTCGACACGAACTTTCTGTGATGGCGCTACGGCTTTATAACGGGCACTGTGCTGAACGATTAAGCCCGATTCTTTCAAATAATTTCAATAAATGTAAACACACGTATCACACAATACAAAAACGATATTTGAACGTGTTGACAAACGCTTGGTATCATTTTTCTGACGAATATGTATTATGTTGAAGATGACACTTAAGTACTTGGGCCTGTACATGGGCCCGAATAATTTTACTAGTTGCTGCCTCGAGAATCAAATCCTTCTTTTTTTTCATCTCTTACCTCGTGAGCACTCGTGTACGGCCTTCTGTGCGATCCTTTTTGAATAAAACAATTTTTTATTTAGCTAATATTTTCACATATGAAAATGAGAAATAGCTCTTCAATGTATTGTAGTGAATGTACTATGGTGCAGTGGCTCTTTTTTCGTTTTCAGTTCCAAAAGTCAGGCTCATTTAATCGCGGTGAAATCGATAATTTTTTGGCTTTGCTTTTCTACCAATTTAATAATACAGCACTGAAAAATTGGGTCAAATTCGCTAATCTTGGTTTTTGTTTTTCTCTCTCCCTCACTCTCTCTGTTTTCTTCGAGCAGCACAACTCGGTAATGCGTATACACAAGCTCGCGCAGAGCTGCATTTAATAAGTGGCACAGTTTTCAATATGCATACATGCTTCCATCGCCGCACGATATATACACGTGTTTCTCTAATGCAGCTTCCAGGTGAAAGTTTTCCATTTCATATATACATCCGAGATTTTCATTATAATTATACATACAGCGCGGAGGGCACTCGTTTGCGAATTATTGTGGACCGCGGAGTAAACTTTGTTTTGATTTTATTCTTTATTTATCTCAGCGCGCGATCGCGCTACGCTGAAATTATCATCTCAACTCGATGGAGTCCCCGCGACGTCGTTTTAATTTTGAAAAAAGTTGAAATTACTTTAGCGGCAAAACCGCATACCGCTCGAGTGTAAACACCGCACAGTCGCTCGCGTGCGCACGAGAAAAAGTCGCGCACTCGCTGCGTGCGCGTTTAAGTAGTCCAGTAGGATGCACTCGATGCGTTTACACTATAATACCAGAGAGACAGAAAATAAAAGTCATTTAGACGCGTGCTTACACGTGCACACGAGTGTTCTTATTTATATACTTACACGCGCGTATGCAAAAGGAAAGAAAGAGAAAGAAAAGCTCGGTGGCACTCGCGTAGTGCATCCGAGAGAAAGCAAAGTTGCTCGTCGACGTCAATTCGTGGTAGAAATTTAAATTTTTATTTGTAATATTATCAAAAAAAATTGTTGTGGCTCGCATGTAGGCGCGTGTGCGCATGTAATAATCTATTTGCATTTTTCATTGTGATATTATAACGATCGTTGTATTCTAACGTAAGATAGCACTTTATACAAGTGGGTGCGTTTGCGGGCGCGCGCGAAAAAGGGAAAGAAAACCAGAGTAGAAAGAGAGAGAAAAAAACTATAACAACGACGCCAGAGTAAATAATGTGCAGCGTGTCCAGTGATTATGTAGCTGCGCGCCGACGTCGCGTACAGTATATGGAGAGAGATCTATCGCTTTCCGAATTCGCGACTCTTTCGTAGACACGCGTCGACTCGAAGCTCTTTGACTATTATACGTACACAAGTCCTATATAGCGGCGGTGAATAATATACGTAGTATGCACTCCAAACGACGCGATCTTACAAGATTATTATTGTACACATATACGCCCGCATGAAATTTCACGCGCATTGCCCTTCTCTTTCTCTCCCGCGAGCTCTTATGTGTGCACTCGGTGTACATGCATTATCATATTGTCATCTCGTTTTAAATCACTCGCAACGCGTGCGCGTACGTACAAAATTAAAGGTCACGTTTACGATTACGCAATGTCAGCAACGTTATGATTATTATTATTATCATATCGAGCGCTAGAGTCAACAATCGGCTGCATTTTTCTCGGTTAAAAAGACGGAAGCGCTCTCCATTTCTCCGCGCGCGCGCGTGTGTGTATACTATGCTGCAGCGCGCGAAAAACGAGAATGCGACAAGTCGTTATAATGCAACTGTCTATGTATGATATAAAATACCATGGGAAGTCATTTGTGCTTTATACATGCGTGAGTGCCTGCATCGAGGAAGTAAATGACGCGAAAAGCTTCGTCTGTGTATCGTTGCGCTCCTATGACTCTTTGGAATTGTTTCGATTTATCGTTGTATATCGTAATGAATTGTTGCGAAGATGTTGACACGTGCGATCGCGCGAGGATTACCGGACGACGTTGCACCCAGTCTCGACGAGAACTCTTTTTTTTGTCGGCAGAATTAATCCTTCGAGTTTTTGAGAGAACGAAGGAAAAATTAATAGCTGCGCTTTGAGACATCTTCAGAAACGCTGCATACACACATATAGAACTCGAGCGCATGGCGCGCGCGCATCTCCTTAGGAAACATTACCTCGATAGAAGCGCGCGCACAACGAGGATTTATACAAAGTTCAAGGGTGAATAAAACACAAAGCGCAGCAAAATTGGAGTTCGTGCAGCGGGCAAAGCTACGAGCAGTACCTAAGTAATGTATGTGTATAGCTGCGCCCGAGAGTAACAGAGAGAAAAGAGAAAGAAATAATAATGAAATACGGCCTTGCGTTTCGTCGTAGGCTCGACTCTCGGCGTGTTTTTATACACTATAATACGTGTATACATGGCTAAGTCGACGCCGCCGCCTGCGTAAAACAAAACGAGTTAGAGAGAGAGAATTTATTTTACGATTGTCTACAAAAGGATACTTGCAAAAGTTTTTTACTTTTTTATTTTTTACTTTTTTTGAGAAGAAACATGAAAATGTTATAACAAATGACGCGAGGGGCAATTTTAATGATTTTGACTCGGCTTGTTTATATATCTCGACTGCAGATGCTTTCGAGACTCACACATATTCGCGTATCTCTATTTTACCGGAGTTAGGTTTGCGGCACTCGCGCTCGAGTTTGATTCATTCGCGCGCTGACGAAAGCAATTGGCGATTCCGGAAAAATGGATGCACACGCACACACGTATGTGCGCTAAATGGAGGATGCATCATCGCCGCGGGCGATCTTGTTCTTTTTATAATTTTACGTAAGAAGACGAAGAGACTTTTGCAACGATCCTTTTGGCGCAGAAGATTTACGCTGGCCGCCGCTCGTTCGTATTACGCTCCGAGGTGTATTATTGCGACCATCGTAATACGGTTGCGAAACTCATGCGCGCGCGGGCCGAGAATCGCGAGAGAGGCCTGTATAGCGTATGCGATACAACCTATTGCACTCCTACGCGTAGTGTACAAGTCGGTATACGCTTCTATCGAGTCGATACTTTGGATGATAATAAAAAAAGGGTACTTTTGGGTTTTTTTTTCTTGTGGAACGCAGTCGCACAGTGGACATTGACGCGCGATCATCCGAGCTTCTGTCGTAATGAGCTTTGCGTATATATATAATTCTTGGGCTCGACGAGCGCGAAAGAGTTCGGGTCCCGAGAAAGAGAGAGAAAACGAGAGAGGATAATAAAACTGGATTTGCGACAAAAATATTTTGTTCTTGTAAAATTCAAGTGTGCCTGGCGTCGACGCGCGCAGAGAAAGACCGGTTGGCTATAAGATTTATGCTGATGATGCACAATGCGCCACGCTGAACAAAAATCCCGAAGGCTGTGCGCTCTCGATTTATACATATACGATTTCATATGTACAATTTCATGCGAATTTATATGCAAACGATCGGCGCGTATCGGCCAGTTTTTAAGCTAGTATCGCCCGAAATTCAATTGGCGACTCGGCTCGGCGTCAGAAATATTTTTAACTCTCATAAACTTGCATTTAGATCGGAAGTGTGGCGATACAAATGCAGTGCGTCGATTCGATAGAAGGAGCAGTTGAAGATTACTCGGATATCCGTGGGGCGCATTATGTGCACGAGTCGCGACTTCTTCTGACAAAAGAGAGAGATCGATGCTGGATCAGGAAAACAAAGACGATTTATAGAGAACGCAAAGTTTTTCTGTGTATTTTGCACTTATTATTTATTTAGTACTATCGGTAGTTTAAAAATTTTTATTTACAGTTTTAAAATTTATAGTACAAAATTATATAATAATATAAAACATATGTAAAATTGGTCGTCGTTTTCTTTAGGAAAAATATATTAATACTTTGCAGAAAAGTAATATTTCTTTGGTCGACGCTCTTTCGTAAAATTTGAGATATTTCAAGATATCACAGGGAAAATTGTTTCGAAAACGTCTATTTTTACAATTGTAAAATCGTAATTTTTAGGTGATCACGAAAGTTTTACTAATTTTACTCCCTACTCACTTTTATCACTATTTGTTTCACTATTTGTTTCAGCTGGTTCAGTTGTTTCACTTATTTCACTCATTTCGCTCATTTCACTCATTTCACTTATTTGTTCGCTCGAACTCGAGCTCGAAACTCCTACTACAGCAAAAACATCCAACCGCAAAAGCTGTAAACAAAAGCTTAAATTAAAATCTGTTGAGTCAAAATTTACTAATTTTACTGACTAATTTCTTTAGTCAAGACAATAACTATTTATATACAACAGCAACTACTTATAAAATTGTTCAACTTGAACTCTCTGAAATTTAAAGCTCATTGGCTTTTGGACGCAGTGATTGTGTTTTAAAACTTTAGCATCTCATTAAAAATTAAAATTTACATCAATATGTGCAAGATGCAATCAAAGTGATTTTATTAAGAAACTAATTTTAAAAATGAGTAAGCTTTTAATACCGTTCGATTTTGTTCATTTGATGCTGCTGCAACACCTTTGCAATTATTTGCATCATTAATGTTTGCGGCCTTTTCATTAGCTTCAGCGCCAATTCCATCTGCTCGCGATGTTGAAGCGTTACCAGATTGTGCGACGCTATCACTAGTTTTTTTGCATTGATTTACCACGGGCACTTGTTCCTCAGTATTTCGTTTAACCTTTTAAACATAAGAGATTAAATTTAGATTTAGACATAACTCATTCTAACGTTCACGACTGAGAAGTGCATAAATTCAGTACTTACAGAATTTTCAGGACTAGTCTTTGTTGAAGTTTCTACATTTTGAAGTTCGGGCGATTGAATTGCTTGTGACTCGGTCTCTGATGGTCTGTCAGGAGCGTCAGCCATTTTAAGGTTCATGTTATCGAAATTTACTGGCAGTACCGATATATCTTCATTCTATTAGAAATTGATCATTGTGTTAATACATAAAAATACGAAAATCCAATTTCAATTTTTTTTTTTTTAATTGACTTTGCTTACCAACGAGGAACTGTCTTCTGTTCGATTCCCACTTGACATATCCGATTGAACGACTGATGTACCCGATACCGAGCTACTTGAAGCTTCAACAGTTTCCTACAAAATGAATAATTGGAATAAATGCGCGAAAAGAAACGACTCGTTCTGTGAGCTAAAGTGGAAAAAATAAAGGCACTCACTATATTCGATATAGCACATGCTATTAGTTCTCTTGGTGCTGAACGTTTCGGACTTTCATCAGAACTACTTGTCTCCTCTGAAGCTTGCCTTTGATTTGGACAACTTAGAGATCGATCCGTAAGACTTCGGTTAATCTTTTAGAAATAAAACCATAAATCAGCATGTTAAATTAACCAAAGCTATTTGTTAAGCAGAACGAAAAAAAATTTACCCACTTTTCGTTTAGGAGTAGCTGTTATATGTGGCTCCTCCGTTGATGGAGGTGTTAAGCGTTTCAATTTGGGAACAGGACTATTCGTATCATCTTTATTTTTTCTTGGCTCCGAACTACTTTCAGGTGTAGCCATATTTTTGTCAAGCTTTCAGAAATGAAACCATGAGTCGGGATGTTAAAGTAACTAAAGCAATCTGTGAGACGATACGAAAAAAAATATATGATTTACTCACTTTTCTTTTAGGAATACATGTTACTTTTGTTTCCTCTATTGTTGAAAGATTCATTGTCTTTGAGCGTCTTAATTTAAGAACAGGGATCTTTCCGTCAGATGCAGCTTGTCTTGGATCCCAATTATTTTCAGGTGTCACCAGATTATTTTGGTCAAACTTTTAGAAATGAATTATTATTATATGTTAGATTGAACAGCTGAGTCAATAAACTGAGTAAAAAATTACTGACCAATTGTGTTGATAAACCACTCGCACTGTTTCTCGGCGTTGAAGTCACTACGGAATGACCAAAATGACCAGGAAAAATATTTTTTGACTTCGAGGTTGATGGTGTTGCATCCTTTTGGACATGAAACATTACACATTGGCACATTAGAAAAATTTTATGCGTATTTTATCAATGGGATCGTAATCGATGAAAGGGAAAAATTTTAGAGAGCTCGGTTCAGAAAATAAAGCTACATTAATTATGCTAAACTTCTTCATTGCTTCAAAAAAAAAATAATAAAATAATTCCCGATGCTTACAATACCGACCTTTAAACGAGGTATCAAGTTACCTACAGAAAATTTCAGCCGTTCGAGCCCTGATTGTCGTAAAGGCATAATCTATGATAGTCGATCAATGCTCACCTCGTTCGACTCCAGTGACGTCGACCCGGACAACGAGGCTTCATTTTCGCCTTGATTACTTCTCTCATTACCGGTGGCACTACTCTGAAGGGTCACAACTGTACCTGGCGGCAATCGAACGCCCGCAATGATAGTAGGCTCGCTGTTCTCCGTCGGTGGACGCAACGCTCCCTGTGTACATCGATTCGCACGCGAGTGATTACATTTTTAAAATACTTTTTAATCGAGTACGAGAATAATTTAACGGGAAATACGAGAGATAATTAGCTTACGGAAATGGTGCGAATTCTGCGTCTCTCGTCGCCCATTCGATCTGACAGAGTGACCGGTACAACATCCGTGCCAAAAGGATGCAGCCTTTCGCGTGCTCTCCTTATTTCCTCGGGTGTTTGCGAGCCTTTGCCGGGATCATTCGACATTTTGTCCTATTGTTTATTATTTCAACTGTCGATTTTGACCAAACAAAAAACTCACGATGTAATCGAGCCGCTTAAATTCGGATTAATCGTGCCCTGTATCTAACGTGGAACTGGTCTACAATTGAGTTCGATTAGGCACGAACAGGAGAGAGTACGCGACGTAAACAGCTCAGGCGATATTTATTTACGTATCGTAGTCGTACGCGTTATACTTACGTGAATTTTCAAGCATCATCGTGCGATATTGTTCGGAGACTTCGCATTAAATTATATTTATATCCAAGGCAGGATTCGTGTATGAGTTGGTGCATGTGCGGATACTTCGAGGAGGTACACCACCGACCTATGCCTGTGCACCTTTGTGCGCGCATTTCAAATATGTCGCGCTTATCTCGATTTACCATCGCTTCGTACTTAAGCCTCTCTCTCTCTCTCTCTCTCTCTCTATCTCTGTACAAATGCACCCTCCGCATGGCCGAGTCCTCGATGCGCATAGTAGTTTGATTTCAGTTAGACAAAAAAAGTAAATAAATAAAAAGGATAAATCCGGACGACTAGAGAGATGCGAAGAAGAAGCGAAAGAGAAAGAGAGAGAACAGCTGGGATATAAGAGCTTATAATATATACAGGTATATGGAGAGCATGTGTAATAGAGGTGAACGAGCGCAGAATGACCTCAGAAAAGGCCGCGCGCGAGAGTCACACGAGAGAGAGTGAGAGAGAGAGAAAGACCAATGTCCTGGTACACGCGGACGACGCGACTCTGCTCGTGCTTTGCTCGTGCTTTGCTCTCTCACTCTCTCTCTCTCTCTCCTCGCGTACAGTGACCATCTCTTTCTCTCTTTCTTTGCATTCCTCGCCTTCGCATGTATATACGCGCATCATCGTTTCGTGTGTGCCGCGATCGAGCGCACACACGCACACTTTTTGAATTTTTCTATCCACATACACGCCATATTCTACGGCTCATCGAGTCCGATGACGTTTTGCACTTCGAGTTCGCGTTCGATCGATGGAAAACGGATTCGATGGGCGGTCGTCGGACGGGCGAAACTCGGACTCGTTGACTTTTTGCACTTTCATTCGTGACTCGCGTAATTTTTTTTTTTAAGCCCGCAGAGAACAAAACAAAATATTCGAATTATGCGTGGAATTGTGTCGACGACGACGACGACCAAGTTTTGACTCTATATAGGTACCTCGACGAGAGGCTCGACGTATTACTCGAATCACCGACTTTAATAGTTGCCGTATAGGCACATAATTCGCCTCGAGAGAACTGCATCGTGCAAGAAAAAATTAACATACATTGTCTTCTCGAATCCTAACGCGGTAGTACCGGTTTATCGGCGCCAACGAGCTTAATAGTTTAAAATTCTATTTTATTTGCCAATCGCATTTGCGGTTTAAAAAAGAAATAAATGTAACAATAAAATGAAGTAAATAACATTGATTTCTCGTGCTTACGTGACATGGGTACACGCGCACACTCACGCGATAAAAATTTCTTCCCGATCTTCGTGGCTGCTACTTACCGCTTCTGCTGCTCGTCACTCGACCTTTAAAAACATAGCTTCTTGGTACATTTCACACAATCGGCGCATCGGATAAAAATATATATATCGGATACAACCGCGTGGCACATCGTATATTGTTTTACGTAAGTCTTACAAGAAAGAGAAAATGATCTACGCCACGCGTCGAAAAGTGTAGATGCAGTTGTTTGATTCATCGATTTTTATATTATATGCCGAGACATACATTTCACGAACAATGTTAATAAAAGGTTCAAATTCGATCAATACAGATTGAATGTAAATCCAGAAAAATTTAATGAAAACCGATGCTGAATTTTAGTCAAGGTACATTTATGTGGCTCATTTTTTTAGATATACTAAAATGTCATAAATTGTTTTTAATTCAAAAATTTGACAAAAATATTTCATTTTTTACTGAAATTTAAACATTCTAATTGAAAATTGACCTGTTGAGTTGAACGAAAAAAATGTACGAAATTTCAATCAAAATCAAAGCCAGCTTCCACCGCTAGATGGCGAGCACCCTTATATTCACAAAACTGCAAGCGGCAATGTTAAAATAATTGTATAAACACAGTTCAAGAAAGCATTTAATATTTGTAAACATTTGCTATCTCGCTGGATTTTTATTACTTGGTATATATAGGAAATCGCTCCCTATGTTATACAGCCGCTCGATTCTTCAATTCCACGTGCCACGATCAGTAAACAATAAACGCGCTTCGGGTGAAGCACTCGTAAAAGTCCATTACAGGTATATGTATACAAGTCCGCCTAAAAGGAGGGAGGAAGAGGATAAGATTATACGTTATTATAGGCGCTAAAAGGAAAAAATCATACACTCTAATGTTTCGTTTATACATACGCGCGCTCTCTCTCTCTTGGTATGATACGTGCGGACGCGACGCGGAGCGTGGCAAGTTCATTACAATGTATTTTATTATCGTCCGAATTTCGCCGTGACAAAATATTATTATATATAAATTATTGTAATGCGTAAGCCTTCTCTCGGAGTGGTATGCAAGTTGTATACGTGTGTATTCGTGATTTTATTAGCACGAATCTCAAGGATGCGTAAATACGCATTCCACGATCGGATTTTTTAGCCTCCTCCTTCTTCTTCGTTCTTTATTCTCTCTTCTTTAAAAAAGACAAATGAAGCATTGAACATAAATTAAAGAAAAAAACAGTGTCGCGAACACGTTTATTGACGCGCGGTATATAAGCGTATACGCATATGATGATCGTAGGAAATCCCAGCTCGATGTACGTCTTCGCGTGAACCGATCTCCGAGAATCAAATCTCCTATAAAATTCTCCGCTATATATACACACATCGACGTGTATAGGTATACGTAAATGCTCTCCTATATAATAGAAAAGTTCAGCGACTCCTATCAACACCCAAGGAAAGAATGGGCCCATATAACGCGCATGGATATCGTGATATCCAACTGCTGTATGCCACACGACGTCGGCTCGAAGGCGGTAACCCGCGGCGACGGCGGCGGCGCGCAACCGATCCGCGACTGGACGTCCTTGCGAACCGAGAGTTGGGGGGGCTTATCTCGCCGCTCGAGCGACATGCAATATGGAGGGCCTCTCGCTATATATTATATATATATGTACTCCTTTCACTTTTCGACTTTTAAGCGTTCGTGTATATATATACACGCGCGCAGTACATGTGCACTCGCCTGTATATGTGCGGCCCGCGCGCGAATCGTCATCCGTTAACTGCCCGGATCTTGTAATGTATATTATACGTATATAAATACCCTCCGTATGGGTCGAACAAAAGACGCGTAGTAGAGGTAGCCCCGCTTGTACGCGGAAAAACGCCGCGCGCGAGAGTTTCACCTTGATTTCGCGTGTACTTCGGACATAGGTGAGCAAAGCCTGCGCGAGAGTTCATTTGGAAGAAATGGAATTCGCGAGCCAGCTCAAGGACTTTGTACTCGCCGCGCGCGAACAGGATCTTCGGGCCGATCGACTTTCCGGAAGTTGGCTTCTATTATATATTATTTGACGTTTCTATTATATCGATGATCGGTGACGTTAAAGTCGATCGCCCGAAATACCATTATAGCTCGTACGTCACGATATCGAAGTCGATTCAGTTTGATGAAAAAAAAAAGATTTAAATAATCAAATTAGCCGATCGGACGTGGTAAGAAAACGAAACGATTATTGTAGAGCGCAAAAGTAGAGTCGCTTGACACTGGTTCCTATATATTATATATACAAAAACTTTCCCTTGAAATTTAATATATGCAGAATGTTATACATTCGGTATAAGTAGTGTATAATACACGCAGCCGCAGACGCGCGAATCTCATTCTGGTTCCATAAACAAATGTACCACACCTATTTGCGCCGCATAGGTATGTCAGTAGCACCGCGTGTTTCATTTTCAAACGTATACATAGCTACTACTATATCTATACGTACGAATTTTCCTGTGTGCAAACTCGCACACACACACACAGACAGACATCAAGTTATGTACGTTATAGCGTACTACTATAATACAGCACAGTGCAAAGAGCGAGGGAGAGAGAGAGAGAGAGAGCTGCAAAAGAGAAAGATAGAGAGAAACGAACGTTGTTGCTCCATGTCTCACTCGCTCGATTCCTTCCCCCCTTCTCTTTTTACCTGGGCATAGAGCAGCAGCAGCAGCTTTATACCTACCTCTCACATGCGGATCGAGCCAAGCCAAGAACCGCCAAGAGAGAGAGAGAGAGCTGCTCCAAGCTCGCTGCTGCCTTGCTTATATGTTTTACTTTTCTTTCGCGGCAACAGGCAGTCGGCCGCGAGTGTCCGATCGGTTAACAGAGAGAGAGTGAGACCTCCTCTCGACGCTGCGCGCGGGCAAAAAAAAACAAAACGTCGCGCACGGAGAGCGGGACGAATATTTAGATATAATAGATAATTGATGGTTGCGGGCCTCGAGGGGATGGTGCGGCCCGCAGAACAAGTGCAATATTACCGTGCGAGTGAGAAAAGCTGAGATAAGGTTTTTTTGGGTCGTCTGTGCTCATACATGTGTGTTAATTGTGTGTCCGTGCGTGTATGTCGGTGTACGTGCGTGGTTTATATATGTGCGCAAGCGGAAAACGTGAAAGTGACATATGTGTAGCGGCCGATATACCACCATATTATACATACCATGCTGAGGTGAAAATTCGCATGCATCCGCGCGATATATCGTTGTAAGATACGGATATATCCGCAACGGGGCGATCGGCTCAACGCGATCGGCTAGCCAGATTATAGAAGGTGAGGAAATGCATATAGAAACGGAGGACTTTTACGAGTGAAACTTGAATTCCCGATCTGCTTGTGCTATACTTTGGTGCGCCATATAGATGGTGTCGATAAAGCATCGAGTGGGGGGCTTTAAAAGCCTATGGGCCAAAATCGGCCGCCGATTTTTGAAAAATTCTGTGCGTTACACGCCCTCGACACTCGGTAGAACCTCGAGAGGTAAATTGACACTCGTGCGGATCGTACTTATATTATGAATATACCTCCACGAGCGCGCCCGCCCGTCCGTACATATATCGGTATATTACTATACGTATACGAATTTGCGCAATCTCGGGAATTCGTTGCGCACTCGGGCGCGATTTCGACTCTCTCGTAAAATAGCATCGAGAAATAGCTTTCGTATATAATAATAATAATGATAATATAAAAATACGAGCGCGTCGATACATTATTTATGCTGCCGAAAATTCACCTATACGATACTACTGTGTGTGTGTGTGCATTCGTATATACAGATCGAACAGAGACAGAGAGAGAAATTCGTTTCCATAGAGAAATAAGATATCGCGGCCGGTATGCCTTCGGTGCTGCTGCTATTGCGAAAGACTGCTATTGCCCCGCATACATACATGCGTGAAAAACGAGTTCTTCTAAATCGGCGGATATTAAATATACCGGTTGACCGATTTCGATTATGGGGCAGACACGTACGGAGAGAGAGAGAGAGAGATATGTATACAGTTGAATTCCGATTTTTATCAGTAAATACTGTATTTTCAGGACGACAACTTCTGGTTTTTTTCTCTTCTCTTTCCCTGAAAATCGATATCACTCGGGCATGAACTTTTGACTCTTTTTTCGATTATTAGTTCGTGGAAAAAAAGATCGCTATTAATTATAAACAATCGTTAAAAATCCCCATAAGCACGATAGGATCGATTTCATCGAGTGGTTATAAAAACCGCCGATTTGACAGTAGTAAATCGTTCGAACTGTTTTTCATACGCTACGATCGTGTATGCGCGGGATAAGAAAAAACTCGGTTATTTACGATGTACTCAGTAGTCTCGCTCGAACACTTTTCTTTTCCCATATAAACTATTATATTATACGTAAAGAAAATGTCAACGATGGATTTTATGCGCGCGATTTTACATGGACAGCTTAACGAGTGCTCGAAATTAAATTTACGTCGATGCCATTGCATATAATAACGGCCGCAACGATCATTGACGCAGTGATAAATCGCTAAGCCTCATAAAATGTCATTTTCAATTTCTGCGCTACGCGCGTCGTCGAATCGTAACGATCGTCACTTGCAAGACCACCCTGAGCCGCCTAATTAACTCGTTACATGTGCGCGCAGGAAGCTACTAAATATGCTGAAAATTTCACGTGAGCGCATTTTTTTTTTTGCTGTAAATGCCTAAAACGAGAGTTTCAGCATGGCAATTTTCCCCCCGTTATACTTTATCGCGCAGGCCGCGGATTCTCACTGACTTTCTCCCCCGCCCCCAGGATACGGCGCGCACAATCGCGCTCGGAACCCCGGTTATAATACATACGAGCGTAATAAATAATTAAAAGCGACGATAATACCTGCGCGGACGCGGCTTTTCGCTCACTTTGATTCCCACAGTCGCGTTCAATTAGACGAGCTACGAGGGACCTTTTAAGCCTATAAACGTTGATAATACAAGTATATGGTATATAACGGATTGCCGCAACGAATCTACTTCGCGATGCGTATACGCGTTTAATTGCGTTACGAAATTCCCCGTATATATAATATAAAAGCCCGGGCATTAAATAATACATATACTTTTTCTGCTCGACCTACGCGTCGCGATGTAATATTTTTTGTTCTCTCTCTCTCTCCCAAATTAAATAGAAAGTTAATATATCTCGTTCAAAGTATAATGACCCGCAAATTGTTCGTAGCTAAAATGTAATTTGTATACATATGGGTCAAAATAATACTTTTTTACAAAACCGTGCGCACGTATGTCACCGATCTTGACGCGCTTTTGGTATGTTATAGTACATGGTAAAAAGGTCCCAAAAAAAAAGTTTTAGACCCCCTCCCCCCTCCTACCCCCCACTTCCGGTATAAACGTCCATTTTCGATCTATATTTTTTCTGAGGACATGAAGCAAGTAAAAAATCTGAAAAAATTCATAAAAATACTTTTCCACAATCCAAACAACCTTGAATTTTTTCAGATTTTTTGAGTGCTTCAGGCCTTCAGATAAAATCATTGAAAATTTCAAAAATCGAGATACGGCGGTATGAGCCGATGTAGTACTCGGAAATTTTTTCAGTTATTTTTCGCATTAAAAAACATAACCTCAATTTTTTTCAGATTTTTTCAGATTACCTAACGCACCTTTTGAAGCCAAAAACCGATTTTTTTGACGAAAATAATTTTTTTAGGACAGTACGGAGCCTCGAAAAATCTGAAAAAAATTTTTTCTTGTTTTTTTCATCAAAATACGTAATCTCAAATTTTTTCAGATTTTTTAATTGAAGGCGATAGCTTCTAGGGCCGAAAAATGCTATTTTTAACAAAAAATGGTTCCTAGAACCCGATGGTTCCGGTGAAAAAATTTGAAAATATTTTTTTTGAATTCCTTGTCAAATTTTAATAAATTTTGACCGTTTCAAAAGTTCGATTGAAGCTTCCTAGCTCATTTTAGAGCATCAAACGAGTTTTATCATTCCTTAATGTCTTCAGAAACGTCTTCAGATATTTTGCACTAATCTTTGTCCTGCTCTAAAATGAGCTAGGAAGCTTCAATCGAACTTTTGAAACGGTCAAAATTTATTAAAATTTGACAAGGAATTCAAAAAAAATATTTTCAAATTTTTTCACCGGAACCATCGGGTTCTAGGAACCATTTTTTGTTAAAAATAGCATTTTTCGGCCCTAGAAGCTATCGCCTTCAATTAAAAAATCTGAAAAAATTTGAGATTACGTATTTTGATGAAAAAAACAAGAAAAAATTTTTTTCAGATTTTTCGAGGCTCCGTACTGTCCTAAAAAAATTATTTTCGTCAAAAAAATCGGTTTTTGGCTTCAAAAGGTGCGTTAGGTAATCTGAAAAAATCTGAAAAAAATTGAGGTTATGTTTTTTAATGCGAAAAATAACTGAAAAAATTTCCGAGTACTACATCGGCTCATACCGCCGTATCTCGATTTTTGAAATTTTCAATGATTTTATCTGAAGGCCTGAAGCACTCAAAAAATCTGAAAAAATTCAAGGTTGTTTGGATTGTGGAAAAGTATTTTTATGAATTTTTTCAGATTTTTTACTTGCTTCATGTCCTCAGAAAAAATATAGATCGAAAATGGACGTTTATACCGGAAGTGGGGGGTAGGAGGGGGGAGGGGGTCTAAAAATTTTTTTTTGGGACCTTTTTACCATGTACTATAACATACCAAAAGCGCGTCAAGATCGGTGACATACGTGCGCACGGTTTTGTAAAAAAGTATTATTTTGACCCATATACATTTTCTTTCTTTCCTCTTTATTTTTATTATACTGGACGATGTAATGTAATAGCTATGTTCTGTTTTGCTTTTTCCAGCTACCATTGATCCAAAATGTCAAAGAGTCATCTGAATCAGCAAAATGGCTCGGTGCCGGGTGGCGGCGGCGCCGGACCCGGGGACGACTTCTCCGACGACGACAGCACGCCGCTCACTCAGGACTATGGCGGCAGGTACGACCAACGAAAATCTCGTCGATTTGCAATATTTGTAAGAAAAAAAAAATAACGTCTCTCTGTCTCTCGTACTTGTGCAGCCAACGAACCGTGGTCGAGACGAAGGGCTGGGACGTGTTTCGCGACCCGCCGCCGCGCATCGACTCGGGCTCGATGGCGAATCAGCGCTGCCTCGAGATCACTGTGCAAATCACCAAGGTCCTGGTCTATCTTCTAGTCTTCGTCGTGGTCCTCGGCAGCGGCGTCATCGCCAAGGGTACGGTCCTCTTCATGACCTCGCAGCTGAAGGCTGAGCGCACAGTCGTCTACTGTAATCGACAGTTGGGTAAGAGCTCGTCATCTGCACTTTTACTTCGTATAAATAAATATGTTTCCCACGCGTAGCTCCCATATATTTTCAAAATTGTTGTTTCTGGACGAAAATATGTTAATAAAAGGTATCTTTGATTTAGCAGATTACCTTGCAAAATATAGTGTGATAATGAACTTCACTTATGCGTAATTAGAAGATTCAAAAGTAGATGGCGTTTTTCAATCCATTAATGAATATCCTAAGTTGGCTCTATTTATGTACAAAACGCAGCTAATTTAAATATAAGTTGTCTTCGGTTACCCCTTGTATTTCTGAGCTGCGAAGCTTCCGAATAGCGACGTTATCTTACTCTCGCTCGTGATCTTTCCGTTTTCGATCGATTTAATTATATACATCGAGTCAGTGACTTTATTTTCTTTGGTGTATTGTACACCGAAGGAAAATAGAAAGTTGGCTTTTTTCTTCTTTTCTTCTACACATTTAAATGCGGCAATTACCGACAAGAAAAATATATATATATAAAAAAAATAAAAGTCATTAGCTAGCCCAAGCATTATAATCCATCCATAACGCGTCTTATGTACTATACATGCATCGTCATTAGAAATTTTACGGCAAATTTATAACATTAATCTTCAATTTCGCGAGAAAGCAGATTTTTGCCGCGCTTACGCGCCGAAGCTATCACTTTTTTTCAGCAGCAGCAGCAGCTGCTGAGCCTCGTTATATCGTCAATAAACGTACGGCATAATGGAAAAGCTCGTTACATAATTTATATTAACAAATTCAAGCGATTTCGATACGATCGTTTCCTTTGTTTACATTATACGATTCTTGTATTAAAATGCATGCAAATCGAACGTGCGGGTGTGTATTTACGCGCGAGCAGCATCCGACAATGGGCGCGATGCGTTATAATGTCCACGGTGCTCTCATTCGTTCGCGTGAATCATACCCAACGAAGAATCGTTGTATATATCGGTTTTGGAAAACAAGGTAAACGGTCCGCTATATACACAATGGGGCCTACATCAATTTTTATGATTTACGACTTTGCGCCCACGCACTGATCTCGACAAAAAAAAATTATTCGCACAGGTCGAGATCGTCAGTTCGTGGTGAAGCTGCCCGAGGAGGAGCGCATCGCCTGGATCTGGTGCATCATCATAGCGTTCACGGTGCCGGAGCTGGGCACCCTCATACGCAGCCTGCGCATGTGCTTCTTCAAGTCGTGGAAGAAGCCCATGTCGTCGCACTTTCTCCTCGTCTTCGTGATGGAGACGTTCCACGTGCTCGGGCTGGCGCTCATGTTCTTCGCCATACTGCCGGACCTCGACGCCGTCAAGGGCGCCATGCTGGCCAATTGCGTCTGCTTCGTGCCCGGTCTGCTCGGTAAGTTGATTTGTTTTCACTCGCCGCGCCGAGCTTTTAATTTTTGACCATTACTTTACGTGGTGTGCGTGATTTTTGTTCGCAGCACTGATGTCGAGAAACAAGGACAAGGACGAGTCGAGGCGCTTCGTCCTGGTGCTGGTGGATCTCGCGGCGCTGGCCGCCCAGGCCACGGGCTTCGTCGTCTGGCCGCTCCTCGACAGCAAGTCGCCGTCCCTCTGGCTGATACCGCCCGCCCTCGTGCTCATCTCGTGTCGCTGGTGGGAGAACTACGTGTCGGACAAGAGCCCGATCGGCCTGATCAAGTCGCTGCACCGGGTCAAGCGCGACCTCATACAGACGCGCTACTTCACCTACATCTTCATCTCGCTCTGGAAGATCCTGGCGTTCGCCATCACGGGCATGGTCGTGCTCTACTGCCGGGGCGAGAACGTCAGCCATCTGTTCACGCTGGTGGGCCAGGCGTTCGGCGATCACAAGATCGTCGTGCAGGCCGTGAGGACGACGGCGGGCGGCTCGCTGCCCGACCTCATCGAGATAATGCCCGACGGTGACGTCGAGATCGTCAGCGCCGACTTTCGCGCGCCCCACTACGTCCTGCTGCTGGCCATTCTCAGCGGCTACTTCATGTACATTTTCGGTGGGTTGCAGCTCGTATATCATTATTGGCGATTTTCGCCAAGATTTAATCTTTCAATGAGCTTTGCATATTGATTAGAATTTTTTCCAACTAGTTCTTGAAATTTTTACTAAAAGATGTAAATATACCCATTAATTGCAAATTTCACTGCTTTTCACTTATACAATTATTTTGACTCAGCCACTTGCAGATTTTTAAGTATAAGGGTCCTCGCCATCTAGCGGGGGAGGCTGAATTTAATTTTAATTGAATTTTCATACATTTGTTGTAAAGTTAACGCAAATTCTAAATCGGTATTTAATTTTCAATCAAAATGTTTAAATTTTAATATAGAAATGAATCTTTTTACTTAATTTTTGCATTACAAAATAATGTTCGTTCATTAAGTTTTTGTGCAGTTAATTTGATAAATTTTTGATTCGATGATTTTTTCCTCCTCTTCCAGGTAAATTCGCATGCAAGATCCTGATCCAGGGCTTCAGCTACGCGTTCCCGGTGAACCTCACGATCCCCGTGACGATCTCGCTGCTGATGGCCGCGTGCGGTCTGCGCAACGCCGATCCCTGCTTCTTTCACGGCACCGTACCCGACTATCTGTTCTTCGAGTCGCCGCCCATGGACTTCTTCAAGGGCCTGCTGTCGCGCCAGTACGCCTGGGTCTGGCTGCTCTGGCTGCTGTCCCAGACCTGGTTCACGCTGCACATCTGGACGCCCAAGTGCGAGCGCCTCGCCGCCACCGAGAAGCTCTTCGTCACGCCCATGTACGACGGCCTGCTGGTCGACCAGTCGATGGGCCTGAATCGCAAGCGCGACGATCAGCCCGAGGTGAAGGTCGAGGACCTGGCCGAGATCGAGCGCGAGAAGGGCGACGGCGACTACGAGACCATCTACGACAATCCCGGCACGCCGCAGACGCACGTCAAGACGACCGATCACGTCACGAGGATCTACGCCTGCGCCACCATGTGGCACGAGAACAAGGAGGAGATGATCGAGTTCTTGAAGAGTATCCTGCGCCTCGACGAGGACCAGTGCGCCAGGCGGGTCGCCCAGAAGTATCTCAAGGTCGTCGATCCCGATTACTACGAGTTCGAGAGTGAGTACTTTTTATTTCTTAATAACTCACGTTCCCTTTCTACGATCGCAATAGAAACTGACATTCAGAACGAAAACTCGAAACTTGCTTTGTTGATTCATACACTTTTTTTCATTTCACCACTTGCAGTTTGAAAACTGGTCTAGATTTCTTGAAGGAGTTAAATTGTCATTTTCAGGACATTTTGTAATCTCTTAAAATTGTTGTTATATAATTGTATCAAAAAAATATGATTCAGCGTAGGATATTTATTTTATCGTCGTTAAACAATAGCATAACTCGTCTGTGTCTCTTTCTCTGTCTCTCTCTCAGCGCACATCTTCTTCGACGACGCGTTCGAGCTGGCCGATCACGACGAGAACGAGTCCCAGGTGAATCGCTTCGTCAAGCTGCTGGTCGGCACCCTGGACGAGGCCGCGTCGGACGTCCACCAGACCCGCATGCACGTGCGCGCCCCCAAGAAGTACGTGACCCCGTACGGCGGCAGACTGGCCTGGACCCTGCCCGGCAAGACCAAGATGATCGCCCATCTCAAGGACAAGAGCAAGATCAGGCACAGGAAGCGCTGGAGCCAGGTCATGTACATGTACTATCTGCTGGGCCATCGTCTGATGGAGCTGCCGATAAGCGTCGATCGCAAGGAGGTCATCGCCGAGAACACGTTCCTGCTGACCCTCGACGGCGACATCGACTTCCAGCCGCTGGCGGTCAAGCTCCTGGTCGATCTCATGAAGAAGAACAAGAATCTCGGCGCGGCCTGCGGTCGCATCCATCCGGTGGGCTCGGGCCCCATGGTCTGGTACCAGATGTTCGAGTACGCCATCGGCCATTGGCTGCAGAAGGCCACCGAGCACATGATCGGCTGCGTGCTCTGCTCGCCCGGCTGCTTCTCGCTGTTTCGCGGCAAGGCCCTCATGGACGACAACGTCATGAAGAAGTACACGACCAGGTCGGACGAGGCGCGCCACTACGTGCAGTACGATCAGGGCGAGGACAGATGGCTGTGCACGCTGCTGCTGCAGCGGGGCTACCGAGTCGAGTACTCGGCCGCCTCCGACGCCTACACCCACGCTCCCGAGGGCTTCAACGAGTTCTACAATCAGCGTCGTCGCTGGGTGCCCTCGACCATCGCCAACATCATGGACCTGCTCATGGACGCCAAGAGGACCATCAAGATCAACGACAACATATCCATGCCCTACATCGCTTATCAAATTCTGCTGATGGGTACGTGACACGGATTTATTATTATTAGAAACAGAACTTTAACGATCGTATGACTGATCGAGCTGTAATCTAATATTCGTCTGTGGTGTTTATCAGGTGGTACCATTTTGGGTCCTGGCACGATTTTCCTTATGTTGGTGGGTGCCTTCGTAGCTGCCTTCAAAATCGACAACTGGACGAGCTTTTACTACAACATCATTCCCATTTTGTTCTTCATGATCGTCTGCTTTACCTGCAAGTCCAACATTCAAGTAAGTGTGGTAGTTAGATTCGGGGGAAAAATAAATAAATAGCCGTCGCTTACATTGGTAACCCCATACAAGCAATAGTTCTTTATGGGTTTGTTTATAAGGCTCATTACTATCGATCTTGTTAGGTATACCACTCGGACAAAAAATTGCATTTTCAGCCTTTTGTGAAAGGGTGATGAGCTAAATAGAGAGTGCAGTTTTGAAGCGACTTAATTTCCATAGGTATAGAATTGAGTCAAAAAAGAAAAATTAAAGTATTAAGAGAGCATTGAAATAAATAGCTAGAATCAAAAAATTGACATAAACGTGATTAAATGTGTTTATTAGTATACAATTAATAATGTGCTTCATTTTTTTTCGAGAATTCATTAATTTTCACTGTAATGTGTATTATAAATAAAAATTTTTGGATTATTCTTCCAGATAAGTACATTACAGTTTATGCACTCACTAAGTTATTATGCGTGAATAAAGGGTTAATGTGAGCTTTAAGAAGCATCTTTCTTGGGTATATCTTCCCGCATGGGTCGCATGTGTGAGTAATTTTATTGTGCACAGAATCGATGTATTTTCTCAGATTAAAATTTTGTGAAAATGACTTTTTTTAAGAGGTGCGTTGAATTTATATGTTTGTAAAGATTACTTTTAAATGAGAACTTCTTTTCGCATATATCACATGGGTGAGTGATTTTATTATGCACCGCATTGATGTGCTTCTTGAGAACGCTCTTATTTATCGATTTCTTTCCGCATATGCCACATGCATGCGTATTAATACCATTATGGGCCGAATCGATGTGTTTTTTAAGATAACCCTTTTTGGAGTACCTACTTCCGCATATATCGCATTTATAAGTGAGACCATTATGCACTGAATCGATGTGGATCTTGAGATGATGTTTATAAGTATACGACTTGCCGCATATACCGCATTTATATGTCAGACCATTATGTACTGAATCGATGTGGGTCTTGATACTATCTTTTCGTGAAAATGTCTTGCCGCATATACCGCATTTATTTGTCAGACCATTATGTACTGAATCGATGTGAGTCTTGAGAGAATTTTTATAAGTATACGACTTGCCGCATATATCACATTTATAAGTAAGACCATTATGTACTGATTCGATGTGGGTCTTGAGATGACCTTTTCGTGAAAATTTCTTGCCGCATATATCGCATTTATAAGTGAGACCATTATGTGCTGATTCGATGTGGGTCTTGAGATGACCTTTTTGTGAAAATGTCTTGCCGCATACATCGCATGCATGTGTGACACGATTGTGTATTGAATTTACGTGCATTTTGAGATTACTTTTTTGTGAAAATGTCTTGCCGCATATATCGCATTTATAAGTGAGACCATTATGTACTGAATCGATGTGGATTTTGAGATGATGTTTATAAGTATACGACTTGCCGCATGTATCGCATTCATAAGTGAGACCATTATGTACTGAATCGATGTGGGTCTTGAGATGACCTTTTCGTGAAAATTTCTTGCCGCATATATCGCATTTATAAGTGAGACCATTGTGTGCTGATTCGATGTGGGTCTTGAGATGACCTTTTCGTGAAAATTTCTTGCCGCATATATCGCATTTATAAGTGAGACCATTATGTGCTGATTCGATGTGGGTCTTGAGATGATGTTTATAAGTATACGACTTGCCGCATGTATCGCATTTATAAGAGAGACTATTATGTACTGAATCTACGTGGATTTTGAGATGACTATTTCGTGAAAATGTCTTGCCGCATATATCGCATTTATAAGTGAGACCATTATGTACTGAATCGATGTGGATTTTGAGATAACCTTTTCGTGAAAATGTCTTGTCGCATACATCACATGCGTGGGTGATGTGATTATGCGATGATTTGACATGTCTATTCAAATTAGGCTTACTTGCAAATTTCTTTCTGCATATTTTACACGAATGACTTTTATCTTCGCGAGCCGAGCTGGCGTGTGCTTTGAGCCTATTTTTGTTATTAAACTTTTCCGTAATTTTTTCATTTTGTTCGCCGAGTCCACGACCGAAACTCAATTTCGTTGCTTCTTCGTCGAAAAATTCCTGTTTCACTTCATCCACGGGTTCTATTTTAATTCTATCATTAGTTTTGTAATCAAAACTACATTTCACATCCTGCAAGTGATTTGAAGGATAATCGTCGATTTTTTTAACTACTAATAAATCCATACTGGGCTTTACGTCTTCGCATTCTATAACTATCTCTATATCATCATTAAACTCACGTTCATGATTTTCGTCATATTCTTGAAGCATTTTGATCTGGAATAAAATTGACATTAGTTAGAAATTTAATTTAGAAATGCTGAATAAGATATAAATATGAACTCTTACTGGATTTTCTTGTAGAAATCTCGAGCATTGAACTTTTTCAGTATCGAGAATCTTATCAATTGCCTTATAATCAGTTTCGGTAAGCAGCTCATCACAGGGCTCTCTTTTGACTCTGAAATATTTTCAATAATATGAATTATTATCTTTTAATATTTTCATGATATTCTTCTCATGATATAAAAATTACCTAACAGCACTGTTAAATACACCACTCGAATTCATCTTTCACAATTGAAATTCAGTTAACGACTAAACTTACTGAGATAATTTTAAAAGCTATAATTAGATCAAATTGAATATAATAATATTTACAAAGCATGTTATGAAATTAGAATTACGAAATCTAAACGAGTCAAAACTAACTCATTATAACACTAATAGGAGAAATAACATCTGTTCAGCAAATAGTAAACATATTTCTATCGATGATATATTATTACGATAAAAGTATTAGAAATTAAAAATATTACTGAATGGTACAGAAAGCGCCCTAAAGGATGAGAATAAGCGTAATATTATGTATTTAAAAAATCAAATTCACAAGTACAGCTGCATGAAGTAAAGCTCCATACAAAAAAAAGTAAAAGAGTATTACATAATCTCAAAATCTAAAAAATCGACAAAATCTAAAGATCCACTCAATTATTATATTTTATCCAGTGCGTCGACTCGACATAATTTCTTTTTCTCTCTTCCTTCCAGCTGCTATGCGCGCAAATATTATCGACGTGTTACGCGATGATAATGATGGCCGTGATAGTGGGTACGGCGCTGCAGCTGGGCGAGGACGGCATAGGCTCGCCCTCGGCGATATTCTTGATATCGCTGTCGAGCTCGTTCTTCATAGCGGCCTGTCTGCATCCCCAGGAGTTCTGGTGCATCGTGCCGGGCTTGATCTATCTGCTCTCCATCCCGTCCATGTATCTGCTGCTGATCCTCTACTCGATCATCAATCTCAACGTCGTTTCCTGGGGTACGCGCGAGGTCATGGTCAAGAAGACCAAGAAGGAGCTCGAGCAGGAGAAGAAGGACGCCGAGGAGGCTCGGAGACGCGCCAAGAACAAGTCGCTCCTGGGCTTCCTGCAGAACGGCGCCGGCAACAATCAGGACGATCAGGGCTCCATCGAGATATCGCTCGCGGGCCTGTTCAAGTGCATGCTCTGCACCCACGGCAAACCGTCGGACGAGAAGCAGCAGCTCGTAGCCATCGCCGAGTCGCTCGAGCAGCTCGGCCGAAGAATAGAACACATCGAGAAGTATGTACAATTTTTTTCTCTCGCGCACGCATTCGCTTTCAGCGCGAAATTACAATAACGAATGTTTATACGCAAAAACAGAGCCGTGGATCCGCACGGTCACGCGGGCGGACGCAGACGCGCCTCCTCGGTGGGCTCGCGCTCCGCGGGCGATCATCTCGGCGCCATCGGCGAGAATCCGGACGGCGAGAACGGCCACGACAGCGACACGGAGACGATCGCCTCGCAGAACACGGATCATCCGCGCGAGAACGGCTTCCCGTCGAGGCCCTACTGGCTCGACGACGACGGCATCAAGAAGGGCGAGGTCGAGACCATCTCCATCCAGGAGGAGCTCTTCTGGAAGGAGCTGCTCGAGAAGTATCTCTATCCCATCGACGAGGATCCCATCGAAAAGGTAAGTATTTTTCTCTCTCGCTGCGCGCACACCACCGCACAATTTGTAAACGCCTCTGCTTTCTTTTTACTCTCCCGAAGACACGATAACGGTGTCGATTGTGTCGCAAAGAGCTTCGGCATCGGTTCGATATTATCGTTATTATTTTTTTTTCTTTTTTTTTTCTTTTTATCTTTCGCAAACAGCTTCTGCCAAGTAAATCAATATTTGATCTTTCATTTAATCAAAAAATTAATATGACCCTTTTGTAAATCTCCTTCGTCTGAACGAAAAAACAAAAAAAAACAAAAACAAAAAACCAAAACAAAAAACAGGCGCGTATAGCCAAAGAGTTGAAGGACCTGCGCGACCGGAGCGTCTTTGCCTTTGTCATGAACAACGCCCTCTTCGTCCTGATCGTTTTCCTCCTGCAACTGAACAAAGATCAATTGCACGTGAAGTGGCCCTTCGGTATCAAGACGAATATCACCTATGACTCGAACACGAACGAGGTAAATTATCGCTCCGCTGCCCGCGAACGCCTACGTGCTCCACACGCTCGATCATCGAACGCGTCGATTTTTTGCAAATTAAAAAATATAATTATCACGATGATTGGGAGGGACGACACGACACCGCCCTCGAGTCGCTCATATGCGCTCGAAAATCGAGATCGGAGCACTCGGCGTCGTGTGTGGCGGAGCTTAGAATACTACTACTAATGCGTATTTTTTTTCTCTCTCTTTTGCTTTTGATCTATCGTGCCAATGCCAACGATACACACAGGCCAGGATAGCCGGGGACCTCATCGAGCTGAGAAACAAAAGCGTCTTTGCCTTTTTAATGTTCAATGCCTTGTTCGTACTCATTGTATTCTTACTGCAGCTGAATAAAGATCAACTTCATGTTGTCTGGCCCTTGGGCATCAAGACCAACATCACTTATAACGAGGAAACGTCAGAGGTATCCTCCCCCCCCTCTCCGGCTTTGACACAAAATAAAACGACAATTTTGTTAAACAGAGCCACGTAAAAACATGCACTCTTAAAAAAAAAAGTCCCCGTAAACTTTGAGGGGTTCGAATTTAAGTTCACTATCAGAGTGACTAACATAGCTGGATTCACCCGAGCGTCGCAATGCTGTCTTGAAACGAATCGATTTTTTTTTACAAAATTTAGGTTCGAGAAGCAGAGCGACGCTCGATTGTTAGTTTTTTTGCACTCGGCCTTCACGAGAATAATCGTCATACACAAATCGTCAATAACCATTGCCGTTATGGCGTTAACTCACAGATCCATAACTAAATGTTCTCGTTGTCGATTCTCTTTCTCTATCTCTCTTTAAAAATCCATGAGGGATTTGTACATAAATACTTATCTTAAAGTTTCTTCATTGTTTCATCGTCCACCATCTTTTGTTGACTTACTACTTTAATAATTTTACATAGGATTTACATGTGCACAATAATGTTTTCTGACGTCTCTCTTTCTCTTACACACACTCACAAAAAATCTCACGAAAAATCGATCATATCGTTGAATATGAATTTCTCAGATCTCATTCACAAATCGTGTCGAATAACTGTTTAATATAATTTTAGCAGTGTAATAATAATAATAATAATAATAATATAATTTTTTAACAGCAGCACCAAATTATACCCAAAAAATCACAACTAATTGGGTTTGTCTTGCAGCCGGATGGATTTTTACACTGGGAACCCCAGGGTCCCCGTGATATAGACATGATTATTTATTATATAATATTTATATATTTCTGTATAAAATAAAGTTACATTTTATGTGACTAACATTTCATGTACAAATAATTATATTATCGATAAAAAATAAGAAACATTTGAGAGTAATGAAGTCTCATTTATTTCTTATTTGTGCCCTGATTTTGGGATTTATTGAATGTAAACTATATTTATGTTCGTTTTAACTCAGCACTATCTGTAAAAAATGGTCGTAATCAAAGCTTATGAAAAACATTCTGATGAAAATTGTAAAGATTAAGTATCATTCATATCAAGTTGTTCAAAACCTAATTACATCGTGAAAATAAGTTTTGGTTATCGATCACTATTATTATAATTAAAATTAATTACTTATACTCAAAACATGGTGAAAAGTCAATCGAACCATTTTCAAATAATAATTTTACGGTAAATAATACTTTTTTTCTCTTACAATGTTTCGATTGAACTCTGTGAACTAATATGTTAGAAAAAAGGTTGCCTCGAAAACCAGACTAAATACGTGAACTCGTCGGATTCTAGGTACACGTACAAAAGGAGCATCTGCAACTCGAACCGATCGGTTTGGTGTTCGTCTTCTTCTTCGCCCTCATTCTCGTCATTCAGTTCACGGCCATGCTGTTCCATCGCTTCGGAACGTTCGCACACATCCTCGCCAGCACGAGCCTCACCTGGGGCTACTGTAAAAAGGTACGAGCGAATGCAAAATTTCTCCGCGATGTAAAAAAAAACAAGTGATACCATGCGAATTTACTTCTGCAGAAGAATGACGACCTGTCCGAGGACGCTCTGCTGTCGAAGCACGCGGTCGACATAGTCCGCGATCTGCAGCGTCTCGACGGCATGGAGGGCGACTACGACGAGGGCAGCGGCAGCGGTCCCGGGCGTCGGCGCACCATACGCAACCTCGAGAAGAGCCGCAAGAAGACCCAGGCGATCAACACGCTCGACGTGGCCTTCCGCCAGCGCTTCTTCAATCTCAAGGCCGAGGGCGGCGAGGGCATCGGCCTGCCGCGCAACATATCCACGCGTCGCTCCACCCGGGCCTTCAAGGCCCTCGAGGGCAGGCGCAACAGCATCATGGCCGCCCAGCGGCGTCGCTCGCAGATGCAGACCCTCGGGGCGAACAACATCTACGGGGCGCCCGGCAACACCCTCGGCATCGTGAACAATCGGCCGACTCGCAGCAGCCAGATATCCGCCATGGATCTGTTCGCCGACGTGCCGAATCCCAGCGCGCCCAGCGCCCCCGCCGTCAGCGCCGTCGCGGCGGCCGCCTCGATCTCCGGGGCGCACACCAATCCGGCCTACGAGGCCGACGAGGACCAGAGCCCGAGGAACAGCGTGCGGATGCGCACCATGAGCCCCACCTGGATCGAGTCCGTCAATTCGAATCTGTGAGAAAAGAAAAAGAAATGAAAAAAAACATACGTGCGCGCTGCGAGGCTATAAGTATAGCCGAACTACGCGTGACTATTCATTACGTTATAGGTAGTTTATTGTCATTTTTATGATTATTATTATTCTTTTTATTCTCTTAGACGAATAAACTGTGTAAATAATTGAACTGAGAAAAAGACGTTGGCGCAGTTCGCGATAGAGCTGGGATATTATGTGTCCCCCACCTGCGGCTCTGCGCGAGCGCGACGTGATTCACATTATTTTTCTATGATGATGCGATGATGTTCAAAGAGACGCGACCATGACCTTTGATATGTTAAGTTTTTACCTGTGTTATTGATTATTGATGATTGTGGATGATCGAATGAGTCGTTTTTTTATTATTTAATTTTTTTTGTAAACACGTGTGTAAGCACGAGCGTTATGTTATTTTGTCTTTTTATAATGAAATATAATAGATTTTCACTTTTTATCAATGAGATACTAAGCCAAGTTCATTACTCGTAACGATCTGAAATTATAGGTATAAATGAAATTATTATGATTGTTAAAAATGAGTATATATGTTGTAAGTTATTATCAATATCACTGTGTTATTGATAAACTCATAGAGATTCAATGATTACCATACGTGAAAATGAGATTTTCCTAATAGTTTTATTGTTTCGAGATCAGAATTTTTAATATTTCCATTCTCGTATCGGTTGCGAATTGACTGCGTCGATTAACACGCGCGATTGAGAATATGTACATAAATATAAAAAAAAATTATGGGTGCAATGCAAATTTACGATATGTAATTTATCGTTACAATTTTGGCGTTTCGACGAACCCCTAAAATTGTTTTTATTATAAGATTGAGCATGTTTTATGTTTAGTAAAAATCGCCGAATGAACTAGCTGTCATTATCGCGAGGATGTTGTACGATGTTTTTTTTTATTGCAATTGTATGTACTTTAATAATACATAATGAAACTTTGTAAAACTCGATCCACGTTCAAATACTCATGATTGGATGAATAACAATAAACGTGATTTATATAAATATATTTCTTTACTTTTTTCAAATCTAGTAAATTAAATCACTCCTAATTCATTGAATCTCGAGAAATAAAAATCTTATTTCGTATTCTCACTCGGGTCAAAGATTTACTCGGATGTTTCACTTTATACTTACGACACAAATTGTTGGCGTAAGCACGGAGACAAATTTGTCGCTTATATACTTTCTCCGCTTACTTTCGATTTTTATTTTGATTCTGCCTCGTAAAAATCGTAGCTCCAAACTTTTCATATTGATACAGGATCTACTCGAATTCTTTCATCGTTATTCATTCGAAAAATCTACCGAAAAAAATACACACATATATCGAAGGCCAACGAAAAAGTAAATCGTTATTTTTAACACAGCTATATAATGCTGAACTTTTTTGTGCTTTGTGATGACCATGTTCTGACTATTAAAAGTACTTTGACATACACAATACATATGAATACAAACTGACACTATGTGGAAAGATTAAAACATTATACCTATTGATAGATAAACTGTGCTTTGACTTATACAAATTTCTTGACTATGCCACTTGCAGATTTGCAAATAATAAAGGTATTCGCCATCTAGCGGTGTAAGTTGAAAGTGGTCTTATCGTATTCAAAAACGTTGTTGAAAATTGGTTGAATTTTTTGAAATAAAGAAGATGTTATTTTAAGGACATTTCAAATGTTTTTAATATTTTATAACATCATTTTAACTTAAAAGTTACGGAATACAAATCAATAAACACTGATATATTTAAAACTTTTCAAAGGATCATCTTTCATGGTCATTAGACCATTATTGATATTTACTATTTCTACCGAGGCTACTATTTTACTATATTCAATAATTTAAACAATTTAACAATCAAGAATAGTCGATCACCATGTATAAATCTGTCACTCGAGCGTTCTATCTCGGATCGTCCGTGTAATTTTCGCGATTAAAAGTAAATAAATACTATCGAGCCGACGCGCGCGTGTCTGTAAGGATGAGACACAGTAAATACGAGAGTAACATTTTCAGTTACGCGTCTCGCGCGCACACACGCGAAGTATCTCTCGATCTGAAAATCCGTGAAAATAGTTTTAGTCCACCGTCGAGCGATTTAAAAAACAACAACGACAACAACAACAAAAAGAAATGGCTGAACCGGAATTGAAGCCGAACCATGTGGAAGCGGGTTCCTTCAAGTACCAGGTCGAGTACAAGTACCGTCAGGAGTGGATCCTGGAGAACTACGACATGCTGACGACGATCAGGCCGGGCATGGATCCGCGCATGGTCATCAGGTCGCAGAGCTTCTACTCGCCGTGCGACGGCAGCGACTACGAGTGGCGGCTGATCCTCTATCCGAACGGCCTCGAGGACAAGACCCACGTCTCGCTGTTCGTCGAGTACCTCGACGAGGACAACGTGATAGCCAGCGTGAGGCTGTCGATCCTCGACGCCGAGCGCAACAGCTACGTCGAGGCGTTCGTGCGCGGCAGGAACTTCCACGCCCGGGACCGGGTTTACGGCGCCACGAGGCTGCTGCCCAAGTATCTGCTGGACGAGCCCTACGGCGTCGTCACCAAGAATCAGGAGCTGCACGTCGTCTGCGAGGTCAGCCTGGACCACGTGCCCAAGCAATCGCGCCGACTGCTCCACCTGAGCTGGCGCTCCATCGAGTTCGAGAGCTACGCGAGGCTCTACAACGAGGGCCAGCCCGGCTCCGACAAGGACGTCGTTCTGACGACCTCGGACAAGAAGAAGCTCTACCTGCACAAGCTCATACTGCAGTCGCGCAGCCAGATCCTCAAGACGATGCTCGAGCTCAAGAAGCCGGAGAACGGCAAGATCAACATCTACATCGAGGATTACGATTACAAGACGCTCAAGGAAGTCTGTCGATTCATCTACTGCGGCAGGGTCGAGGTCATGGACGGTCTCGCGGCCGACATGCTGGTGGCGGCCAAGTCGCTCGAGATGCCGGGCTTGGCCTACATCTGCGAGCAGTACCTCATGGACAGCATCACGGCCAACAAGGCCATGGGCTATCTGCAGCTGGCCGAAAAGGCCCACTCCGAGAATCTCAAGGTCAAGACCCTGAATTACATCGCCTTCAATTCGGCCAAAGTGATCCGGGCGAAGGAGGACGACTTCGAGGAGTCCTGCGAGAAGCTCAAAAAGAAGACCGTAGCCGAGCTGCTTCAAGTCATGTCCGATATGATAAATAGGGAAGAAGACGACGACGACGACGACGACGACTTATGATTTCTTAGTGAACGAGTGAATCGTGTGTATAGTGAAGTGAACTATTGCGCGAACGCAACGATTCGATTCAATTTTTTAATTTAATGAATTTCAGTGCGAGATAAACAGTTGCGCGTCGTCGTTTGAAAAGATCAAAGTATTGCAATTTTTGTAAGGGTAGGTGTTATAGGTTTACGGCGTTAAATTAACAAAAAAAAAAACATAAAACAGGGATATAATATCTGTAATTGATTTTATTCAACATACACATTGTAATATGTGATATAATTTTTGTACAATTGTAAATATTTTCTGAGACTATTTAACAAATTATAGGTCTCTTTAAACATATCTGTGTATACACTTTACACAAGTTCAATTTAATAGAATTTCACCATTTTTAACTGCGTAATATTATTGAGTGTAAATAACACGGAGGCCGATTTTTCATAATCAAAATGTTTTAACATACTTAAACTCCTAGTAAAATCGATGATATTGTAAAATAAGTATATGTTAAAGATACGTTAGAAAAATCGAAATAATTTGACAATTTTAGTATATGACTAATTGATTAGAATTTTGCTGAAAAAATCATGCAGTATAAAAAGCGAGACATATGTTGAATTTCAATAAGAATAAATATATTTTTTATATATATAGAATTTTTTCAAACAATCGAATTATAAATTCACCATACTACTCATACTTATCACTTGAAAAATTAATTACAAAAAATTTTTAAGTTTCTATCATCGCATTATTTTCAGTGTACCATATCACTGGAACATTTTTATACTTTATGCACACGGATAAGCTTACTTATGACTATATCGCTGTGACAATTCAGTGTTAGCAGCAAAAGCTTTTTGTGCGTTAAAGTACGTATATCAAATGTAATCGATACATAATCGACTATATTATGTACCGTTAAAAATATCATCGATCCGTCCATTCTTCAATTTAAAAAGTTATTTGAATGATATAATAATTTCAATTTCATTAATTTTTAATCAACAGACGTATGGCTTGGAAAAATTGATTTAAATTATGTGAGAGTTTAATATTTTCATTGACATATGAATGTTTATTTATCGGATTGATAATTCAAGCATTGAATTATTCCACAAAATTTGCTGCTTTAAACAATTTTTTTGATATTGAGTTTAACTGTTACTCTAAGAATGAAAATTCATTTTTCTTTGTCAAAAGTTTATATCACAGCTGAATCGGTTAAACTAAAATCATTTGTCCATTTTAAATATACGTCTTTTGAATAAATATTTAGTAGTATAAATTTCTCTCATTATATCATCCAATTTTATCTTAAAAATGCTAAAGAAGTATCAAATTCTTTCCTCGGTGATCTAACAGATAATAACAATTACAAATCTAGAGTAAATAGCATTTCTATTTGCATAAAAGTAACTCGTAGATTATAAATATTTTGACATTTTCACAGGCTTTTTTGAACCAATGAAAATGAAACGCGTTATTTTTTGATATCTGACAATTCTAAGGAAATACTTTTTCAGTATCCGTTTCAAACATCATCATGTCATGATTTTTTTATCGTACTGTCTGTACGAGGTGTATAAAAAAATATTTTAACCAGGCTGTCAGCCGGTTTTTAATAACAATGGCAGATATATAATAAAAAAGATTAATACATTATATATTCAAAATTGATAAAAAGTATTTAAGTTAAAATGTATTGTGTAGTGAAGACGAAAGAGAGATATAAAGAATTTAAACGTTATTTTAATTAGAGTAAACAATAATTTTATATCTTACACTATTAGGCTCTCTTTGAAAGTAAATTTACTGCTCGATAAAAGACAAAAATCTTTGCTAGTTGAAAAACTATTCAGTTCCTTCAATATACTGCTAACTCATTGAAATCATGTCATGTACCTTCAATACTTTTTTTACAGTAAATACAGTAAAATCTTTAAAAATATAATTTTGAACGAAGATTCCTTCTAATTTTAATTAAAACAGTTTTTATCATCGTTGATTGTTTTTAATATTTTTTTAAGATATAAAATTTTCACTACAGTATAATTGCACAACATTATTTTTCTATAAGTTCGATTCATATTGATCTTTGTTTTTCGTAAATTTACGATTTGTAAATAGTTTCCCAAAAAAAAAAAAAAAAAAATTGAAAGTAAAGAAGTCTGTTGTAAAGATGTGAGAATAAAAGGGAAATGATCTTATCGCACAGATTACGAGCTAAGACTGGGAAATTTTTAAATTATCACCAAATAAGTACGAGTTCGGCTACGACTTACCAGGAAGATTTTTTCATTCTTTATTCGTCGCCGAATTCTCTTATTGCACTATTCAACTAATTTTTCGGCAACATTGCACAGCTAATTTAGTATAAATGGAAGATTACCGCAAGTAATTTTCTATAAATCTTTAAAATATTTTCATTATTTATACATTTTATCTATTTTTGTAACGTTTGGTAGCATAATTTTCTACTACGGCAATTAAACTCGTCATGTACTGTTACATACTTAAATCTGAATTAAGTTTTACTTATGTTTTAGCATTCAATTGCTGTCTTTGGTCTCACTTAAAAGAGTTTAGAATTTATTTGGATGCTTCAATCAAATTTTTGCAGCTTCATTGATGATACCTTTTTGAACACTGATTTTTATTCTCTAATAAATTATATCATTGATAAAACTTCATTAAAAAATTTAAGGCCTGCATGATCCCTAAATTTATAATAGGTTCCCTTGTACCACAAACTTGAAAATCTTTAAGATTATTTAGCTTTCAGAATTAATAATTTATCTGCAAAAGTAAGCACCAAAATTGTACTAGTTATAAGTACTATTTTACAAATATCACAATCAATATATTAAAAATAAAAATATTTTATATTTTTAAGAATGTTCAAAAAATTATGAATTTTAAAAGTTTTAGTAAGTACATTTTGCTATTTATTAATATTCTCAAAGCCAAATATTCTTTAAATTGTAGTTGACTTTATAGTTTGATTCAATAGGCCAGTTTCAGAAATCTTTGATCGTTGCTATTGCAAATAATTCAATAAAACTCAAACTGTATTGTGACATGTCAACATAGGGTACATCACGAAGATCACAAAAATCTTCAGATACGTACCTTGCGAATATGTAAGAAACCGCTAAACTTAATCCACTATAATTTTGGTTTAAAACACAAATGAGGGTCATAAATGCTGCTTGCAAACCAAAAATCGCATCAATATATTTATTGAATGCAGTTCTGTCCTTTATACGAGGTGAACTCAATTCAATAATGCTTGGAGACAAGCTCAAAATAAAGCAAAGAAAACAAAGAACTTGTGGAACTTCATGTTGTAAAAGAACCTCTGTTGTAAAACATGCTACTGGAAATACTTCAATGATGCTTGTTAGAAGCTCGTAATATGTTCGAATCTTTTTTGTTGAGTTTACACCTCCTAAAAATTCAAAAATAATACTATTTTAATAACATTTCATCATAGTTATTTCTTGAATATAATAAAAAATTTATCAATTTTACCATATCGTATAATTCCAAGAACAGAATGAATTAAAAGAATTTGAAAAGCTCGTATTGCCCATCCTTTCTCAAGTATTTGTATTGAAAATGAATTATCGACAAATTGCATGCAGAAAAGAGTAATCACAAGTTTTACTACATGAGCAATAGCAGCTGATGGATTTGCCATTTTTCAAATGTTGGAAGATTGCTGAGTTAGATTGTGAATAATAAAACTGATTGTAAATTTGAAATTATTATTTTTTTCTTGATGTACTCTTAACTCAAAAAGGATTGATTGTTGTAAAAATACTGGAAGTATATGAAATATCACATAAATTCAAATATACAGATGTTGAAGCTACTGCATCTTAAACTTTGGATATCTGCAAGAGAAAAAATTATAAATAAATAACAAGTTCAAACGTAGGTCAAACAAATATCATTTTGCAATTAATTTGAGCAAATATCAATAGTTTACACAAAGATAATGAAAAAATAATGAAACATTTTTAGCAAAAAATTAAATAATGAGATAATTTTTTTATAGTCTCAATCTACTTTTAGAGAGTCCTAAACTTTAAAATCAAACTAATATCTTTTTAATGGTGGTAGATCACTTTACACTTAAAAATATTTCATCACCAATAAATCATCAGATAAGAAAGCAATTATAAGATAAGCTAACAAAAGCAGATAATCACTCAAGATTAAAGTGCGTTTAAAATCAAAATTTTACAAAATATACACTTTGTACATTGATCTTTATGAAATTCCCAGTTCAATCTTAACATATCTCACCAGAAAAAAGTTCAGAGGTCATTGATCAAATGTCACGTTTATATATTCTTAATTAAAGAAAACGAACGAGGCGAACTGAATTCTTTTAATTATGATTAAACGAGCTCGTTGACTTGAAAAAAAAAAATCAAAACAAACAAGCCGAGATTACGCGTAAGCATCATCAAAATAACGTATCACTCCTAAGGGTCTGAGAAGACTTACGTGTGTCTGTCGCTAAATTTTGGTCGATGGTCTGCGCTGGTAAAATACCCTGGCGCCATACGTCTAAAATAATACGCGTCGTGACACAATTTCAATATAAATGTAAAGTGTGCGCTCTATACCCGCACACGCAGTGAATGAAATAAATTCACCGCGCAAGATGTATACTATACAGTACAACACAACTAGCCACGCAATACACTTGCGAAAAGAGCATATGTATATGGAGTATAACTATTGCGATAATAATAATCGAACGCGTGCACTGCCCATCTGCCCGCGTTGATGTCAGTGTATACTGCTATACTATACACATACACTCGGTGTCGGAGTCGTGTTTTAACAACTATATAGAAACCCTAAACAGAACGTAGAGAGTGCCGAGAGTGACGCGGGGCGAACCCGCGCCGCTGTGTATATGTCATAGACCAAGTATTCGAAAGTCACTATGACAGTTATTGGCTTGGCTTCTGCTGACTCTTATGTTATGCAGGCCTCGCTGTAATATTTATTGAATAAATTCAGTTTCTATAAGTTGAGTCGTAGCAACTATAATATATTCTAGTTTTTAGATTCATAACGAAAACTGGTTTTTATACTAACTCAGGCGGATGAATTTTAAATGGTACTAAAGTTTTGAATAAATTGATTATATTTCGCAATGTATAACCTAAAGGAACTCGAAGAAAATGCAAAAAGTGCAGCGACCAAGCATGTCATCAACATGCTGCAGCGGCCAGGACAGCTGGAAAAAGTCGAGCAATACAAACACAGAATCGGTAGAAAGAAAGCCTCGGTGGAAACTATGTTAAAGACGGCCATGCAAAGTCAACTGGACGGTGTCAAAGTGGGCTTTGATCAATTGCAAAATTCATTGACAAGCATTAAAAGCATTGAGGAAGATTTGGATTCTTTTGATTCATTGTTCGACTCCATACCAACTCTCAACAATCAATTGCAATATGTGCAATCAGAAAATATGAAACACTCTCAGTATGTTATTGCGAAAGAAAATTTGAAACACATTTTCACAGTACCTGAAAGCATAGAGAGAACAAAACAATGGATCAATGAGAGTAAACTGCTACATGCGCATCAAAGTCTCATGGATCTTGAGAGTTCTAGAGATGATTTGATGTATGAACTCTACAGATTGCCTAATGAAAAGCCAGCAGATAAAGTAATGCTCAAAGCTTATTTTGAAGATGTTGAAGAACTGTCTCATCGTCTAGAAAAACAAATAAAATTAATTCTAAGTAGAACATTAAATACTGTCAGAAAAGAACCTACTATAATAGTTACTGTGTTGAGAATAATTGAAAGAGAAGAAAAGGCTGATCAATTTGCATTACAGCGATACAAGCAAAGTGGTGGTTTTATGCCTCCAGGACGACCAAAAAAATGGAAAGAAGTAGCCTTGGAAGTAATTGAAAAATCTGTTGTTGAGCGCATTGAAGGTACTCACATTGACCAAAGAAATGATAATAAAATGTGGTTGGTTAGATATTTGGAACTTACAAGATTAAATTTTCTGGAAGATTTGCGTGTAATTAAAACTCTATGTGTTCCATGCTTTCCACCATCCTATGATATTGAGAATAAATTTATTACAATGTATCATTCAAATTTGTCGCAACACTTGAAAGATATTATAAATGATGGATTAGAAGGAAATGAGTATGTATCATTACTTTCATGGATTTTAAATACCTATCAAGGTGCAGACATGATGGGCCATCCAGATTTGAAAATAAATTTGAAAAGTATTGGTTCATTGATTGAAACAGAAATTGTTGAAGAACTGCAAGAAAAATATTTGAAAAATATGTTACTCAATTATGAAGATTGGATGAAAAGAACTTTGGAAACTGAAAAAATTGATTGGTGGGCGAAAGTAACTCCTGAAGCTAATATGCATGAAATCTATTATCACACCGCAGCTCCAGTTATTATTTTTCAAATGATAAGTCAAAATCTTCAAGTTACCAAAACTGTTGGACCTACACTCACATCCAAAGCTCTCATATTAAGCATAGAACAAGTTAATAAGTATAGTTATCTGTACCGTCAGGCTATAATGGAATTCAAAAATAAGCACTTTGAAGATAGAAGTCAATCACCCTACTTCACCCACCATATGATCAATGTATTGAACAATTGTTTGAAGTTTATTGAATTGTCTCAACAAATTAAACAATTATATTGGGTACCATTTAATAATAATGATGCCACTGTTAAGTTTGAGGAACTTATTGACAGTTATCAAAAACTTCGCAATGAAGCTGCAGAAATCCTTTTACAAGAGTCATTTTTAGATTTGGAACTTCATTTCCATGAACTTTTAACTCAGAAATGGTTGCTATCGACTAAAGCTATTGATACAATTTGTGTTACCTTAGAAGATTATTTCCAAGATTACACTCACTTAAGTCCAAAAAATTTTGACTATGTAATTTCTGAAGCTCGAAACTTGATAGCAAAAAGATACATAACTTCAATGTTACAACGTAAAATAACATTGAAAAGTTATGATGAATGTCTTACTTGCATCACAAAAATAATTTTTGAGGCAAATCAACTCATAGCTTTTTTTTCCAAAATAGCACCAAATATGCAGTTAGAGTCATTTGAAATAATAAAAAAATTAGCAGAAGTAGTGAAATGCAAGGATCCAGAAATGTTATCATTGGATTTGCATTCTTTGGTGGAAAGATATCCAGATCTATCAGAGGATCAACTTGTCAGATTACTTCATTTGCGTGGTGATATACCAAGAAGCGAAGCAAAAGAAAAAGTATCATATATTATGGAAACTCATCATAATGGCCAGAAATTACTAAAATACGATCAGCAAAGTATATTTAGGCAAATTGTATTCCAAGATGGATTTTTGAATTGGAAATCTTAAAATTGTAAATGAATTGTTATTGAATATAAGTTTTTTATTATATATTTATACATAAAATTATTAATAAAAAAATCACGTAAAAATTTAAAAATTTATTGTTAGCTATTGGGAATAGGTTTTATGTCAAATAAATAATATATTCATATTAAAATAACTAAAAGAGTAATTTATATTATTCATCAAAGTTATTTGATGTATTTTCATTTTCAAAATGATTCGAAATGCTTTCTGGCTTCGGAGTGTGTATTTTATCCCCTCCATTTTTTACTCTCGATGAATGTCGTCTGCATGTGTTTTCAATCTTGGGCAGCTGTTGTAAGTTGTGACCACGCGGCCGCGACTGTCATTTCGAAACTTCGTTTTTTTGTTCATTTGTTTAGTTTTAATTGTTAATTGTAAATTAGTCCAAAATGACAGGTGATACTTTGGAAAGACGTGAACGTCTGTCTTATGCAGACAAAATAATTATGGCTCCTATGGTGCGAATAGGTACTTTACCTATGAGATTGTTGGCTCTGGAATATGGTGCTGATATTGTTTACACTGAAGAACTTATTGACTGGAAGCTTTTACGATCCACGAGAAAAGTCAATGGTTTGTACAGATTTAAATTTACGTTTATAGAATTCTTTTTCAATTTCTTTGGACAGTTAAGTTAAAAAATATTTCAACATAACCTATGAAAGAAGTAAACAATTTTGAACTAATGTATAAGTTTTATGATATTAAAACATTCAAGTTTTTCATATTGTTCAGTATGTTATTTATGTTAATTTTTATATTTTTCTTTTATAGACGTTTTAAAGACAATTGATTACATTGATAAAACCGATGGAACAATTATATTTCGTACCAGTCCACTAGAAAGATCAAAAGTTGTTCTGCAACTTGGTACAAGCGATGCTAAACGGGCCCTGACAGTTGCAAAACTTGTTGAAAATGATGTCGCAGGTATCGACATTAACATGGGTTGTCCCAAAAAATTTTCAATACTTGGAGGTATGGGTGCTGCTTTACTCAAACAACCAGAAAAAGCTGCAGATATATTAAAGACTCTAGTCGATGGATTGAGCATTCCTGTAACGTGTAAAGTTAGAGTTTTTGAGGATGTAGAAAAAAGTATTGAACTGTGCAAAAAATTAGCTGCAACAGGCATTTCAGCAATAGCTGTTCATGGTAGAACTCCAGATGAAAGACCTCAACATAGAAATAGAAATGAGACCTTAAAAAAAATTTGCGCAAGTATGGATATACCTGTCATTGCTAATGGTGGTTCAAAGGTAATGATTAGATTTTAATGCATTAAAAAAATATCTCTGACAGATATCATTAGATATCATCTAATATACATTTTTTATTTTAAGGAAATTGAAAAGTATAAAGATATACTACAATTTAAAAAAGACACAGGCTGTAGTAGTGTTATGATAGCACGAGCAGCTGAGTGGAATTGTTCAATATTTAGGTCAGCAGGTTTGTTGCCAATTGATGAAGTAATCAAATCATACTTAAAACTTGCATGTGATTACGATAACTCACCAAGCAATACGAAATATTGCATACAAAACATACTCAGAGAATTACAAGAGACACCTCTTGGAAAACGATTTTTGGATACTCAAACTCTTGAACAAATATGGTAAGGATTGCTTTATTAAAAATAAATTCTGAAAACTATTTTGTGGTATTTATTTTTAAATTTATTTTGAAATTTCAGTGAGCTCTGGGATATGGGCGATTACTGTCGTGCTAAGGCTAAAGAATTTAGCTCGCTTGGTTACACTGGTAGGTTCGACGTAGTTCCTGAGAGGCTAAGCCAGCTGGGAGGTGGCGCAGCAAAACGAAAACTCGAAGAGGAAGCCGGAGATGTTTTGTTGATGCGATGTAAATTTATTAGAAATAGTTATCCCGATGACCAAAGTCTACCGAAAAGTCAACTAAATAAATGGACACGAGAAAATAGAAAAAAATTGCCATCATATACGTCGATTAATGAAGATAAATTGTTCAGAGCTATTGTTGTAGTAGATGGGAAAAAATACGGTTCAACGTTTTGGTAAGTAAATTTTTTTTCTATATATTTGACTTTTATATCATATTTCATGCTCAATGTTATAAAATTATATTCTCATTCACCAGGGAAAAAAGCAAAAAATGGGCTGAACAAGGTGCTGCTCTAGTTGGTTTATGTGCATTAGGAGTCATCGATGAAGCAACTTTAACTAATGATGGAAACCTTCTTAGTTGACGTGTTCGTGAAAATAATTAGTTTTAAGTATTTATATGAAATATGCTTCAATTATTTTTGGAGTCATTTTGTACAAAAGAAGTATCATACAATATTTTACAAAGCTGTTATCTGTTCTGAAAGATTTAATATTATAATATTAAATTACTTTTATAAACAATTCAATAGAGAAATAATTTTTTTATCAATGACAATTTAATGAATAAAAGAGTTTTATTCTAATACATAAAAAAACATGTTTGAAATATCATTTCCTCATCGTGTTTTTGAAGTAAAAAAAAACAAAACAGCATGTACCATAAAAAGTCACTCGATTTTTCGCTCAGCGGCATAAAAAATCGGTTACATCGCTTCGTTTCGTTTGCACACTCGTCTACGTCTATATGTACACGCCGCGACCAAAACCAAATACAGTCGTATATCTATTCAAAAGGACATCCTGAATCAGTTTTTTCGCCATTGTAAAACCTGTTATTAATTTACTCGGAACAAAAAACAGAGTCCCGAAGTGCTACAAGCAGCCCGAGAGACATTATTTCGACCTTGGCTTCATAAAGATACACGAGCGCGTAAAGTTTGTGCAAACTTTTCGTATACACACAAGTACCCCGCGCGTTGCTTACATATTGAACACTGCTCCGAGACTCGGGCCTCGGTCGGACTCTTGTCTTAAAAAGAAATTTCATCCCAGCCGTGAAAATGCAAACAAGCGTCCATTTACTCGGATCGCTGCTTCTCGAGGCAGTACTATACATTAAATACACCACTATGACGAAACAACCCGTGCGCGATATATAGGTGTATGTAAAAGGACAGCAGCTGAAAAGGAGATGAGAAACTTTCTCGAGCAACATTATTCATTTTGACGGGGTATATAGCCTGCACTCGCACTCACAATATGTGTCGTTATATTTTATCGTGCCTCGTATATGCGGTTTGCACGCGTCGGTGTACCCCGATAAAAATCCTCATTGTTATCGTTGCGAAATTAACGGATCGCGCACTGGGTTCGAAGGTGAACATTATATATCTCGCGAGTCATCGTATAGTGTACCCGATTTTTTAGCAATTCTTCTCGTATGAGTAGGAGTGTTCTTTTTTTCGTCGCTTTTAACTCTTTTTTTGAAATGTTGCATGTAATTTTTTTTATCGCTATGGCACACAAAAAAAAATTTGAGCGCAAATCGAGTTTTGTACTATTTTTTAGCAACCATTTACTGTATCTGCATGGTAAGAATTTTTTTACTTCGAGTGCTTGGTTTAGTTGAAAATATCTTTATTATACTTTCAATTTTTTTTATTATTCAAAAACTGAATATTACAGCAACCTGTACCATTACATTATTTAAAAATATATTAATATCAAAAAATAGAATCGTCAATTGAATTCATAATATGTGCTCGCAATTTGAAAATAATTAAAAGTCCGAAAAAAATAAAAACAAATATAACATTTGATCTCATATTCCTACTTGTGAAAAATTTTCTGAAGGATGAACTGGCTATCATTTCCATTGAAGCTATTAAAAAAATGGAAAATTTTACTGCAGAGAATAAGCATGCACTAACAGGTATGTGACGTCAAACATTTGCGCTTTTTTTAACTGCAACCTCATTACTTACCGTATGGATTTTTATTCGAGTCCTGTAAGCTCTCAATATGATCATATACTTTATCGATAAACTGCTTTTTTACAATTAAGAAAGAGGATTATTGTCAATTACTGGTAAAATAACATACAGCTACAGTACTTGCTGTACAAATACTATACAAGCAAAATTGTACTTTTTTCTCTAAGAATACGACGAATAATCAGTGAAAAGGTTTTCAAATATTAACAATTATATTAACCTGAACCTTTTTAATGTAAGGAATTGATGAAACCCATGAATTGCATCAAAATCTTGAATAAATCATATGCAATCGTTAACATTTCGGAAACAACTCATGGAAGGCGGAAGTAAGAGAAAAAGTTAAAATATAATGTCATTCGAAAAAAAGATTAAAAGTTTTTACCTTTATAAGTGCGCATGTCACCAACGGTATTAAATTCTGAATTGAATATGAGTTGAAAATGTTTTTCTAAATAACGATAACATGAAAAAAATCGAATTTAAATTCGACAAAAAACTCGGTCCATTTGGTTATCAATGAGTAATACATTTTATAGTTTTATAGTTTGTACCTCGACTGTAGATGTCGCATCGCCAATCCCCAAGCAAAAAAATTCGACTTCGGTATTTTAGAGTAACGAATAACCAGACAAATTTAGTATCGGCAAGATTTTTTTTTGAAAACATCTATACATTTGCAAGAAAATTTGTTAAAAGCATTGATGTAATTTGAGAAATATCATAAAAAGCTCAAATAAATCACATGGGAGTATTAGCATTCGAGAAACAATTCGTGAACGTAAGAGGACACACGAACGTATTATATCATTTGGAAAAAAGATCGAAAGCTTTTACCTTTTAAGTATGCTTGTCACCAAATGCAAAGTTTCACTGCTATTATATAAAGCCGAATACAATGAAAAACATTGATGATAAATTCAAGATCAGGATATAATTATTTCGTAAAAGGTACAATGCAATATATTTTCATAATTATGATGGATTGAATTATATGAAGTTGGATTGGGAAGATTTTAATTATAAAACAAGAAAGTTAGAGGCAATAATATCTTTTATTGTTGTAAAAATGGTTCATGTTTTTGATCCATAATAAATATTTTTGTGCGTAATAATACAGTGCCGAAGAGCATTAAAACATTTTCAATAAAGCTACAATTTTTTACTTTCAGTATTACTTCTATAGACACTAAAGATCGATCGTGCACGATTTAATTGTCCAAGAAAATCACACCTCTAGTTTACAAGATTACGGCGGAATCTCGTTGGGTCGCTCGAAGTCGACCGATGTTTTTTTCAAATTTACAAGACGGCAAGAGGAGCGGCGTGGGCGACGTGCAGAGCCGGTGCGGCGTGAACGGCGTGGAGAACCGGAGCGGCGTGGACGGTGTGGACGGCCAGTGGGGCGGCTACGGCCAGTGGGGCGGCGGCGTGGTAGGTCGTGGTGATGACCGGCGAGCTCTTGGAGATCTTGACGGTGTTCTGGTAGCTGGTGGCCACCGGGGCCGAGGCGATGACGGGCGCGGCGTGCACCACCGGCGCGGCGGCTACCAGCGGGGCGGCTGCCAGTACACCGGGCTTAGGCGCGGCCAGGGCGCAACCGACCAGGGCGAGGAATACGGCCAACTTGAACATCTTGAATACACGAGTGTTTTTGGAGCTTCGAGCTTGGCGGATCGACTGACTATTGCGAGGAGCAAGCTTCGATTGATGCTCGATCAAATTCGCCGCCGCGTATTTATACGAGCGCGTCGGGAAGATCTCGCCAACGAGGTGGCTATGTACTTCCATGTGATACGTCCAGTGCCAAGGACGTAGAGAGGCGATGGTTTCGTAAAGTTTTTACGTATACGCGCGAGGCGGTGCCGCATACATGGTGGTGGTGGTGGTGGGTGATGTCGCGCATGCAGATGTAACAAAAAAAAGCCCTTCACTCGATACGTACCGAAACTGGACGCACCAACGACAACGAGTGGGGAACGAGACGCGTAAATATATATCGCCAACCGAGCATAATAAGCCTATCCAAGGACTTTCTTTGTGAGGATGAGTTTACGAACGCGTCTGGTACCGATGGAAAACAAAAAAAAAATAACGTCAATACGATTGTATTTTTTGTTTCGTTGAATGAAAAAAATACATAAATAAAATCATTATAAATATTTTCTTCTTCTTTTTTACTTATGTTACGTAACGTTTTTAATTTTTCTCATTTGTGATTTACTTCATGTGCGAATGTTATTGTCACGATTTGAAAATTACTTTAACCAAATTTATCTATTTATTAGCTATCCGTCCATTTATAATCTTGGTTACCCTATAATGCTTCGCGTTTTTTGTGCGCCATATATTCTATCAAACAACATACCTAACAACTTGTAGACATTTTTCGTGCTTTGATTCATATATAATTATTTTCATTTTACCACTTGCAGATTTACAGATGATGTCATTCGCCATCTAGCGGTAGAGACTCAAAGTGGTATTTTATCGTACGCAAGGAAGTTGAAAACTGTTTGGAATTTTTCTAAAGAGTTTAATTGTCTTGACAAAAACAAGTTATTTAATAGTAGGGTATTTTAAAACATTTCAAATGGCTATATATTTTGGGTTGTTCGATCATTATTAATGACGATCATTTCTACCGGTTTATACATCCTAAAAGTTTCAAAATTTGAAAAATTTCAACAACAAAAATGAGTAAGACTTTACTCAACGTGCATACCGGAAATGAAAGAACGTAATCAGTAAAGAATATAGGAACAAATTACATCTATGATCCTCAAAAATTCAGACTGATCGATATTGAACGCATTTCATAAGATGTCGAGTAACTACTTAATTGATGAAAATCACGAAAAGTCATTATGTCAGGACTTCACAATAGCTGTGACTATAGCTGCTGATACATGAACATGATGGTTTTTCTTTAAAATAAGTTTATTGTCAGTGCACGTGGGCATTTTGACAGTCACGTTGTTCTTACCCAGCGATCCCTCGTTCTTAGTCGGGCTGCGCGTAGCACTTAATATGGCATCGAGTGAAGTCCGGCGAGCTTTAGCTTATCTGACGGTTTTCGGTCGCCTAAACATCTTTGACTATTCGCCACCAGGTCCACGAGCACCGAAGATTCCGTCGATGCTTCGAGGACGAATCAATGTGAGCGTGGTGCATTATTGGGCATTACACAAAGTCAAATATATGAGTCTTTGATCTCTCAAGTAATAAAAAAATTCTATATCGATATATTACAATTATTTTTTCCATTTTCAAAGTTTTATGGGCTGTTTATTTTGACTGTAATAGAAATATTAATGTATAATATGTGTAGAAACGCCTCACATTACGCAACGTATCCCTTCACATGATTCGGCAAACGTTCCTATTGCTTGGTTTACGCGGATTCAGAGCCCTAAAGTGCAGAAAAATTTGCAACAATACTCGTCATTTAACTTAAATAATATTTGAATAATTTTTTTGTTTGAAAGACAATTTTAATTTACTGAAATTAAAATTATTTTTATTAAAAATTACCGCAAAATTTCAACGAAAATCCATGGTTATGTATTTTCAAGACAATGATTTCTATTTTGGCTAAGAATATAAACTTATCTTATAAACTACTCTAAAATGTTTTCAAATCAATGGTATGAATGAATGTTAATCAAATTCATGTAAATTATCAGCGATAAAAAGTATAGAATCTATTTGGACACTGGCCAAGGCTACCTACTTTTTTTCTCAGTATACATAGACAAAAACGATCAGGCTTCTGTTTAAGACACCACGGAGTTTACAGAGGAAGATCGCATAGATCGCAGCAAGGGGTTTTCCCCAACAAAAAAAAACTATTTTATTAATTATAAGCGACTGTGTGTTGTTAGTCATCCTTGGCCAATACAGCGCGGACGACGTAATCAACGCTTATCACAAGCTCTTGAATCAACTTCGTCAAGTTGACATTTGAATCAACGATCAGAAGGGCCAACTTCCAATCCCCTGAGAGATTTTGCGTAAGAAAGAAATAGATTCAATATTCTCGGATTCCGTAAAGGATAAGTATAAAGAGCCGATGATTTATAAAAAACGTTTATCATTATTAGAGCAAGTCACGAAGTTCTTAGCTCGCATCGGCTACAAAGACGAGCTCGAAGTCGATAAAGACGATCAGCCATTAGTGCATCGTACCACGTTAGTGCATGATGTGGACAGTCTATTCGAAATTTTTCACGGATTTGATGTGGATTACACCGACGGAATCGATTCGATGCATTTTCACGTGGCCTGCAGGTACGGCCTCGAGTAGGTCGTCCAAAAATTCCTCTAGCTCGGACAGGTCAATTCCAATTGCTTCGAGCTTAAAACGGGCGATTCACCGCTGCACTTGGCCGCGTGAGGCGTATTTGGCAATCGAGTTTGTCTAAATCAATGTTATCATAACTAATATCTTTATTCCTTGAAGTTAGGAATTTCTTAATTTTTCAAAATGTCACTTTGAATAGAGCAATTTACTTTAGTTATTTTCATTTACTTTTTGTGCAAACTAATAATTTGTAATTACTTGACGTCACACGACTCTCGACTCGATATTTATATTTAATCCTCTTTTAGTATTCTATATTACGTACAAAATGCAATAGCTTTTAAACGTGCAAAGCAAAATCGAAGATGTAGAAATGAATTTTCTTGTTCCAATGAAAAAACAGTAGCAAATTAATCAACTGACTTTTTAATGAGTTACTGGTATTTTGAATTGTGTATGTATACAAAAATATGAAATATGATCACAGTCAAGGCGTTCAATATTTTGAAAACAGCGTATATTATTTAAGCTAGACCGTGTATAAAGGCGATTTACATAATTAAAATTTAATTCATACGCAACTCGAAACAGTTTGAGTCATTGCGTTACGTGCATTGAACAACACGTATGTGTACTCGAGAGGAGACAATGTGTATACGGTTTAAAGTAGCCATCCCTTCACTTCTCGATAATGAACGTGACGAAACTGGAGTAAACACACGAGTACGCGCACTCCCACTCGTTCCGAGAACCAAAAAAGAGTCCTTATCAATGGGTTGCGGCACAATACGCAGACTCCGTAATATTATTTCACGTGAACGTACTATAACCAGCAGCAGATCGCCATGGATATATAAGCGCGACCGGAGCTCGGAAAAGGCATCATTCGCTCCTTGCAGCATCTCAGAGTCAAGTCAGCTCGAAGCTACCTCCTCGCCTTCGCCTTCCTCCCTCCTCGAAGATGTTCAAGTTGGCCGTGTTCCTCGCCCTGGTCGGTTGCGCCCTGGCGGCGCCCAAACCCGGTCTTCTGCTCGCCGAGCCGGTGGTGCACGCCGCCCCCGTCATCGCATCGGCCCCTGTGGCCACCAGCTACCAGAACACCGTCAAGATCTCCAAGGACAGCGGCGCCAAGACCGTCGTGACTCATCATCTGGCTGCACCAGCTGCCGTCGTGCCCGTAGCCACCGTCCATCATGCCGCACCTGTGATCACTCATCACGCCGTTGCTCCCGCAGTCGCCACCATCACTCATCACGGCAATGTCCACCTCAGCCACGCCGTACCCACCCTCGCCGTCGCCCATTACTAAATGCTTTATTTGAGTCATTTTATAATATATTACATGTAAGCCGACAGCCGAATATCAACTACCAAACTCTGTTGAATGTGTTCCTTTCTTTTGAAATAAAATAAATATTATTTAGTTTTTAAACCAAACTGAACTTTTCAATTCTTTACCGTGCCTTTTTCATTTTTTTGTCTTCCACTGAAGTTTTTGGGGTACTAAAATTTTACTTTTATTTTGAGATGATGGTAAATTCGAATTTTTAAGTTATAAAAATTAAAAAGAAGTCTGCCAGCATCATCGATATCTTTGATAAGGACGTCTTTTCGTGCGTCATCGCGCAGCTTCGAGTACTTCCCGTAAAGGCAAGGATGGTACGTGGAAAATTCTCGAAGTCACCGTCCTTCGAGTAAACGAGAAACGTTATGATATGCGCATGGAACGGTCGCTCGTTTCACGACAGTGCAAGTACTCATCGAAGCAAAAAAATGTTATAAATTTTTTTTCTCGTCGATTTCTGATGCAATAGAATGAGTAATTACAATAACTAGGAAAGGTGAACAGCACAGCAAGTTTGAGTATTAGTAGGTATATTTGTGAGTTCTTGCCTGGGAAAAATAATAAATTATTTACAATGCAATTAGCATTAGACAACAACTGTTGGAATTATTCAATAAAATTTATTGATTTAAAATTAACTCTTTAAAAATAAATCGCTCAAATTCCTCTTAAAGCAAAACAGTAAAATATTTAAGTCAATATAAGCATCGAGCTTTTTTACATAAAAATGCGCTTATTTTTTTCACATAATGAGATAAAATAAACATTAGAACAGCTTGTAATATCATTGGAAATTACATTTTTCGATGAGCCTTCTGAACAAATACATTAGACCGAACGTAGCGGTTTTTTGATACAATTAAACACGAATTTTATAAATTTATTAAGAGCTTGAGTGATGCACCGAATCCACGTGGATTTTAAGATGACTCACCCGTATAAATATTTTTCCGCATCTATCACATTTAGGTCTTGCATTATTGGGCACCGAATTGTCGTGCTTTTTGAGATTACTCTTCGTCTTAGATTTTTTTCCACAAATATCAAGTGCATAAGGGATACCTTTATGCAACAATTTGATATGCCTCTTGAGATTTACCTTTTGAGCGTATTTATTTTCACATATATCACTTGCATATTCAACACCATTGTGCACTGAATCGATGTGGGTCTTGAGATGATGTTTATAAGTATACGACTTGCCGCATATACCGCATTTATAAGTGAGACCAGTATGTACTGATTCGATGTGGGTCTTGAGATGATGTTTATAAGTATACGACTTGCCGCATATACCACATTTATAAGTGAGACCATTATGCACTGCATCTACGTGGGTCTTGAGATGATCTTTTCGTGAAAATGTCTTGCCGCATATATCGCATTTATAAGTGAGACCATTATGTACTGAATCGATGTGATTTTTCAAATTAACTTTTTGTGAAAATGTCTTGCCGCATATATCGCATTTATAAGTGAGACCATTATGTACTGAATTGATGTGGGCCTTGAGATGAACTTTTTGTGAAAATGTCTTGCCGCATATATCGCATTTATATGTCAGACCATTATGTACTGAATCGATGTGGGTCTTGATACTATCTTTTCGTGAAAATGTCTTGCCGCATATACGGCATGCATGTGTGACACGATTGTGTACTGCATCTACGTGGGTCTTGAGATGATGTTTATAAGTATACGACTTGCCGCATGTATCGCATTTATAAGTGAGACTATTATGCACTGCATCGATGTGGGTCTTGAGATGATCTTTTCGTGAAAATGTCTTGCCGCATATATCGCATTTATAAGTGAGACCATTATGTACTGATTCGATGTGGGTCTTGAGATGATGTTTATAAGTATACGACTTGCCGCATATATCGCATTTATAAGTGAGACCATTATGTACTGAATCTACGTGGGTCTTGAGATTACTTTTTTGTGAAAATGTCTTTCCGCATACGTGGCATTCGTGCATGGTTTTATTATGCTGGGAATCGATGTGGGTCTTGAGATGACCTTTTTGTGAAAATGTCTTTTGACATATATCACATGCGTGGGTTATGTGATCATGCGAAGATTTGACATGTCTATTCAAATTAGGCTCATTTGCAAATTTCTTTCTGCATATTTTACACGAATGACTTTTATCTTCGCGAGCCGAGCTGGCGTGTGCTTTGAGCCTATTTTTGTTATTAAACTTTTCCGTAATTTTTTCATTTTGTCCGCTGAGTACTCGATCAAATTTGAATTGCATTGCTTCTTCGCCGAAAAATTCATGTTTCATTTCACCCACGGGTTCGGGTATTTTAATTCTATCATTAGTTTTATAATCAAAACTACATTTCACATCCAGCAAGTGATTTGAAGGATAATTGTCCATTTTTCTAACTACTAATAAATCCATACTGGGCTTTACGTCTTCGCATTCTATAACTATCTCTATATCATCATTGAACTTACGTTCATGATTTTCGTCATATTCTTGAAGGATTTTGATCTGGAATGAAATTGACATTAAGTAGAATTTTAATTTAGAAATGCCGAATAAGATATTCATACATAAGTATCATCTCTTACTGGATTTTCTTGCAGAAATGATAGAGGGTATAAGTCGAGTGTCTTGTCAGTTACTATACCATTATTTTCATTAGGCGACACGTCTACAGGTTCATTTTTGACTCTAAAATAATTCGAATAAGATTAAGTATTATAGTATAATACCTGAAAAACCTTCATTCTTGTGAAATAAAAATTACCTGACAGGATATAAACCACTGGATTCCATGTTTTTAACTTGAATTTTAGTTAACGACGATTGTTCTGTTGTAGTGTTACACATCAAACTAACTAACATACAATTTACAGTAGTATTTACAAATCGTCATGTCATGACAATTTTATCGAATCAATTATAAACACAGCAACACCAAGTTAATATATTATATTGAAGAGTTTTATTATTGATTTGCCGAATGATTTCATAATTTTTCGATCATCCATCATATTTTGAAAAAAAAGATATGTTCTAAGATGCGCAAAGAGCAAGACTTATTTTTAATTTTCAAACGAAATAAATATTACATACATTTTTAAGAAAATAACTGTAGTGCGTTAATTAGAAAAAAAGTATTAAAGTCAACTTCACTTGATTTTATAAAGAATTTTTCATCGAATGTAGAAATAATAATAACTAAAAGATGAAGGGTTTTGGGTGAAAAAATGAATATACGTTTAGTTTCCATTGATTATTTTTTTTTTATTGAATATTTAATTTGTTCAATCTATTCTTCATTAACGTTTGGTAAAAAAATATTGCTATAACATGGTTACAACAACGCAGGCGATCTTATACGATACGATCAAACATGTCCTTACAAAAAATACAGGTAGCTTAAAATTAAGTGGCAATCGCGAGCGATCTTGAAATTTCGCATCGCGTCGCCGAATCGTCACAGTCTTTCGCCTTTACAATCAAAGAGGCAACGTTCTCGTACATTATCTTGCGTATATGATATTTATACGTAGTGCAGAGACGTGTGGTGAGCCACGGCCAGTGGGGCGGCGTGGGCGACGTGCAGAGCCGGTGCGGCGTGAACGGCGTGAAGAACCGGAGCGGCGTGGACGGCGTGAACGGCCAGTGGAGCGGCGGCGTGGTAGGTCGTGGTGATGACCGGCGAGCTCTTGGAGATCTTGACGGTGTTTTGGTAGCTGGTGGCCACCGGGGCCGAGGCGATGACGGGCGCGCCGTGCACCACCGGCTCGGCGAGCAGAAGGCCGGGTTTGGGCGCGGCCAGGGCGCAGCTGACGAGGGCGAGGAATACGGCCAACTTGAACATCTCGAAGGATTTGTGATTTTTTTCTTTTCTCGACTTTCGACTGACTTTTGCAAGGCACGAGCTGCGATTGATGCTCTGTATGGCTTAGCAAGGCTCTTTTATACTCGGCAAAACGAGTGGTAAAATATACGTACGCGTGTGTACCAGTATACGCTGGATCTGCTCAGTGCCAAGGCCTGTGAAAGCGCGCCTCGCAGCACGCCGGTTTTTTTTCGGGGGGTAAGCCTTTGTTGAATTTGCCCGCTCCTTTGTGCCTGGCGCGTTCTTTAGGAAGGAGACTGTGACTCCGTACACGCATCTCGAGTATAGCAGAGATTTTGTTTTGAACCGGGACAAAAAATGATGATCGAAGTCGCTGTTTGTTGTTTCAATTAGACGTCTAGACGCTTTATAGATTAGAGAACCGATCGCTTCTAACGGTATACGGTTTCCTGATTAACAGATACGGTAAAGCCAATTTTTCGTTAGATAATTATAATATCTAATTCGGAGTCCAACGTGTTCCCCGCGATGACGCTTCAGAAACGAAAAATACATTAATATTAATAATGCCTCGCTCGCGAGATCGAAATTCAATTATGGCTCTCTCGACTTGGCACCGTTTGATAATTGCATTGACATGTTAACACGCTTAAATCGAGCGCGTAAAGAAGAGAACATCGTCTTGCCGATAATCGCGCCGATCGATGCGCTTTATGTAATACCCTATTATGTGTTACATAGCTTAATAAAGCTTACCGTGCACGCGCGCGCGTCCGAGCACGAGGGACTCGTGCGTGCGTAAAAATACGTGACTCGCCGATCGGGGAGCTTTCTTTTTTTCCGGGTTCGCGTGCGTGCATTATGTGCATATACACATGCACTGCAGCGAAAAAGGATGGCTCGCAAGATGCGGGGACTCGAATCGAGTCCAAATTTATTAGCATAATGTTTCGAAGTAGATCGAGCGCATGAACACCGGGCTGTGAAGTAACGTTTGGGTTTTTTTCATTGTTTTTTTTTCACGACAATACTTCGTCGGGTAATGGATTACTTTTATCGATCGAAAATTTGAATTAAATTAAAGGAGTATTAAATAAGGCTACAACGTATATTATTTTGAAAATATGAAATAAAATCTGATGCCGCTGTAAAGGGACAGATTCGAATTAATTTTCAAAACACAAGTCCGTCATCGTCGAGTTGTTTTTATCGAAATCGAGTCCCGAGAATAACACATACATCATCGCTAAAATTCGGTTTTTAATATATTCAACTGCCAGTACAATTTGGGTACACAATACTCAAGGACTTGCCTCGCGCGCGCGTTGACACACATCTCATCGTTCGATGTATGTATGTACCTCTTGATACAATTTCAGCCATGCAAAATCTCATAATTCCATCTCAGCAGCTTATAATAAGCGGAACGAATAGCACATGTTGTGCACAGATCGCGGAACAAGTGTTTACCAATTCTCGTGCCAACCTATATTATAGTTAAAAAAAAAAAAGAATAATGAATTTATTACTTTGCGAAATGTACTGCTTGTAAGCAGAGCTCGCGATTAAAGACAAAAAAGTCCTTGACCCTGTGACGTCGCTTATACAAGTTAAACGACGCCTAATATACGTTTGCATGTAACGACAATGAGGCATTTTTACCTACGAAATTAGCGTTTATTTTCCGCGCCACGCGTCGATGTGTTTATATGGATATTCTCTAGCAGCTGCCGCGTATAGCTTCTGGGTTAATGAACTTTGCGTCTTTTATTAGCGCGATCTTTGATGACGGAAATGAAAGAAGCGCGACATTATAACTCGTTGACTGCCGCGAGATTTCACACGTGATTGAAATATTTACCAGTTTGGGTCTCGCGTCCGATCATCGTGATTCTTAATGGACGGCAGCGGCGTTGTATATTTTCGACGTGTTATTTTGGTTTTCAATTCTGGAGAGAGAAAAAACCTTACCCTCGATGCAGCAACGTCGACTTCTTTTCTTCGCGTAAAAAAACTTGAATCATCGTAGACAGAGAATTTTGTCAGTTAATAGACGACGTAAGTTGAGTTTCGAGAATCTTTTTTTGTTTATTTTTATATTTTTTTTTTGTTTTCAAGTGGCAGGTATTCGGAGAAACCCCATCGCCGGAGGGCACGGTTTAATTTTTGTTTATTTTTGTCGTAAAAAATTAATTTTATTCGAAGCGCATAGATTTTTTATACAATCTGATACAGATTATCTACAGCAAAATTTTTTACAATTACGTTAAAAATGTATCGAAATCAATATTGACACACACAATGTGTCACTCAAAGAATAACATACGATTACGAGCGCAGCTCGTTTAAAAAAACAATCGATCGCGTTTTGCAATAACACTATACAACACGGGACTCGAGTGCTCGTCGTCGCTAAATACATAAACTCCCATCTGGGTTATTATATCACCGGAGTCATAATATCGATGTAAATTACGAGGTAGGCGATGTTCTGACTCGCACCTCGCATATACATACGTACGGTATATACCATAGAAAAAAAAACGAAGAAGAATAGGAGGAAGGAGAAAAGAAAAAAAGTGTAACGCCGGGGTGAGCATAAAATATAATTTATATATCGAGCGCGCGCGGTATATTACGTAAAGAGCCGATCGTCGGCGATCGGTAAGCATAATGATACATTGCAATATTTGTATACGCATTCGCGAATTTCGATCGATTATTATTCGTTTCACCGGCCGTTTGGCGCAGGTGTCGTGTATATTATTTGATCGTTTCCTCAAAAGGTCCTCAAAGAGACGGCCCAGACAGAGAGAGAACAAAAAACTGTCCCTTTCGACATAATATACGTACATCGTGTGTATAAAAGCGGCACACACAACGAGAGCGAAAAGTACACATAACGCGCGCAACACTTTTTTTTATGTATTACGAGTTTAAAAACTAAAACTCTATGCTCTCGACCGTCTACTCGAATTTGTATGTATGTGTGTCGTACATACATAAGTGACCCATTTATTTCCACATCGCATAAGTATATTCGCGCGCCGCCACCGCTGCTGCTGTAAAATATCGTACGATCATACATTAAACATGTGCATGTTCGCGGCCGCGCCAAGAGACATAATACACTTGCACTTTTTTACCCGCACTCGACTGCCCCGTGTGTGTGTGTGTGTGTGTGTGTGTACATTTGTGTATTATTAATTCAACGTTTTTCATTGCGCGATGGACACTTTCGAATGTAAGTCACGAAAAGAGCAGCGGCGCATCGGGCCACGCAAAGCCAGCAATTGTGCAGTGCTGTACTTGTGCTGCACTGCTCCGAGTGCTCCATTTACACGCGGCCGAATATCGCAAATTGTCAGTTACGATGGATCCGCTGCCCCGTCCGCTGCCTTTACGTATGATGAATAATCGATGGATTCTTCACATGCGCGCGAGCATATAATCGGTATACATGCGTCGATGTTTCGTTTTTTTTTGTTGTATACAGTCGATATTAAATAACGTGGGAATGGTTTGAAAACGATCGCGTATACGGTTGGATCACATCTGCACACTCGGCGAGAAAAGCCTAATGCATGCGTACGCGTCGAACGATCGATTTCGCCGAAAAATCATAAATTTCCATTTATCGCGTTGGCCGCGTTGCACAGTGGCGATGAATATGTGATCGTTCATGGTCAGGCCCTTGGGTAATATTTTTAGTGCAGCATCGAAATCACTACGATTTTCATGGGTGATCTAATGTTTATTTTACGCGAAAAATGTATAGACGAATGGTGAACTCGTTTCGCGGGCTTTTGACGTGAAAACAATTCGATTTTCGCGCCATTCGATTTCCCATTCCGGTGCAGCGGGGTCATAGGCGTGTGTCTATTATATATACCGATATATCGTGCTCCAAAAAGGTGCATTTCAAACTTTGCACGCTGAGATTTGTTACGTAGTGTAGAAATATCAAGGAATCAGACGATAAGAGAAACGATCGTCCGCGAACGGCAGAAATTACAGCTTGCATCGGTGCAGTAGCCGCGGGCCTATATAAGTGTATACCTACACATTGTAAAGTTTTGGGAGACAAACGGTTGAAAGAGCACAAGTGTGTGCCTCGCCGCCGTTACTGCCGTCGCGAATTCACACACATACACGAGCGAGCGCGAATTCATACCTAAATGTTTATTTATAGCTAAAGTGCTCATCTCTTGCCTTTTTCACACGCGCGCGCACAATTCCTTAGATATTAGAGTTGTCTTCGTATAAGTGTGTGTTACACTCAAACACACATACACAGCGAAGAGCGCACATTTGTGCCTATGTATTATTATTAGCAGCCGCCGCCACTCGACGTTTGTACATTCACAAGCGCAGTAGCAGTTTTACGCTCCACCCGATTCGCCGCGAGCGTAAACGTGTTCCGCGCGTCGTCTCTCTCGCAGTTTCTGCTGCCTCTACTTAGGCATGCAAACGAGTGCCTACACATGTCTGTGTGTGTGCGAGTGAACGTCGTTCGTGTATAACCGAGCGTATAACAGTGTTTTTAGTATTCGCGCACACCCGAGCTATGTGTCATTAGGTTGTACACAATAATACACTCACACATACGTACGCTCGGCCGTCATTAAGACGAAGCTCGTGCATGGCAGTGAGAGAAAGAGAGAGAGAGAGAGAGCGCAAGAGGCCAAAGAAAATAAGAGTATAAGCCTCCTTTTGTAGATAAAGGATATAGACGAGACGTCTGCATCGTGTATGTACTGCAGCATTAGTACGACTGCAATCCCGACTCGTGGATGCTGCTGCTGCTGTTGCCGAGTGCTGCTTTGAGCGAGAAAAAAAGACCCAAGGTTAAGTGTGCTGCTGCTGCTGCTGCTGTGCAGGCCTTGATCGCCTCGATGTATTCTCTTTGCCTCTACTGACAGAACGCCGTTTTTAGAAGAGGAAACGAGTCGCGCGCCGCGACTCAGCCACCCGAAATCGAAATTAATAATATAAGAAAGAACGGAGTGTTTCGGGTTGCTGCAGCACAGCAGCAGCAACAACAACAACAACAACAACAACATGTCAAAGAACGATGGCCCGAAACTCGTCGTAGCGCTCTTTACGTTCAAGGGAAAAAATAACGACGAGGTGCGTGCTGCTTCTTACGTGACTATTCGCTATTGTTTTTCTTTTATTTCGAACAAAATGAAGAGCCTAGCATGCGCTCGACCCTATACGCAATGATCGTTCCTCATTATTATTTTATTTTTATCGAATTGCACTCGAAAGAATTCGGAGCATTGCTGGTATATATACCCACACATGAATCATTTCTCATGGTTAATATAACTGTCTCAATTTGTTAGGAATGCATAACACGAGTTATTTTTGAAGTTGTATATCCGGAAATGATGAAAATCTTTTCAAGAAAAACTTATTGGGAATACTTTGTTTATATGCCGAATAAACAGAGTTAATTGATCCTGATTTTATGTACAATATTAGAATGCAAGTTTATGATTAAAATAGGTTACCTTTAAATATTTAATTTGAGAGTAAAAACACTGAGCTTTATCAATATAGCGATTGCATGTTTTGTATTCGAAACAAGATCTACTGTTAAATTTCATTTTATGAGACTTATTTGAATTATACATAAAATATATTGCACCATAAATACATTTATTGAGTCATTTTGCTCTGATTTATACTGTAAAAGTTAACATTTAAGATGTATATGATTAATGTAACCATATTTTGATCACTGTTTTTTTATATGTGCACAGCTGTGTTTCAAAAAAGGGGACATAATAACCATAACACAACTGGAAGATGGAGGTTGGTGGGAAGGAACCCTTAATGATAAAACAGGATGGTTTCCATGCAATTATGTTCAAGAGTACAAAGCTTCAGGTACAATATTGAAAAGTTTCAACTTTAGTGACTCAGGTACTAACTCATTATTCATTACTAACATGGGTGGGGCTCTACGTTGTAATCATTAGTGATCATTGATATATTTTGACATCATTTTTTAAATGAGATTTTAATAAAATTATTGTCAGAATTTACTGTACTAATTATTTTAATATTTTTATAACATTAATGCATCAAAATTAATATGTAGCTTCAATAATTCATATTGTACAAATTATGAAAGAATTCATCATCTGAACATCTCACTAATCATTATAACATTATGCATACGCATTCGAAATTACTTCATGCATTACATTTTTTATTTACTCCATATTTAATGTAAATAAATTAATTATAGATTCAGGATCATCATCAAGTAAATTGTCACCAGAAAAAAATTCACCAGAATCTCCGGTATATCCAGCTTTTAATAGAGACATTGTTTTAAAAGATATTGTGGATTCAGAAAAAGCAAATGTTGCAGAGTTGCAAAACTTATATAGTCACTTTTTACATCCATTAGAAACAGCCAATATGTAAGTATTCATATTATTTTAAACTTAATTGCGAACGTTAGTGATTATTGAACTTCAATAATTTTTCAGATTACAGAAAGAGGAGTACAGACAACTAGTTGGAAATTTTCCGGATGTTTTGGAAACTCATCAGTACCTATTAGCTAATTTAGAGAATGCTCTATCCCAAGGACCAGAGGCTAAAGTAGGAAACATATTTTTAACTTTGGCACCTAAAATAAAATCTATTCACACAACTTATTGTACTTATCATCCTCAAGCAGTTTGTATATTAGATCGCTTTAGGTAAATGGAAACATTTTCTTATAGAATGATACATAAATTATGATTATTATAATAAAAATTTCGTTTCATTAGGGATGAATTGAATGATTATATGGAACGTAGTGGAGCTATAACTCCAGGAATATTAGTCTTAACTACAGGCCTTAGTAAACCATTCAGAAGACTGGATAAATATTCCTCTATGCTTCAAGAATTAGAGCGTCATACAGAAAAAAATCATCCTGACAGGGGTGATACTCAACGTAGTGTTAGTGTATATAGAGAAATAGCAGTAAGTTGGATCTCAATTATAAATTATAAAAGTATGATAATTACATGATATCTGATTTTAATATTTTACTACATTTGTTTTAGGACTGTTGTGTAACAATAAGAAAGCAACGAGAATTAGCTCTACAAATTTTAATAGGTGGGATTAAAGGATGGGAAGGCGAGGAATTGTGTGCACTGGGAGATATAATTCACGTTGGACCCGTTATCCTTATATCTGGAGCTGATAGAAGAGATAGATATTTTGTATTATTTCATAAGACTTTATTAGTGCTTAGTACAAGCTCACGGATGAGTTCGTTTATATATGAGGTTTGTTCAAATCGTTAATATTCCAATGAAATGACAAAAAAGTGTTTAGAAACTAAAAATGTAAAATTTCTCAACAGGGACAACTTCCCCTGACTGGTATAAATATTGTACCTTTGGAACAATCGGACGAATTGAGAAATGCCTTTGAGATATCTGGTATGTAACAAAAAGTATTTTAAACATTATAATTTGAACTATACTTTATAAATTAAAAATCACAAATCAAATTATTGAACAAAAAAGATGAATATATTTCGGTTCCTTTATTCAACGTTCGAAAAACATTTACCGCCTTCACATGGAAATTGATGCAATGGTTGAAAGAGTCGAGGGGACCGATTACTGTACCGAATTTATATCTATAGCTGTGTATTTATAATTTCGATTTATGAGACACGCTTTGATACACAAAACATACAGGGTTATAAAATCACGGCATGCATTTATGAACGTAAACATTTGTATTTTACGGGCGCCGGGTGAAAATGAGTTTAAATTTAGTCGTCGTAGATTCCGCTAGATTTTTGTATTAATAGACTTTTTCCCTTACTTCAGCCTTCGTTATCATTTGCATTGATTCTTTCATACGTTTCACAACGGGCAGTGCCCTCGAATCGGGCGAGGTGACGATCGCTCGCCTCATCGTGTATATAATGCGTAACCGAATCAATTTTGTCAATTGCGTCACCGCCGAAGGAAGAAAAAAAATCGCAATCGTCGATAATCATCGGTATAAGCACCTCGAGTTTTGAAAGACTCGAGCGAGCCTCGTTACTCGGATAATACCGCGAAATTCGCATTACGAGCGATTTTTCGACCGCCGCGAGTCCCCATAGGATCTCACGCGGAAACGATGTGTTTTGACGTGTTTCGGTCGAGCACGCATGCAGCTAGGCGCGCATACGGATCTTTAATAAAAGTTGCTCCAAACAAGTCATTAATCTGGTTTACCCAAATAGCGCGCGCACGCACACAAAACATCGTTCTCAGAATATGAGATTTGCATGCGGCATACCTATGCGCGAGTGCGTGTATTATGCGTGTATGGGTATTAACTGTGACAGCATCGCGTTCTCTGTTTCGCAGGTCCGATGATCGAGCCGATCACAGTGCTGTGCCCGAGCCGCGACGAGCGTCAGCACTGGATGGAGCTGATCGCGCCGGAGCAGCACCTGACCTCGCCAAGCAGCCACGCCAACGCCGCCGTCGCCACCGCCACCGCCACCAACAACAGCAGCACGACGACTCCGACGACGATGTCGAGCTTCTCTCGCAACAAGAGCGGCAGCGCCAGCATGATCCACCGGAGCGCGAGCGGGGGCAGCTTCGCCCGCTCGACGCCGGCCACCTCGTCCCTGACCCACGTGAGTTGTTGTCGTTACGCTCGTCCCCCCTACACTAGGCTATCGCGTTACTTCGCCCGGCTCGTGCGCAAGCGGCTGCTCCAGCCGGAGCTGCTCAAGCGCCTGCTCTACCTCGAGTATCTCGTGCGGCCGGACACGCAGTCGGTGCGCATGAGGCGCCAGTGCCTCGTCACGTACTCGCTCGAGGCGATCGCGCAGGCCACGACCTCGACCCCCGCGGAGCCCGTCGCGGTGAGGCTGCCGCTGACCTCGTCCTCCTCTTCCACGCCGGCGACCGGCTCGCTGCTGTCCAAGTCCACGTCCTCCTGCCTCAGACCCGGCCGCAAGTCATCGAGCATCAAGCTCGACGTCATGTACGTGCTGGACGACGCCGCCGCCGAGCCGACACCCGCAGTTGCTTCTGCTGCTGCCCCGAGCACGGCCTCGATGGCCGTTTACAGTATGGAGCCGCCCCACGTCATGCCCGAGCTGACTCATCGCAGTCTGCCGCCCAGGGTCACCGAGTCCAACTGCTGCGTGCCGAATTTCGACTCGGTGCCCTACAGACAGCTCAGATCTGGCGAGATCAATCTCTGCGATAACGCGTCCGACGACTCGAAGAATTGGAAGTCACTGGGCAAGAGTCAACAGCAGCAGCTACAGCAGACCCGCCGGGCCGAGGCCTCGCTCAGATCTTCGGATTCTGGCATGGCCGACAGCTTTCAGTATCATTCGGGCCACGAGCTTGGCTCGAGCTACGCCAAGTTCGCCGGCATACACAGCGAGAGCGAGATCGACGAGAACAAGTTCGCCGATCAGTGCATATGCAGCTCGCCGTTCGGCTCGACGCCGCGTCGTTGCAGCGCCGCGACGCCCGCGACGACCTCGACCTCGACCACGTCTTCCTCGACGCCGTCCTCGTCGGCGGCCGATTACAAGTCACTGCTGCTGCTGAACGACGAGAGCGAAAACGAAAACGACGACGACGATGATGACGATGACGACGATAACGACAACAGCAGCGAAAGCAGTGGTCGTCGACGTAACAGCAGTAGTAGCAGCAGCAGCAGCGGTGACGAGGACGACGACAGCAGTGCCGATGACGCGGTCGACGGAGGCAAGAACAAGTGTACCTGCAGACCGGAATTGAGAAGTAGATTCGAGAACATGACGCTCGTACAGAGAAAGCATCTGACGCAACCGATTTCCGAGCCGAAAGTTAAAAAGTACAAAAGACCGCTGGGTCATCATCGCACTAGAGTGAAAAAGCAAGAGACGACGACTCATCTTCACGTGATCGTTGCCGAGGAGGAGGAGGAGGAAGAGGACGACGGCGACCAAGCTGACCCGGATAAAAGGCAGCAGCAGACCTTCACCTCGGGATTGTACGCGCATTGGTGGCTGAAGAAACCCTTGCCCATCGATACCGACAACGCCAGTACCGATGCGGCTACTACTACTGCGCCGCAAGAACGAGGCAAGCTCTTCTACATGGCATGGCTGCGTTTTCTTTTTTCTTACATTCAAATAACGACTTAATAGAGAATCAAGCGAACTTAGAACGTTGATGACTTTGATTTTTTAATTAGAGATTTTGGATTTTCGTTTTTAACACGACGAGCTCTCTATGCCGTCATCCTTATATTATACGAGTCGACTTTTTTTTATCTCTCACTTTCTGTTTATTACATCGCTACATCCAAGCGAGGAAGAATTATTTATCATACAATTAATTATTCTTCATCGCTTGTTGCAAGCTGCCTAACTAATTATAATTCATTGTTCGAATCACCATGTCATATTTCACTTTACGTTATACATACAATAATTATTGAAAGCTGAATCTTTTTATTACAAAACGCCGCTTATCATGTTAATTTCACTTGTTTTATTTTTTCTCTGTCTTAGTCTCAATTGACACAGCCATGTTGTGAGAAGTATGCTTTTGCTTTGCCTTTTGACTGACTTTTTACGTTACATTATTATGATACTAACTGCGGCTCAATACCAAGGATGGTCAAGACACTGTTTGGATCACGAAGAACATTTTCCAATGTTGATTCACAAAATGTTACTCATCTGCAAAATAAACATTTGTTGCGTCACGTATAAATATTGAATGCCACACCGAAGATTATAAATATACATTATTATATGTTTAGAGCGCATTTATATATTGCTATTAGAGCGCTGATAATTTGCCTCTTCTTTTTTCATAGGTTTGACCGATGAATACGACTTTCTTCGCACTTATTAATTTTTTGTATTATTTTCGCACGATTACGATGCGATTGTGTATGTCTTTGAAAAATCATCTCCAGCAATATTTTTTTTTTTTTTTTAGAGGTCTTGCAGTAGATTTTTTTTCTCAACGGCGTCAAGCGCATGAAAGTATAGCACTTTGATAATAACTAAAGTGATTGTCCCAATTACGAGCTCGACTTTCATTATACCAGGCTCGAATGATCGTTCACGAAGAGCGCATTGAATGAGTGAAATAATTAACGTTCTTATGATACATGACCGAACAGTTGTCGGTTTTCAATGTTGTCTAACAATTGCTCGTACTACTTGATTTTAATCATGAACGAAGAAAAAATCAATAACATTTGTAACTCGACGTAACCAATTAATCGCTGTGTACTGTAGCTCCGATTGACTTAAAAACTAATATCAGGGACGACCACTTTAATAATACACCAAAATTCGAATGATATATTTAATTTTTATATCTTTTTCTCTCACATTGTTTACACGCAAGTTTACATTAATTTTTGCAACGACAATAATTGCATTTTTTTATATAAAAAGTTTTGGAACCCAAGCAAATGACAAAATACCATCTCCGTATCCATACTATTTAAATGAATATATTCCAACGATTACTCAAAAGCTCTATTTTCACTTATTTGCAAAACAACCGATAAGACGAGAGACAAAAGATCAAAACGTTTAATCAGATTTATTTTTTATTTTCCTACAGTCCACAAGCCAGAGCCTAAAGCTAGCAGCTGCGGCGGCGGCAGCAACGGCGGCAGCGGCAACGGCCAATTCGAGCCCCGTGACACCGGAGCACCGCTCCTTGTCGTCGCCGGCAAACACGATTAAACAGCAGCCCTGGAGCGTGGCCTCCCTCAGACCCGCGCCACCGATTTATTGTCTCGGGTTCAATGGAATGAGTAAAAATGCCGTGGCTGGAAAAAACGACGCTACCGATGGCAATCATACTTTGAATAAACCTCACAGTGAGCCCATTGTTTTTTCTTCTTACTCAGTTAATTACCGTGGATTGACGCAGTACTTGATTGATCTTGTTTTTTTGTTTTTAATAGATGAACGTCAGTTCGAAGAAGATGCTTTAATCTTGCGAGTGATAGAAGGATACTGTATGTCAGCGAATGCCAGATTTACGTTGAATTCTGGTGAGCAAACAACAATCTGTATGTTTGTTGGTTGAAGTGTTGCATTTTTTGGTGTGGACTTGAAAAAAAACTAACAATTTTTCAATATTATTTGTTTTCATGTCATCTTTAATATTTCATTAGATAGTTATACGTTGTATACAACTAGAACTGCTTGTAGTGCTGCTGCTTGATTGCGTGTTGTAGAGATTTTTTTTGTAGCTGCAGTTAAAATGATGGCCGTCATTTTTAAATTCATAATTAGTCGCCGCGCTATTGCAGGAAAGAAGTAAAACAATGCGATAAACACCACTCATATCCATCGTGCACTGTATGCCATGCATTTAAAATAGCCACATACTTATTGATTACAATTTCAGCCATTGTGGATTTCGAGCCACCACAAAAGGTAAACGATAGAACATCAATAGCAAATAGTAGAGTTGGAAATAGTGAAACAGTTGATGACAGGTATGTTAGATTTGAATATACAGTACTAATTCTATGAGAATAATTATAAATATTCCCCGAGTTACAAACGATTTGAAGCATGATTTGATTTGAGTGTGTTCTTTGCTTATTTGGTTTTTACCTTTTTTCTATTTTATTTTTTGTTAATAATTAATTATTATGGATTTTTATTTTTATATATATTTTTATACAATGTTAAATGTACAAAAGAAGTATTTTATTCTTGTAAAATTAGCATGATCAATATCTTATTCAATATATTCAATCTAATAAATTTTATGATTATAAATGTATCTAAATGCAGCGATAAAAAAGAACTTTTAATATTTCATTGCAGCCTATAATATTTGCTTGAATGCAAACATTTTTATTATTTAAAGTTAACTCTAATCCTATGATGGAATATTTACATGAAATTATTTAGTTGCAAGTTTTGAAAATAAGTATTAATTTACAAAAACATTTTTAAAAACACTAAAGAAAATATGATAATAGTACGTAAAATATAGTTGACATATACATCGCATTATTGAAATGTCGTTTTTTTCATCAGGTACCTCTCGGAAACTGTTAAAATCCTGAAGGGGCAAATGATGGATATCCAGACTCAGGTTGCGCAGTTGTGTAAGCAGCTGGAGGAAGAGCGAAAGTCTCGTCTGTCGCTGGCTGCAACTGTAAAGCGTAGTATGGCCGTCATTGACGGCACGGTGCCTTAGTCATTTGTTATAATGTGATGACTTATTTGAGAATGTAAATGAAAGTATGTATCCGTTTTACTATAATCAATTACATGCATTCTATGAATGCTTATTAACGTGACACATCAGGTACAAATGATATGTCTACTTGATAAATATAATGCAAAGTGTGTCTAAAAATTTAACAATGAAAACGTCTTGATAACATAATATTAAAGATGTTCATCTTATCACGATGTTAAATTTATCTATAGCAATGTTACGATTTTTATAATTAATTATTTAATTAAAAGATAAAAATTGATCACTTGAATTGTACAAAAAATTGAATTATCTTTATAAATAAAATAATAAATTTAACCACAAGTGATATAGATAATAGTACCTTTTTTGACAAAAATGACAATTGTGATGCAACAGTTTTGAAAATTCACAAGACTTGATAAAATGATAAAGGATAAAAATAAAAAGTGCATTATAAAAATATCTTACAAGCATTAACTAGGAAGATGAAACATTTGGCAATGGTTGTTGAGCAGTTACATCTACAGAAGGCATTTGCTGTTGCTGAGGCTGTTGTTGTTGCTGTGGAGGTTGTTGTTGATTAGCAATTTGTTGTGGTCGACCAAATGCATTTGCATTTCTTGCAAGTATATTTTTATGTCTTAAACGATCCAATTCATCGATTCTACTGCGAACATGTTGTAATCTGTGCCAAGCCATTTGTAAAACTTTTTGACTTTCATAACCAGAACCCTCATGAGGTTGACCTGCAAATATTTTTAAGGATGTGAGATTATTGATAAAAGTATTATGATATTATTTTGAAAAATTCAAAAACACCAATGAACATGGAACATTTGATTGTTGTTTTTGAAATTTCAACTCAATGATTATTGTTTTTCTCTACAAACTAATCATTTCATGTTTTATTCACTGAAGCTTTAAATATAATAACATAAATTTTATGAAGAATTAATGAATAAAAAAAGAAAAATAAATAGACCTGATCATTAAGTTTTGCATCAAGATTAACTCGTTGCAAAAATTTCCAATTTCAAAAAAATTATAAAATTGTTACAGATATTCAAGTTTTGATCTTTGAACTATGTATTAATTGCACATGTATTAGAGAATGTTATAATGAATATTTTAATAAAATAATTTGTTATAATACTGATAAACATATGTTTATAGTTGCATTTATAATAAACATACCTGTGGAAACCTGAGTAAGGTAATTAATTTGTTCACTTAATTTTGATTCAACTACTCCCAAAGTTTTTATGAACTGATGAGTTCCTGTCTCAGCTTGTTTTGAATTTGGTTTTTCTTTGCTCAATTCATTAAATACTTGACCTAAAATAAAAATTAGTTGATGCCTTTGCCAATCAAAAGTAAGCCTATAATTTTTTCACTAATTATTTACCTGCATTGTGCAAGCAAGTGATGATGTCTTTTTCAATGGTCTCCAAAGTTTGTATTCTTTCCATAGGAGGTGACATGTTGATGGGATTATGGAAAACAAATGTGATCTTAACAGATTTCAAGAGTTTTCTGAAACACAATAACAAAATTTTAAATTGAGCATTAATCAAGTTCTTTTATTCCAGTAGTAAAAACGGAATTTGAAGAATCTAAACCATCTTTTAACCACTAGTTTAAGGGTTAATAACAACCAAAATTTGTCGTAAAATTATCAGTAATAATAACCAAAGCTCCATGACTTACGATTGAAAGTAAAATCCTAAATCTCGCTTGGTTCAGAACAACGTAAACAACATTAAAATTGATTATAAATGGATAGTGAAAGACAAGTTTGTTTTTTTGATTTTGCAGTCGACGGACGACGACTTTTGCGTTTGCTGTGTACGGTGCTGCCAGCTGCACTATACACAAACGTTTACTCATTTGCGAATTGCGATTCACTACTTTGACAATTCTGCATGACATGCGCAATTTCTACTTGATTGTGACTCGTCATAAGTCGTGGTCGGACTTTTGAATAGTGCTCCAAGAAAAATTTATACGAAAAACTGTGAGCACGGGATCCGAAACTCAGTTTAAAATACAAACTTTCTAACAAGTTTTCTGGACATTTCTACTTAATGTTTCTCTAAAAGTTTTCATTGCAGCAACATTCATTTTGATATGTTCAAAGTCCCCATTGAGCCTTTTAGAAGATTATTTAGTAGTTTCAGAAAACTTGTAAATTTGAATTTTAGTCTAGGATTCGAATCTGGTTAAGGATTTTAGTTTTCGTATCATTTAAAATATCGTTTATTGTAATCAAGCATGAGGATAATGTCATTTTAAAATAAAATAAAAATCGAATAAAATTTGAGTGTTCAGAGGAACTTTCTTTATATTTCTTTTCATAATAGTAAAATGTTTACAATGCTTTTTACATTAAAAATACATTTAATATAAACCATTGTAATGAGATACTATACAAAAAGAAGGATGTAATAGATGGAATTTTTTTTAAAAATTCTAAAATATAACAACATATTTATTAATTAGTTTTATTTGCTAATCTTTTGTCACGCTCTTCAGCAATTGACAATTTAATACCATTGCCTCTTGGCAAACTAACGTAAGGTTTGGTTCCTTTTCCAATGATGAATACATTGTTCATTCTTGTGGCAAAGGTGTGACCCTGCGAATCTTTGACATGGACAATGTCAAATGAACCTTGATGACGCTCACGGTTGACAACAGTTCCTACACGCCCTAAATTGCGACCTCCAGTAATCATGCAGAGATTTCCATTATCGAATTTAAGGTAGTCCAAAATTTTTCCACTTTCAATTTCAAATTGAATAGTGTCATTGACTTTGATAAGTGGATCCGGGTAGCGGATTGTTCTGCCATCATGGGTAACAATGAATGGGACTCCTTTGGGTCCAGTCTGTACCCTCTTTACTTTGCAAAGTTTGTATTTAGCTTCAATGGCTGTGATACGATGGATGGTAAATCTACCCTTGACATCATAGATCAATCGGAAGAATTCATTGGTTTTATCAATGGTGATAACGTCTGAAAAGAAATGAAAATTATAAAAATACTTAGAAATAGAATTAGCTCTATAAAATAATTTTGTTGCTAGAGCTGTATCACACTGATTGGGTTACTTGGTTCACTTGAAAAACATTGCATTATTTAATCAGTGACCAAAATGTGAAAATTTAACTCTATGCCTACGTTTTAACAATGATGTTAGATAATAAACATCATAGCTTCTAATAGGCAAATTCATTATAAGATAATGTCTCATGAATAAAAAAGTAAAAAATAAATTACCCATGAAGCCAGCCGGGTAATTAGAGTCGGTACGGACTTTGCCGTCGACCTTAATCAAACGTTGCATCACAATTTTCGTGACCTCGGAGTTGGTGAGGGCATACTTGAGACGATTCCTCAGGAAGATGACCAGAGGCAGCGATTCACGTAGCTTGTGGGGCCCGGTGGATGGTCGTGGTGCATAAACTCCTCCGAGTTTATCCAACATCCACGCCTTGGGCGCATTGAGACGCTTCAAATGCTTCTTAGGACCACGAGCCTGTGCGATTAAAAATAAACGAATTAATAAATAAATCAATATTTCTTCGAATAATTGAAAAATTAATATTCGAAACGGTCGTCGAGGTTAGATTTCACTTACCATGTTGCTATCTGGTCGGTTTCAAAGAGTCGAAATCCGGGCAGCGTGCAGCCGAGCCAAGAGACAACGTGGATGAGAGAGGTTCCTACGGCTGGCTTCGTGCGCATCTCGGCTCTCGGCTTGGTATCGTCACGCGCAGACGTCAGCGACTCCGTAAATTGACCGGAGCTAGATTCGAAAAAACAAGTGTGCCGCGCGCCGATTGGCAGCATTGCTAAGCCAGCAGCGTAGGGTTTATTTTATTCAACGTGCTTCGATTGCATACGCGAACAGACTGCTGCGATTCCGCATAGGCACACTGACTCACACACACACACGCACAAACATACACCAAGGCGCAAAAAATAAGCCAGAAACACGCATCGGCATTACGCGCTAGTAGGCTCTGCCGCGAGAAAATTGCCGGCGCAGTTACAAATGGTGGCTGGTGGCGCGTGTGCAGCAGCAGCCTAGAGGATCGATCGCCGCTCTCAACTCTCGAATCGTCGTGTTATTGCATGTGCATTGCATATCCTACACATATATAATACCGAGCACACGCATACAGAGACCGAACATTGCAGCTGAGCGCGCCGCGTCTTTTGGCTCGTCGCGATATTATTTTCTCTCCTCGTCGGATAAACGAGTAATAACAATATACGCGACGTCGCCTCGTCGTGTGCTGCCGAGTATTATAGTGGGCGACCGAAGTCGGAGTACTCCAATTGCCTCCCGCGCTCGCGTGTTGGGTATATAGCAGTGTACACTTATACGCTACAGATAGATACATACAACAAATAGTGCAGTGCGCCTGACACTATCGTGTCGGTGTTTTTCTTGCAGCGTTCGCTTGGACAATTGTCGTCGAATCGTCGCATCTAGGGACCATAATATTACGCGCACAGGACGTTCGAGGAATTATACGCTGCCTACGGCCGCCGTGTATCCAACGCGTGTTAAGGGCAAAAAAAAGAGTGGGACCGCGCGAGAGTCTATATATATAACACATCTCATAGATAGGCTCGCGCGCGTGTGTGTATCCGTGTGTGATCTCATGTACGCGCGAATATACGCGATACATACACAGCGGATTCTACTACCAACACTACGCGAGTAATACATACGCCAATCTTCATCCGCGGCACACAAGTCGCAGCGAGTCCGCCCGTGGCATCATTGTCGCACTGATCGCAGCAGCAGCAGCGGCGGCGGCGTAGTCCAACATAACGTGTGCATCGAAGAAATACAGTGTGTTGCTAACTCTCGCGCGCGCGCGTTCTTATCAAAAAAAAAGAGAACGTCCACACGGTTGACTCACGGTTGATAACGCGTAAGCGCCAACCATAAACAACAATAACGACGACGACGACTACTACGGCGACGACGAGCAGCAACATGCCGAGCAAGCTGCCGAAGAGGTTCAGCGTCGGCGAGCGCGTATTCGCCAAAGTCCGAGGTTACCCGCCTTGGCCCGCTAAAGTAAGCCACGCTTTGTTTATTATCTCGCTCGATCTCTCTATCTCTCTCGCTCTCATTGCTTCGCTCACTTTCTATCTTACTTTTACTCGCGCATGCACTCACGCTCACACGCACGCCTGCTGAGAGCACCGAGTAATTGCGCGCAATAAATTTTTTTTTTTTTATCGTCGCGGCTTTTCAACGATTGGTACTTCGGGTGGCCACTACCTGTTGGGTACATTGGAACGCAAGACGATGTTTTTATAGCGATTGATACGCGAGTCGCTCGCGATGATGCCTCTCTCGATCGGCGATTATTGCGACTTTCATGTATTTACGTTTATGCACGTGAATTGTCGGCGTGACTTTTGTGGTTAGAGTTCACCATTGTTCTGAAGTTGCGCGATGTCTTTTTGTTTATTTTGCAGCTCACCCGTGCGAGTTGCTAATTCAATGAAAATCGTAAAATTTCATTTATTTATAAACAAATGTATGTAACTGATATTGATAATGCGTATAAACAAGTGCATGAGATTTATATCAATAATATAAACAAAATGAATGCAACTATTTCAACAAAATTATTGGATGATTTATTTATTTTTCTAGATTGAAAATGTCACAGATCCTAATTCAAAGCAAGCAAAATATCACGTTCATTTCTATGGAACTAAAGAAATGTAAGTCGCATTTTTATTACTGAAAAATTAGAATATTTTGTAAATGTCATATCATTATTTTTTTTTTTAATAATTTGCAGTGGAACGTGTAAAATTGAAGATCTATTTCAATATGAAGAAAACAAAGAAAAATTTACCAAAGCTGTGAGGAGAAAATTTTTCCAAGAAGGATTACAAGAAATTGAAGAAGACATTAGGAGGAATCCTTATCCACCATCAGCCACCAGAGGTAAAAAGCTTATCTGGATATAATGTTGCTCAAAGCTGTACAGTAAAATGTAGATTTTTTTGGAACTAATAAATTAATTTTATTTAAAGATTCAGAGGCAGCAGAAAACGTGCCTGATAATGCTTCTGAAGCTAATGATAGTACAGCATACAACGATTCATCAATGGGCATGGATGCTGATCATGAAAACGATAACTTGATCATTGATGAAGGAGACAAGAAAAAATCACTCAAAAGGAAATCTCAAGTATTAAACACTCCAGTATGTATTAAAATTTTCATTTTCTATGATTTTTTTGGGACATATCAAGTTACATTATTATTAGAGAGATATTATAATGTATGTGTTATCCCTAAATTAATTTTGAAGTTGCCGACATATCATTTTTAAGCTTAAGTAATGTGTGCGATGACTTCAAACATTACTTTAAAAAGTACCATTACAGTGTCAATTAATGATTCAAATGAATATCTTATATAGGATGCTCCAGATTTGAAGAAAAAAAGGGGAAGAAAAAGTGGAATAATTGCTTTAGCGGAAAGTACACCAAAACAAGAAATTATAAATGATTCTCTCATTGAAGATAATGATAATAAAGCTGTGAGCAGAAGTGGTAGAAAAATAAAGCCTAAGCGTTTCCATGATGGCGAAGAAATTATTTTAGATACTTCAAGAAATGGTAAGTAATGAAACAGTAGGATTAACGTTTATAAAATCAATTAATTTAAAAGGTCTTTTGCTGAAATGGATTAATCTCATTTTTAATAGTTATGACTAATTTAAGTATTAACTATTCAATAATTAATTGAAAATCATTCTACTAAAAAGCATAAAATGTAATCACAAATTATTCGAAAAATTTTCTTAACTTATGTTTTCAAATATTAATTTATCAGAAATATGAAAAAACTGTTGTTTTAAAATAATTCCATTAGTTATCATCAATTTTTATTGTTAAAATGATGTTATATTAGATTTTTCTTATTGACTAATTGTAGAACAAACTGTAAAAGGCAAGATAAAATCCAAAACTGATGATATCAGTGAGATGCAAGATACTCCAATTCCACCCCTTAAAAAAAGACTAAGTGTAGAAAGTAAGTAAATAAGAATATGAAATCAATAAGCTGTCAACTTGGATTTGCTTATTTTTTTTTTGATGATGCATGAAGTAGATTTTTTTTTGTAGAAAAAGTATAAATGAATTATGAATTGCATCCATGTATAGAGAAAACATCTTTTCTTTATATTTTGAAACAAAACATAGACAAACAATTGAATGCCAATATAAGTACCAATTTGTCTAACCTCATAAACTATCAAGTGATTATTACACACATACCCCAGTTAACAATTGAAATTAATTTGTTTTTACAAACATGATTTACCCTTTGAATGAAACTTCATATATTTTTTATTTTACTTTGCGTATGTATCAATGCACATTACTTTTGCAGATATTGAAAAAACCTACACTTTTAATATTTCAAAAACAATTTAGAAAATACTAAAAATACTAAGTCATAGTAATGTATATTTGAATAGAAATTTTAATTATGAATTGCTTAATCTTAATTTTATTTAATAATATGTGTAGGGCGTGGACTCTTGTTCTTTAAATTTACTCCCTCTAATTGACATCTTTCTAAGAATATTTTTCTATTTCAGAAGATGGTTTAACACCGAACAAAGCTGCAGAAATTACAGCAGAAAAGCAAAACAAAATCAAGTAAGTACCTTCAGTTAATTTTGCTATTCTTTGTCTGATGTTTGTTACTCATCTGTAAAACTTCAAATGTTTGCTCTGATCTCCTGCTCTATTTTCAACTATATCTTAGAATTTTAACCTCATAGAAGTTTAAGTGCACTGAAAATAGTGATATTTGTAACAGGACGCTGAAAATCGAATCTCAACTCATATTCTTGGACACTAAAATAAGATCGAGTTTGGGTCTTGATGAAGCCCACACAGAAGATTGTTTGGAAGCTATGGACCAAATGTATGAATTGGAAATCACTCCACTGATGTTAAAGAAACATGCACAAGTTGTTGAATCAATAAAAAGGGTAAGAAGTACTATTATTCACCGTTGTGACTAATAAAATGAGACTGTCTTATTTCATATTTTGAAATTTATTTGCAGTTGAGGCGATATGTTGGAAACCTTGGAAAATGGGAGTTGACGGAAGAGGAAACCGTAAGTTTTTCAAAACTTAAATGATCAACCATTTTTTCAATTTAATATAACATTTTTTCATTTCTAGGCGGATTTTAAAGAAAAAGCTGAAAAAATTCAAAAGAAAGCTGATATTATTTACAACAAATTCAAGGTAAATACTTTTATTATATTAGTTGATACTTTCATACCCTTGAATTTACTTATAACTAATTTAAAAACCATTACTTACAGTCTTTGTTTACAATCCCGGAAGATATGACTTTTTGGCAGTATTTCTCAGCATTGCATAAGCAATTAAGAGAATGTACTAAAGACTTAACTCCTGATCAATATTTCGCTACTTTGATTGATCCTACAGGTAAAAACATTTCTAAATAATATATTTATATTTATAACATGCGTTTATTGATTTTATTCCATATCGTCTGTAGAAAACATGGAACTACCTAAATCTACCAACGATGTAAAGGACGAAAAAGTTACGAAAGAAGAAAACAATGTGTCGTTAACATCCAAAAATAATACTTCAACTGATTCATCTTTAGATCAGTGCGAGACGAAAGAAACTGAAGTAGCAGATGAAGCAGAAAAGGCAGAAAAAATGGAAACGGCAGAAACAGCAGAAACTGGAGAAACCAAGTAACAATGGAAACAATTTTTATGTTAAATGGATACTGAACTTATTGCTGGTACTAAAGTACCTTGTCACAATCAATTTGGACTATGAAAAATTCTTCATTAAAATGTAAAAATTGATCCAATTCACATTTCATATGTTTATGGAATTAAAATGTCATTGAACCATCGTGATTAAAATGTAAATCGTACTGTCAAATATAAGTATAGGTTAATTACACTAAGATTATTATTAAGTTGAATAAATTTTGATTTGCAATTGATTTTCCTTTAAATATTAGAGTATTATTCTTTACCGATTAGTTGTAGAATATATTTTCAAAACTATTGTTTTTAATGTAAACTATGTATAGCAATGGTGTACAGATTTTATATAAACTATAACATAACATTGCTCATAAATTCTTCAAGAGATATAAAACTGAAAATTATAATATTTCTGCTATCGAAAAAATGAAATTTTTCTCGATTTTCGTACAAAGCGCAGTGAATCGACTGTAAATTGAAAACTAATTGAAAATAAAGGAGATACTTGCTTTAATTTTCAGTTTAAATTTGCCACCAATTATGATCATATATTTTAGTTGTAAATTTTTGCATGAATATTGATGGTTGAGAAAATAATTTTTTATATTAATTGACATAAGAAAAGTGTAAGACAGATGTTTGAAACGGTGATACGAATACACATATTTTTCATTATAAATCGTCGTGATATCTCACTGCTTATCCTCGAATCGGAAAAAATGTTTTAATTTAGCTGTTCGATAACTATTAAAAACATATTTTAATGAACAAAATATCACTGTTTTAAATAAGCTGGCTATTGATAAACCCTTATCGATCATTTCATTGTACATCATCAAATATTTAACCCTTAGCTTAAGATCTCCGTGATATATATTTACATTCAACTTGATGATTTGTGTATCATAGCCTAATATCGCTTCGTACGAATTATATGGTAATTTTCTAAATTAGTTATCAATGAAGTAATGTATCACGAATATGTTGAATTGGTTGTAATCTACATTTCGTCAGTCGACTTTATTTTAAATAAAATTAATTGATGAATGTACATTATTACCCGAGAATTGTTAACTACAAGTTTCATTTCATATATTATCCGTTATTTTATCAGAAATACCTGTAGTAAAACCTTACATTCATTGAATTGCACAAACAAATCATATCCATTGCTGTGTATTACTTAAAACTATTCAGAACGCAAAACGATTATCTATATGAAAAATATAATTACCGCAATGTTTTGTTCAAAAAATAGTTCTGTAAACGAGAAAGCTTGACAAATATTTTGAATAAAAATTGTTACGAAAACACTCACAAATATTTCAATATTGTAAACCTTTCTAGCTCTTATAAATTATTAATAATAATTATAGGAGTGATGGTATGATAATTTCAGGCAATTATTTCTTGCCCTTGCGTTTCTTTTTCTGCGCGTCGGGCCAGGGAAAACCTCGACAATACAAAACGTCCATGATGTTGTGGCAGGTGTAGTAGGCATTTTCCATCGCTTCCTCGTTGAAGATGTCCATGGCGAAGCGAGCCTTGCCGCCGCCTCGTCTCGAGCCGCGTGACGTTTTTTTCGAGCTCTTGGATTTGCTGCCGGCACCGCTGCTCTTGCCATCGGTGGCTGCTCCGTTCCCATTTTTGCCGGCGCTTTTCTTGCTTCCTCCAGCTTTTTTTCCTTTTCCCGGCATGGCGTTGGCAGTTTAGCTGGTATCTTATCGAAAGTAATTTGTAAATTGTCCGCAAAAAGATACGCAGTTAATTACAGCTCGTTCGAAATTTACTTTAGTTCTTGTTGAGAAATTGTTACTATTTTCTATATTACTTCAATTACTCTTGAATATTTCAGTTTATTTTAGTACTTATAATGCAAGTAAATTCCTTCGAACGCACTAACGAATGTGAAAACTTTACAATAAATCCCAAAGAACAAAGATATCGAACAATCGATATAAACTTAATTACCTGACGGACTAATATTTCCTCGGTCCGTGTTGAAAAGTCACCAACCACTGCATTTTTTTCCTTACCGATTATCGCATTGACGTCCACGAAAATTATTAGCTTTAACGAACTCGCGCGCCATTCGTAATAAATACTACTACTGCTCGTGTTATGCCGTTTTTCTTTTTTGTTTGATCGATAAATGGCGCTTCGAGCTGCGTTACACATATCCATAGCAATTTGAAACGGCGCGTAATTATTTATAAAGGCGACGCGAGTTTATGGACGCCCGGACATAGAGAGAAATAAATTTCTCGACAGTATATAATATGTTCGAAGCATTCGCGATCGTTTTCCTTTTGCGCGCCCGTTTAATATATAATACTCCTTACATATATAGACGCATTGGCAGGCGCTCGCCAATCTGGCCCTCCCGTTGTTTTTCACGTAATTTAATCGATACGTAAGCGATGTTTACACTCGACTGAATGAGAAATAGATAGAGAGATGGTGCACTTAATAAATAGGGAAATTATCCAACTGTCGCCACGAATTCTCGCGTAATTACATTGAATTCACATTTTTGTCCCTCCGATTGCGTTTCGAATGGATGATAGGCGTAATTGTTGTAAGAAAGAAAAAAAATTGAGCATAGGGTTATTCATTGAATTTCCGGTCGCGCTCGATTCCAAGACAATCGTCGCGCGTCCGATAACAAACAAAATCGGTGTCGAAATCGGCGCACTTTTCTCACGCATATTATATTTTTGAAACGTATAAACGGCAATTTGCCTATCACAAATTATTGCACAAGCGCGCACGTTACGAAAACTCCGAAAATTCGTACAACACACGTTGTAAAATTCGCTCGCAACGACGCGAAATAAAATAACGAATGTCAAAATTATTATTCTCGATTATGGCGATATGTATATTGGGGGTGATCTAACGATAATTGTATCTGTCGCGTAGTGTATTATCGCTGCGCGTAAAAATCGAATCGAGGCTGCGAGGGAATTTTCTCGAGCCCCTTCGCGATTATACGATTACAAGTTCAGCGGCTGTTACCTATATACCGCTGCGCGTCGATATTTTTAGGGACGTTCTGGACGTTTCCGTACTACGCGGCTATGATACACGGCCTTTTTTCATTTCTATCTCGCGGGCGCTACACAAGTATAAATACGTAAAAATTTCATGCCAATAACTCTTATCGACTTTTCGAAATTTCCATAAGAGTAGCGCGTAAATCACACTCAAAAAGTGTCAGAGCGAGGCCGAGGAAAGGCACACACTCACAGCATCATCGTCGTTATTACACGATTTTTATGGGACTTGGGCTCGTTAAAAGCCATAATGTATCTACACACACACGTACGTGTCCGTCTCTCCTTGTTTTGCAATTGTCTTCGAGAACTTTCCTAAAGTGAAAGACTTGCGCTGCTCTGCTTTGCGGCGCGAGCAAAGAGAAAGAAAGAGAAAGAATCTATTCGGGCTCTCCAATTATGCCCAAGCACATCGTATGCGCTCCCATTTTCTAATGCTGCTGCTGCTGCTGCTGATGCTGTTGCTGATGCTGATGCAATTTAGAGCTGCAACTTCTTATATATATATACGGTCCGCGTGTTCGCGTACATTCGTCAACGTTCGATCGTAGTACGATCGGCGTTGATTTTGTATCGCGGTCAAGACGCGATCGTTCGCCGATGAAAAGTAAAGAGACGCTGCAAACTATTGCGTAAGATATTTTAAAGCGTCATTTTAATTATAGCGATTCTGGCTAGGTTCGCTTGAATTTTTTTTAATTAGCATGTCAAACGCCTTCTTGTCATTGTATCCTCGCGGCTTCTGTGTGTATCATCGCCAAAGAACCCTTAGTAGGATTTTGGGTCACGTTACAATAGGGGTTGTCACTTTTCAAGAGTCTTGTATATGCTCACGGTCGAGTGTAGGAGGTGAACTCGGATGACGCCTGACTAACTTCGCTTCAATTCAAAGGCATTCAAAATGGAAAGAAGCAGAAAAAATAGCGGAAAAAATTAAACCAAAAAGGAATAGGAACACGAAGTTTTTCATTATGGTAATTTAATTATCCAATGTACATTAAACAACTGGAGTGAAACTTCAAGGTTATTTTTCTTTTGGTTTAATTTTTTAAATGTTATTCGCGCACTCGTAAATTTTAATTTTATGCATTCGCCAGCTGTAATGGGTTTTAAACGTTTTTTTATACTTTGCTTGTAACATTTTTACGAGCTCGTACGAACTGACAAGAAATTTAAAACAAAAAAATTTCAATTGAAGCAAATTCATAGATTTAATATTTTTTAAATTTATATATATTGAAATGATATGAGAAATCTTCAACATTCAATAACACCAAGCATAAAAAAATATTATCGCCATCTGTACATAGCGGTAAACCGTCTGAGTCTGGCAAAAGATAATTGGAATCAACCTGGCCTAGAGATTAGACTCGTAAACGCATGATGCTCTGGTGTGTTGCGACGCAAAAGTGGCTTGCCGCCTCCTCATTCAACAATACCCGGTGGAAATCTGGAGCGAGTTAGATTTTGTTCCTATGCAAAAATCATGAAAGTCAATGATTATTGAAATCAATGGAGTCCGTGAGAAGATGCTCGATTTCTAAAAAATATCCAGAAGGTTGAAATCTTAGCCCGTCCAATCATTAGGGTAAAGATCAACTTGACGGAGAAATTCATCTCGTTCTTCTTGGAATTAAAAATTGACCTAATCGAGCAATACTTTGCAATCGTTCCAAAATTTTATCGTAATAACTTTTGGACGGCACTTCTATAGTCAATTGCATTATTGCATCAAGCGTACCGTGCACCTGTGCAAAATAATGTCTAGGAGATTTTTTCGGCGCCAGGTGCTGGAATCTTTCTTGGAGGTGACCAGGCAACGGCTGCCGATTCTCTGCTGCGAAACAATTATCGACAACTCGATGAACGAAGATTTATGGCATATTCAATTGGCGGCTACGGATCGAAATTGTGAATGAACCAGTTTAAGTAATTTCCGTTACCGTTACTCAAGAAAATGATAAAATAGACAAGACATTAAAGCTGCAGCAAGATATACTTGTAAAAAGTATGAGAAAGGACAAACAAAAAAGTAGCAAACAAAATAATAATTTCAATTAAAATTAATTTTCTCAGTGAGTGCCACTTAAATATAGTTATTCAGTCTCATCCTAAATTGTGTTATATATTTTAAAATCAGAATAAATGCTTCAACAATTTTATTAAATTTTCCATACGTTAAAATTATACTAAACATATAATATAGGCTAGATATATGCTTGACATATGTAGTAATTTATCAAGCTTAATGATAAAATAAAGAAAAAATCAGTTAATTGTTCATCATATTCCACCTTATAAAAAACATATTTTTTAATATTTTCATTTTTATCGACCCAGTTCATAAATAACATATTATCAATAATTTGAAAATAATTTTATTGATCGTTTAAATTACTTGAGTCATTCAAAACTTCATCGGAAGCTCTTTTCGATAAAGGACCATTTTTTCATACTTTTCCAAAAAAATTTCGAATGCGCGCTTCATAGATTCGAAGCACACATGGGCCGCGTGGGCAAACTCACAACCACAACTCTATAGAAAAAACACGCCGACACGCCGCACGCGTTCTCCGATCTAACTCCTAACGAGCAGACTGCAATATTTCTAGGCTCTACGATGACGGTACGTACAACTTTTTAAATTTTTGTTAAATTATCCACGATTGTTCGTTTGAACAACGAATAATTGTTTTATACGTTAGATCGAGATTGAAAACTGATGTTTTTTCATTGCGTAAATCTCATGTTATTATATAAATTTAATTTAATTTAAAGAAGTACATGTGTGTATTCTAACCTAAAAAAAAAAGTTTTACTTTTCATTAGAAAATACGTTATAATTTACTAAAATGTTCTTTGTTACAATAGGATGTTAAGCAACAACCCAAAATCAAAAAGGATCCGGCCAAGAACCCTATGAGGGAGGTCAGGATCCGCAAACTGTGTCTTAACATTTGCGTCGGTGAATCTGGGGACAAACTTACCCGTGCCGCTAAGGTATATTTGCAACCCTATTTATAAAAATGGAATAATTGTTAGCAGTGTTGAATTGATATGTTTTTTTTTTTTATTAGGTCTTAGAACAGTTGACTGGCCAAACGCCAGTTTTTTCTAAGGCTCGCTACACTGTGCGCAGCTTCGGTATCAGAAGAAATGAAAAAATCTCTGTCCATTGCACTGTAAGAGGAGCTAAGGCTGAAGAAATCCTTGAGAAAGGATTGAAAGTGAGTTCATTTCTTCAATTATTATATTTATTATTATTCTAAAATAATAATTTAGGAATAATAATTTAAACTTTCTTAACAGTTATTATCAATGATAATTTGTGTAACTACAATAATATATTTATTTTATAGGTTCGTGAATACGAATTAAAGCGACGCAATTTCTGTGATACTGGAAACTTTGGTTTTGGTATCCAAGAACATATTGATCTTGGTATCAAATACGATCCCAGCATTGGAATCTACGGTCTTGACTTCTTTGTAGTACTCTGCAGGCCAGGTAATTATTCTGCTTTTTCATATTAAACTTTGCACGTTACTTGGTATCAATAGACACCGTTGCTGTCAACTGTATCTATTATTTTTATTAACCCATGCTAGAATGAAAGCTTCTTATTTGCAACCCATGCCTACATATCTTACTAGGTGTGTTACTTGATGGAAGTGACAAAAATCATGCGATGACTTTAAATTTGATTTTGAGCTAAATTTTACGTTCAGTCATAATACAACTGTTAAAATTAATTTCAGGATTCAACGTAGCCCACAGAAGAAAAAAGACTTCAAAAGTTGGCTTCCAACACAAGCTTACAAAGGAAGATGCCATGAAATGGTTCCAGGCTAAATATGATGGTATCATTCTATCAAAATAAACTTGCCTGTTAGTGTATTTTATGTCATATAATAAATAAGAAAATATTTTTAATTATTTTTAAATTAGAAAATATTTTTATTATAGAAACGACTTTTCATCCATAACTTTTATTTTATAATACCTATTGAAGAAAAGTAAGACGGATTTCAACATAAATATTTGACTAGGATAAAGACTATTTGATTAACCAAACGAATCAATGTGAGATGACACAAAATTGAATTATCGTGCATTTTTCAAACTCGACTTTATTCTTGCAATGAACTTTGCTTATTAGTATATACCATTCAAGGCTCATAAAAATTTTATCAGAAATGTCAAACGTTCTCTTCATACACACGCGTTACGTGTAAACGTGTATATATAGCATCGGAGAAATCGCGCTCGGGTCTCATCGTAGACGTACACACGCACGCATTGTACATTATACGTACATGTATATTTTAGTATAGTAGGTATATACCGCGCGTTCCGGCGCACAACACGAGGAGTTGTTTCTGCACACTATACATGTATGTACGGATGTATGTATGTATACACGCTCGCGGGCGGGTTCGCAGCTCGGCTCGCACGGTATCTTCTGTCAGTCGAGCAGCAGCGACGTACGAGCCAGGAGTGCGTTTATGTGTGCTATTCTAAGTCTATATATAAAAAATTCTTATTTTACGTATAACTTATAAAATAAGAGAACGGTGGTGGTGGCGGCGTCCAGCGCGCGAGCCTCTCGAGACTGACTCGTCTGCAACATCGCATACCGCTGTGTAGCGATATAATCCAAATAAAAAGCCGTCAGTTTTTTATAATTTATAAAAAATATAATATTGAAACGGGGTGTCCAATAGTGCGTGTCAGTGCCATACAAGTACGCGTAATAACGCAGAGTGTCATTCACCCTCGAGCGCGCGCGCGCGCATCCTTCGAGAGCATTCAGTGCATGATACTCGTTACATCTCGCGCGCTGTCAACGGGTGCATCACAAAAAAGAAATAAGAAAATACCTAACCTCGAAGCAAAAACACACACACATATAGAGGATAGGAGAGGCTGATCAGCAGCACAGGAGAGGAGAGCAGCAGACGCCCCCACAAATCTCGCTGCTGCGCCCTATATACACAAGCGGACCGATGCTGCTGCTGCTGCTGCTGTAGCGACTTCGTCCATTTTGCAGACCGTAGCCGGTGTCATCGTGTGCATTAACAACACATTTTATACAGAGAAAAGTCGAGGAGGGAAAAAAGGGGGCTGTAACGGTGGCAGCAGTAGCAGCTTCGGCGATATCTCTCTGATGCGGTTCTGCTCGTCAGCCGCATCGTCGTCGTCGCCGTCGTTGTCATCTGCAGCTGCAGCTGCGGGGACAACCATCGCCAGTCAGCAGCACCATCACCACCGCCGCGCGATCGTGTGTGTATTATAATAATAGCGTGCAGCAAGTGCAGAGGCAGAGACAGAGCAGCAGCAAGTGAAGCAGCAGCAGCAGCTTTGAGGAGCCGAAGTCATGTCGACGGCTCTGCTGGCTCTGTTCGCCGTGATACTGTGCATACTCTTCAGGATACTCAATGTCAACAGCGCGCCCCAGAAGCCGCTGCTCATCTGCAAGGACGAGGGCTTCCTCTCGACCGTGCTCAAGATAGCTCCGGCCATCACTGAACCGTGAGCATCATCATGCACTATATAATTTTTATAAAAATTATGTAACTCTCCTGCCGGGGGGGTGCTGCTGCTATATGCTGCGCGTTCGCCCCACGTCTCTTCTCGCGGGGCGGCTACACCACTCTTTTATTTAATACCTTATGCGTATGTCTGTGTGCGTGTTGTGTGCCTCCGCTCTCGTTGTTTGTAAATATAACGTCCATCGAGTCGGAAATATCTACTCTATTTTTTTTTCTTTTCATCGCTCGTTACCCGAGTCACAACACACACACACACACACACACACACTCACACACGGCACGCGTCTTTAAGAGTTTCGCTGCAAGCACACGGAGCTTGCTTAATAAATTTTGCTTTCCGCGCCAGTATCCGTCGCTCGCATACACACATCAGACACCCATTAAAGCGTCCGAAAATATTTAGCCTTATCTCGTGCTCTTCATAGCGTTAGCTGCGCGTGTTTCCAAGACAAAAAGAAGAGGGAAAACAAAAATAAATAAAAACCCATTTCACAAAATACACAGACATACGATACCATGACGATACTCAGCGCACGAAGTTGACGAGCATCGATAATTGTCTTCAGCCGTGAGCAGAGATAGTGACTCACCTGTGAAACTCTATAATATAATAATCATGTATATAATAAAGCCGCAGCGAGCTCAACGGGCGCAGTTTATAACGTGCACCATCCGTATAAATCGCACTTACACACAATTCTATATTTAGCCTTTAACGTCGAGAGGTAGTAAAACGAAAAAGAACGAAAAAAAATTCGACGAGACGTGTACGGTCGATCTCGTCGTATATATGCGGGCGACGACGACGACGGCGACGATTGTCATATAATTGTGTGTGCTGTCGTACGCAGTGTTTTGTGTATATATAGTTAGGCCGCGTTCTCGTGACCGGAGACTAGGTGTACCGTAATGTGCCTGCCAACGACTCTGCCTCGAGCGCGGCGCGTGCAGCACAGACAGACACAGTTTTTACATAACTCAACCGACTTCCAGAAGCTTCAGGTGAAAATTTTTTCTTATCTTTTTCGTGCAAAAAGGTTTCGAACGATATCCGTTGGCGCGGCAGCTGACAGGCGCGCGATCTATATAACGTTCAAGTAAGAGCGATATACAGCTCTCGTATTATTTTTATTACGAATTGTATCATCGGCTATCGATGCCGCGATGACGCTCTATTCGAGAACGATCGTCGCTCGTAATGCATATCAAGGTAATGATGCAGCATGGGTTTTTATTACTCGCAATCGATCGGTGGGGGCAGCAGCGAGTTCACGTTTCCTATATTTATTTTTCTCACGAGAAAAATGTCACTTTACTTGGGCTTTGACGCGAGATGTCAAGTGTGCCCCCGCACGATATCGAAGATGCGCAACGCGGGCCGATATCGCATTCCAGGCCAATCGTGCATACACACGTACAGAGCAATGTGCAAAATATTTAAAATCCAGCTCGACTGCAGAAGCTGAGAATTAAAACCTTACATCGCGCGAGCGCAGCTACGAGAATCGAGTAATAGTATAAGCAGCGCACGGAACAATTGTCTGGCGAGCGCAAGGAGAGCAATTTTTTTCCCTCCGCATATTATACGTATACAACGCCGAGACTGTAATAAGAATAATAATGTACTACGCTCGCGTGTGTGTATGTGGTTGTGCCTCTCTCACGGCAGCCTTGAGTTAGGAAACGAAAGTTGGTTCAATGCACCGTCGACTTTGCCGAGTAAAAGAGTAAGAGAGAGAGAGAGAGAGAGAGAGAGAGAGAGAGAGAGAGAGAGAGAGAGGAATTTTCGCCAAGTATGCGCGTAGCTAGATACACACACCGAAGGAAGTGATCAGCCTCTTGGTCTGCGCCTTCCATCTCTGATGGCGAATTATACAGCTACACACATACGCAGACACCGTGTGTAACGGGATAAACCCGTATAATAAATGTACACGCATTCACACACGTGTTTATCTTCTGCTGTATAGGCCACAGTATTAAGAGAGTCCAGAGAAAGAGAGATGTGTGAGTGTACCTAGATATATTGGAAAAGTACGAGTGTGTTTTTCGAGTGTATATCCGCACAATTTATAAAAGAATCCGCGCGCGATTAAAAAAGCCCGCACTACTGTATGAGGTATTAACAGCTGATGCGAGAAGAATTTCCTATGGATCGCGGAATCTCCATCGTGTCGATGATTTTTTTACCATTATTTTTCTTCGTTTTTTATACATGAATAGACACGCTGCTTTTGTCCCGTATAATGCATACAACACAAAGCTTCTGCTGCTGCTGCTATGTTCATCGATTTTTTTCCAAGCTTCTTACGAATAGCTGACATTCTTTCTTTCTTTATTCAATCCATGCGTGCACGCAATAAAAAAAAAAGCTTCGACATATATGTAATACACCGTGCCAGCAAATATCGTAATTTACTTACACACTTTACATTAGTTTAATCGGCTGAACCGAATTAGTTCATCGATTGAAAAGAAAAAAACCAACAAACAAACGATAGATTAGCTCGCTCGTTCGAGCCAGCTTTTTCTGTATAATAGAGCGCACACTTACTCGAGTAAACAGCGCACCAGTTTTAAGCTTTAAAACGAGGATCGTTGTAACACACGATGATTATTTTTTATACAAAGTTTAGGGCACGAGAAAAAAAATTTTTTCCATCTCCGTGCGATTCGACGCGCTAATCGCGTTTGCCGCAACGCACACGTGGGTGACCTTAACATATTTCGCGAAAAAAAAATACGATAAATGGCGCTGGGCCGTGCGGATGTATATTATACGGATCGCGCGAGTCGATGACATTTTGAGTCACACATAAGTACCGAAAAATTCTTCGTTTCGCGTCGGACGTTGGCAAAAAAAAAAAAAATAGATTTTTAATCGTGTTTATAAAAGCTCGGGCCAACGTCTAATGTGTCCAACCGCGCCTCGATGACATATCTCTACGCAATAACACAGCTGATTATAAAAATAATAAAAAAAAAGTTCGCGGTCAGTTTCGCCGATATAACAACAAGAGACCGCACGCCGGCTTGAGTGCGCCTGGGTACATGATATACGCGCGCGCGCGCGTTTGTTATGCGATACTTATTATAGAATATACGACGATCGAGCTGCTGCTGTCTGCAGGAGTGGAGATGCGCATTCACGAAGAAAGTATCGATGTGCGAAGCTCTAAACAATCGATTATCAACGCAGCTTGTTTGAATAATAAATTAGCCGCTGCTCATTCTTTCGCGGCGTTGTATCACATGTGCGCGGCTATACGGAGCTCTCTCGTATCGCTCGTAACACACTATATATAAGTATTATTGTAGGCGGAGACACTTGTGTGTTCTTCTTCGCTCGAGAATTTGCAAAATTTAATAATCTCTGTCGACGACGTGGCGCACCTGCTACTTGTAAGTCTTATCTGCTGCATAATTTGAGTCGCCCGAATTTTTGCACTATTAATGTATCGTACTACGCACGCGGATACATCAAGTACCGAGAAATTGCTATTTTTACGGTATCGATTTCAAGCGATTTATAATCGATCTTCGTTGATTCATAGATGGTTTTATTGTTACTGACTAATCGTTCGATTGCGCATTGATATTAATTTTTTTTTTGTAATTAAAGATTACTTTTATAATCATTTGAAACGCAATTAGTCACTTGTGAAATATCATACACTTTACTGTGTTTTTCATCAAACAAATTTGGCGTTATTTTTTCCTAGAGCTCTTGCTAAATAAATTATAAATTGTCGATATTTGATTTTCCCGTATTAATATTTTACGGTGCCTGATAAAATACGAAAAATACGATAACAAAATCAATTAATAAGTCCAGCAGGTATAATCGTCACACATTGTTCTATTATTTAACGTGTGTGTGTGTGTGTGTGTCGGGAAGCAAGTCGCTCGTACATGTTTGAACATTACATAAATAAATGATACATACGTTTGCAAATATGAGTCATCGACCACGCAAAGAAGAACAATAAATATGAAATATTTACCTTATTTTCCTTCCTTTACTATGCGATCGATATGTATAATAAAATATGTCGTATGACTTTTTTTCGATGATGCAACTCGTATTGTTGTTATTGATTCACACTCACGATGTAGGTGCGTGTCAAAACTCCATGTTTCATGGACATTTTGCTCAATATAATATATCGCCATGAGAAATACCGATGGATTTGCCAGAAAAAAAATAAGATCACAAAAATAGGTAAACAACTCGAAAAATAGTCTAAATATGAGATGATCAATCGAGTAATCTCTTGAACGATGAGTCATTACGGTACATCTAATTAAACTTGTAAAAAAACCTCTAACGACCTTACAAGAATTTCAGTCTTTTTTTCTAAAAGATGAACTTTCAATTTCTGAAATTAAATCTTTACGGATTTCTATTCAACTAGAGTTCATTAACATTAATTAAATAAATTAAATGGAAAAGTTATACGACTTGCATAAGTACCGAACGCGAAAGCTCGATTCCGTAAAAAAGGACACAGAGGAACAAGGAAAACTTTAAGTTTACATGCGAATAGCGCCGACACTAACAGTTGCGTAAGTCTTTGATGCAAAATTCAAAGATGATATCGACTTGCTGTTGCGCGTGCACACGAGGCATCTTTTACTCGACGAAACTTTGAAAGTTATATGAAATTAATTTATTCGATGTTCTTCCTTGCGACGTGCTATATAAAGCCCAAACGTTTTGTTAGGCGAACGAGTCTTATATTGCAAATGCTATATATGTGTATGCGCGTTTATGACGAGTTTGAAAAGTTTTACGATTTGTTGCGCCAATAAAATGCCTACTTCCGCCGCCGTCGCGCGACGCGTGATGATCAGTAAAAGCATTTAGCTATCGGCTTACGTGTACAGTGTGCAGCATCGAGATGTGTCTGGAGCTTGTTTAATTAATGCATATACTGTATCGATAAGTTAACACATATTTCATTCGTCTGGCGCATGCATAATGCTGATTATATCAGCTTGATTATTTGATATTTACGATGATACAGTGGCTAGACATTGACTCATGAACTTAATCTATTTTTATTGACATTTAAACTACAACGAAGAAGAAGATTCAACCAGTTTTTTAAATTTAAAGAGTTTTGAGAAAAGGCAAAACAATATTCATGTTGTTATCTAAAAATAGAATAAAAGCTTGTACAAGTGGCAGAATAGATATACTTGACCAGCATTTGTAAAGCATGTCACGACTAGCTCGATAAAATTATGCATGTAATGGCAATCGTAAGAATCAGAACTTGTGTATATTTATATTGTATTGTACTCCGTACAAACTTCAACTCATAAAAGTTATGAATTTAGCTTGCAATCGGATGATCAACGAAGTATAAATTTTCGCGTGGGCATGTACTTCCAAGTTCTTGCGAAAAATGATAGAGATCTCTTCAACCTTCTACCACCTTTACGATTTACTAAAAGTGCGCGTTTCTCAATCTTCACTGAGCCGTATCGAAATTAAAATTTTTTCATCGTAATACTTTTTTAGTCCGAATCAAGCTGGATCAAGCTGCCTTTCTCCGAACACTTTGTGACGCGCTCGGAAATAAGTACCTTTTCCTAACTATTTTTCAGCATCTGGCTAACGCGTGCTTATCGTCAAGTGTTTTGTGACATTTAACTTTGATCGCATACTCCAAACTTCTTTTCTGGGCAGTATCAAATTTTGCTTTACATTGAATTTTTGCTGGCACTTCACATTCGTAAAGTTTAATGACTTCGCGACCCGTTCTGTTTAATTTCGAAGGAAACACCGATGGACAATTGCACTGAACAGGCGTATTCAATTTTTTTTTAATCGATCTAAAATCATTAACGAATATATGGTTAGAACTAAAATTTCATTCTTTGTATCTATTTTCACTTCAAGACAATTGGCACAAGATATTATCGATTTTCAAGAGATATTTTTATCTTTGGAGTACTTCGTTAAAAACCGCACTCACGTTTTTATGGATCAGCATGAAAAAATGTGGTCTCTTGGAGTTATAAAGTTCTTTCAGAATATTTTACTTTTAAATAATGGAAATAAATTTGAAAAATTTTTCGCAAGTTTTTCAAGGAAGCGTGCTTGAAAATTTTGTTGACAATAATAGATGTCGTTGCACTTTCTAAACACTTGGGTTCGCATGACTAAATAATTTTAATCTATTGTTATGAAATCTAATAATTTTCAACAACTAAAAATGATCGAATCGCTCGTTTCAATTTTTCTTTTATTCATACTTTTTTCGTTCTTGAGGCAGGATTTAGAGAACAAGCAAAAGATATCAAAAATATTACTTCAATGCATAATAACTCTATGAAACGATATTACAAAAGAGATCGATTTTATGCAGAAATGACCTTCGCACTCGAGCATGCCGTCATCCCTGCATCCGTAGTTTTTTCTTCTCTAGCATATTATTACCATTTGAATCCAGAATGAAAACTGGTTTGCCGGTCTCGTTAGCGTATCTTCTTCGGATCGTGCGGTGGCATCACAATAAATATCGAAATTTGAAAGAAACATTTTTTAGTACAAACCAAAGAGTTTTTCAAATGATTTTTTTAAAATTTTCCCGCTCATCTCTGCTACGTACGAGTATTTTCACGATACATATGAAAGTTGCCTTTTCACACTTTCTCCTCGCGAGCGAACTTCAATTGAAGGTTGAAGAAAAAGGAAAAATGAGTTATACCATCGTAATCGCCAACAATCGATGCATGTAAACTATTGTTAATAATGGCCGTGCCGATAATTAAGGTCAGCGGAACATTCCTGATGCCTCGCGCAACTAATATACAACTGTCCATCATAAATCTGCGTGAAAATATGTCAATACATCGCGTCACTCAACTCTCTCACTCACTCACTCACTCACTCTCTCTCTCTCTCTCTCTCTCTCTCTCTCTCTCTCTTTCCTCGCTCCGCGCGTCAACTGCTGCTGATGTTGCACATCAAGTGCCGCGAAGACAGACATTATCATTTTCACTTTGAACGTGACTCGACCGACTGCTCGAGACTTGATATATATTAGGGGAAAATTACGCCGCACGCGACCCACATGTATATAATACGCTGGGTACGAAAACTTTCTTATAAATACGCTTACAAATAAAATCCGTGCAGTCATCGGGCTAATTATATATTCGCACGCTACACAAAGAGAGATGCCACCGTCGTCGTCGACACGATGACACGAATCGGGTTAAAGACACACGAGATTTTTCCCAGTTTATCAGAGGCAAAAACGCGACGAACAATCGGCACGTTTAACATATCCAGGCCTTATTATATACCGAGTACCGAGCTCGCGATTATACACACATTAACAGCATGCATGCACACGGGCAGGGTCGCACTGAGGGGAAGAAAATCTATGTCACTCGGAGTCATTGACCGGCCAACTGCTGACAAATTAATTTAACGCTAATCCCCTCTCTCTCTCTCTGCATTCGTTGGCGACTTGGCCAGCGGAACTCTTCTCTGCGTTCTTTTATGTAAAACGAGCACCTGCAGAGTTCAAATGCGCGTACCTGAAAATATACGCACATGCCGAGATATACCGTCCGACGATATGGTGCGTCGAGAAAACCATAAGCCACGTTTGTTTTTTTTTTCAATTTCTAAGATTCTTTCGAATGCGTGACAGTTAGCGCACTTGTAAAAAGTATAATAAAACGCCTTTTTCCCAGGTTCTACGAGGCGTCTGTATATATTATAGTTTTAAATGTACAAAAATACACACTGTAAAAGTGCCTCGTATCGTGATTTCATTTTCCACTCGATGCTCTCGTTGCCTTTCAGTCTGATTTGCGTTATAATTGCACGTAGTTTTTCCTACGAAAAAGCAACAGGCGCAATAATTGATGTAGCTTCGATATCGCGAAATATCGTGCATCAGCGAGAGAGTGAAATCAAGAGAAATTCCGGTAACCTTGTTTTTATCACATACAAAATTAATAAGTCTAGTCGTGCGGTTTCGTTTTTTTACTTTTCATTTCTTTTTTTCTTTATGGCGAAACCGAAACCTAAACTTAATTCCGCTATACGTCTCGATCGACGAGCTTTTGAATAACGACACATCGTTGTATAGTTACGCGTCGAAGAAAATTGTCGAAAACACACACCCGATTGCATATCGTAAGCAACAGCTCTTCGGGTAGTAGTGTAATACGCTTCGTAGCTGATACGAGAGGATCGATCGAGCCGACCTAGACCTTGGAAAAAGCAAACACGTACAAACACATACCGAGCTCGGGTGGTGGGCAGTCGCCGCCGCCGCGTCCACCGCTGATGTCCGCGCTCGCACACGTGTATGCGTTTGCGCGCCTGGAGCTTCTTTTTTTTCTTTCTTTCGTTATTTAAATTATTATTGTTATATTATAATTGCTCAGGGAAAAGAGGCGGCTATAGAGTAGACGCGAGCCAGGCTGCGACGTATGAAGTACGCGTTTTGTATAATATATAGGTGCTCGGGCGCGCATCGGCCGTTAACGGAAGATTTTCTCGCGTTTTCGCGACGATTATATTATTGCCAACACAATACGATATACTATTTGTGCAATCTATGCGAGCGACCTTTTTCCGAACTTGGATCGTGCGCCTGTCTTATCGCTGATTCATTTCGCTATAATTGTACGAAAACAAAAAAAAAACTGTATCGAATAAATTTTCCGCGCGTAATACTTTGTTGTTTCGTTTTCTTACAAACGCAACGTAGTTTTTGTTTTTCATTATAAGAATTCCTTTAATGCATATTTCACGAGGCTCGCAATTATGTAGCGCGATCGCGTCTCCGTGTAATCGAGCCGACTCGAGGCATAAACACAACGCATACTTTTAATTGCCGTTTTAGGCAAAATTTCTTTCGTCCATAATTGAAAAGCAGAAATTAGCGGTTGTTAACGCTCTATAGTCGCGAACTCGGCGAACTACCTCTTCTTCTTCTTTTTTTCGCAGCAAAATTGCAAGCCTAAGCATTCCGTATGAACAATATAAATATGCCGAGCAATGAAAATTCGTAAAGTCGAGCGAAATAGGTCATTCCACCTTGCGCGCGCCCGCCCGCGAGGCTTGACGTCACGGAGACAATTTTCTGGACTGACGTTTTGATCCTTGAAAAAATTACGTGTACGTATATATACGCGCGCGTAGGGCTCTATTTATAATACTTCGCGAAGCTATTGGACTTTTTTTCGGGCAAACGTCACGCTGACCCGAGAGCGAGTGACTAGACCCTTTAAGCTCGATTTAAGGAGCTTTTCTAATTTAAGCTCCGATCCCGGCGTAGCTCGAAACTGCTGCTGCCGCTATGAACTTTTTTCATTTAGCAGAGCGAGGAAAGTCGATAGCAGATGGTATATAATGCTGTACGACTAGTTGCTCGCACACTCGCATAAATATAGGTACACGCGCACGCACACACATATACACACACGCAGACTCACGACCACGTGACGGAATCGAAGCGAAGCGAAAACACAGTCCAGAAAGATGTGAGAGTCGCGCGCGAAGCGTTCAATATCGATCTACCCGAGAAAGTAACGAGTTATAACGCACGAGTGGCTTTTTTAACTCCTTCAAGTCTTCGACGTATGCGATTGTTTCATCTTTTCTTCTTTTGCCCTCCACAAAAAAACAGGTACAAACCCACGAGGCTATGGGGCTTCAGCGGTCACGTGCAGACCATCGTGCACAGCATCATCGGCCGAGTGCGATGCCCCTGGCCCATCGGCGAGCGCGTCTACATGGGCCTGGCCGACGAGACCACCCTCACCTACGATCTCTATCAGCCGTTGAGTAACACATACGAAGGTATGCGTGGTTGTAGTATACATAAATTTTATACAACGTGTAACGATCCCTGCAATGGATGATTTTTTTCACACGCATTCCCTCTTTCTTTTTTTTGTTCTTTTCGTTCGATGAATATTCAAGATGACGTGACAATAGCCATTTGTCCTGGAATTGGAAATAGCTCCGAGAGCGTCTACATCAGGACGTTCGTGCATTTTGCCCAATGTCACGGATATCGATGCGCCGTACTCAATCACGTAGGAGCCCTGTCGAGCGTCAAAGTCACATCACCGAGAATCTTTACTTACGGTTGGTATATAACGCACGATCGAACGTTCGAGATTCTCACCCGTGATCGATTTTACCTATTTTTTCTTTTTGTTCAATATTACAATGGACGAAAGGCTCATTCTAATTTACTTATTTATTCTTCTTCTTTTTTTTAACCAGGTCACACGGACGATTATCACACGATGCTGAAAAATTTAATGGAGAGACACCCGAGCACAAAAATAGTCTGCGTCGGATTCAGCCTCGGTGGAAATTTAGTGACAAAATACATGGGCGAGCAAGGGGTAAACAAGGCGTCCAATATCATCGGAGCTATTTCCATTTGCCAAGGATACAACGCTCTTGAGTGAGTCCTAATTTATTTTTTTAATTTTCGACGAGCGTTTCGAACGAAAAAAAACAATTTATCGAGCTAGAACGAAAGTATCTTATCGCATATACATAATATTAAATTAAATGAAAATGTTTGTTCTGCAGAGGCACAAAGTATTTGCTTAACTGGACAAATTTCCGCCGTTTTTACCTGTACATCATGACAGAGTCAGTTAGGAATATTATTTTAAGGCACAAAAACGTACTGCTGTCTGAAGACGTGAAAAAGAAGCACAATCTCAATGAGAAAGAAATCGTATCGGCAGCTACTTTACCTGAACTGGATGAAGCATATACACGAAAGGTACGTGTTACATTTTTGTTTTATTCAAATTTTATTCATTCCATTATCGATTTCTATTAATTTTTAACAATTCGTTCAACCTTGAAGGTGCACAATTTTAAGTCGGTAAAGGATTTGTACAAGTGGAGCAGTAGTCTGTTTTATCTTCACAACATCGCTGCGCCGGTTGTATTTGTCAATGCACTGGACGATCCGATTATTCACGAGTCTCTTTTGGAACCAGTCAAAGACTTAGCCAGTAAGTCATAAGAATGTTATTTGCAAAATCATGTTTTTTTATGGTCCAATTGACAATAAATGTTAATCGATCGATTTTTTCAGCTACGAAAATGCAAGTACTGTACGTCCAGCTGGCGCATGGCGGTCATCTGGGCTTTTACGAAGGTGGTCTGCTTTATCCGAATCCCATAACGTGGCTCGATCGCACCCTGGTGGCATTGGTTGGATCGTTGACCCTCGCACACTCCGATCGCGCCCTCAAGTCCTATTAAAAGAAAAACCTTCTGGTCGTATTTTTCGCTTAGTTAAAAAGAAAAAAAGGTCACGTATTTTTTTGATGCGTGAATTCGTTGCATGGAATCCTATTACGTGTGTAAATGCTTCGGGTATTCACAAGCGTGTACAATATTAAACGTGTATACACTTAATTGCGAGTATTTTTTCGCCAATGTGTGATAAAAAGCTGCAGCATATTTATACATATGCATCGTATATTATATATATTTAAAAAAAAAAATCAATTGACGCGGGTTAGAGACTCGCTAAAAAGTCGTACTGTATTTTTTGCCTGAGAGTATGCTTGCGTGCGTTTAGTATGTTTTAAATAAAATAAAAACATGATGAGTGTCGTATTTGTTGAATGTTTATATTAATAATAATAGAGATAAGAGAAACAACACTGATCTTATCTGTATTATTGTGTAAATGTATTTTGGGTCATGTTAAAATGTTGCGTCTATTTAATATTTAGTTGTCGCTTTTCCAAGTGACTGAGTGAAACTTTGCTCCCCTTAGTCATACGTATCGTTACTTTATTTATAAAATTGTGTGCGTACGATGGTGTGGCGTTAAACAAAAATGCATTTTGCCGTTTATATATAATGCTAATTTATATTATATACGTGTAAATGAAAAATATATAAATGAAATTGACTGTTTCGATCTCTTCGTCAGTTCGATATCGAGAGAATTTGATTTTCTATTGTACACGGCAGTTGTACAATTTCGAGTCACTTGAAATATTTCATAAAAATTACTTGTAAACACACGGAAAACGCAGGTTGACGTTGAATGTGCGTAGTATTTTGTGCTTAGAGCATGCATTTTTGCTTCTACCGTCGTACAAACAATGATACTATTGTAAGTTCAAAATTTTCGTAATTAAAGCTTAACAATTAATTTTATTAATTGAAAATTCTTCGAAATTATAATAGACTTTTGTAAATTTGTAATTTAAAATTGATTTTTTACCAAAGTTCCATGAACTTCAACGAATAATAGTCGATCGTTGTTTGTTCATTGTGAAATGGGAAAATTTATACTAGAATTATATACTTATAATTAAATTTATTTAGTTATTAAATTTTCAATTTGTTAAATGATTATTATTATGCAAAGGATTATTGAAAATTCGACTTAACTTCAAACTATTTTTACATTTAAAATTATTTTCGAGTTTTATAGATTTGAATCATCTGAAATTATTCTTTATGAAAAAGTTGTGTTTTATAAATTGTTCAAGGTACTTAAAGGAAATTATAAAAATGTGATTATTAGTTAAATAATATGATAAATTTATACTTTCGCAAATGGATAACAATGAGAAAAAAGATGAGCCTGTGGCTTGTCGAATAATTTTTTAAAATGTATTTAATTACATTGTAAAATCATCAATGACAATATGAAAAGAAAGCAGAGTTCCCCTATCAGCTGAGCACTTCATTTTTAGAACCTTTTTAAAAATATATTATCAATATTTAAATACACTCGTGACTCTGCGTTACTTTATTTTTTAGCTCAAATTTTTAAGCACATATTCTCTTATGAATGTCAGCGCATTCAAAGTGCAATTGAAATATTATGGAAAACTGTTCTGATTACGTTTCTATTCACACAAAGTTACCAGTTATTAGATTTCCATTTTCTTATGATTTTTCAATTTATATGAGCTACTATAAAAACCGAACACAATGGTTTGTACGCACATTACGGAGTTTAAACATAATTTATGAACAATAAATTTAAAAAATATATATTAATGGCAGGTGTCAAGTTAACAATTTATTAAAACCTTGTACACGATTGTGCTTTTCACCTAACTTTTGATTGATATTTTTACAAAGTTATGAAAGTACGACGAATTTTGATAATTCTGAAAGGAACTTTTTTGTGAATAATTCAATACAACTATTCATCATGTCATGCAAGAAATATAATTTTCACGGCGCAGTTGCAATAATTTTTCATTAAAATTGATTGCGCAGTTATTCAATCATACGTTTTACTTTTATAATTGATGCAGTGTGTGTAAATTGACCTACATAATGTTTTGGAAATTGACATGTTTTTAATTATGATGGTCGATAACTCGTACAAAATGTGATGCGAAATAAACACAAAATATAAACACAAACTTGGAGTATTCTTTCATTTCTTGAAACTCCCACGACATATTTTGCAGAGCCAATCATAAAACTCGGATCAGTAAGATAACAGTTTAGTGTCTGTTAGTTAAATTCGAGTGACGAACAAATTTATCATTCTAATTCGGATTTTTTTATGTAAATAATTTCTCGGTTTTGTAACACGAATATAGTTGTCGACTTTCGAGGATCTGGCTGAAAATGTTTTTTTTTACAAACCTCAATTCGTTTAACTATAGTATTATTTAATTGTACTTTTGGTTAGAATTAATTAAATAGAAAAAATACGACAAAATACAATTGATACGATTGAAGATTATTATTTTCCGATGGAGACCAGAATGAAGATTTTTAAAATTCATCAAAACTCTCGGCTGATCGTTGCATTACAAGCTTACTAGCAACCAAGTAGCAATGAATTTACGGAGAGTAATAGTAGCAGTTTTATACCTATAGAAATCTTCAGCCACTTGCCAGTATTACAATATATATCGCTTGACATCTAGTGTCAGAAAGTTAAGTTACACGTGCCACGAAATACCGTATATTCACATCCTCATAAGAATAGCATCTTAACTTGCATGACAAAAGTTCTTATGAAAAGCTTATTGTTTTTGTTGTAAATAATAAAAATAAAATATATCTGTATATAGTACAGAACCTCAAGATTATGTATGTGTAATTTTTTGGGGGGAAATGTTTTATTTTTGTCTAGAAATAAATCATTAAAATTGTAAGATTTTTTTATTTTTCACTCCAATAAGCTGAAGACACAATTTTGAAGTAAAATGTCGAGTTGCTTCGCTGATTCTTCGTCTAAGATGAAGACTTTTAAAGAAATATTGAAAAAGTTAATAACCCATTTCTTGTGCACATTAACTACTTCGTGATCGTAGCCCGTTTTTTATGAATTCCCCAATAAGCAAAAAGTTATGACCATAATCGTTAAATATTACTGCAATATTATCGCGATAATTTTTTCGAAAAAATTGCTAGACCGGCGAGCGACCTCAGTTCTTCGATCTATTTCTTTTTACGCGGATACTTAGCGATGTCGTGGAACTTGAAAACGATCTGCACAATTTCGTTGTTTATCTTAAGTTTCTCCAGTTGCCCACTGGTAGAATCTTTGATCGTCGATCCGTACTTGAAGGAGCGAGATCGATTGATCGAAGCCGAGCGAAAGCTGCAGTTCGGCCGCGACATCGTCTTGCAGGGCGACGAGATTAAAGCCAACGAGTGTCTGATGAGAGCTAAAACGGCCGAAATCGACCACGGTAAGTGCATAAACGTCTAGAGGAGTTTATTCCAAGTTCATTTTTGAGAAGAATAAAACAAAAAATGTGACAATCCCGCTCTGAGCGAGCACCATCTGAAATACCGATACACGTCTCTGCTTAACTTTCGTTCGGGCGCGCAGCGTTCCAGCACCCCGAGGACTTTTTGCCGGCGCAGAATTTTCTGCGGGCGCGCAAAGAGATCGAGCGGTCGACGGTCTTTCGGATTCTGCGCAGGATGCCCAAGGGCGGCCTGTTTCACGCGCACGGCCTGGCCATCGTGTCGATCGACAAGCTGCTCAGGTACACGCACCTGCCGAATCTCTGGATCTGCCGGGATCGATTCGCGTTTCTGTTCTCGAGGGCGCGGCCGCCGCCGCTGCTGTCCCGCTGCGACGACTGGATGCCGATCGAGGAGCGCCGCCGAGCGGAGCCGAATCTCGACCAGGAGATCAAGCGACACCTGATGCTATCGGCGAGCCGCAACGACGACATCAATCACGTTTGGAAGGACTTCAATAACTTGTTTCCAGCGGTCGGCGGCTTGGCCGTCTACAAGTGAGTTGTACAATCGCTTGAAAGCCATCGCGGACCGAATGTTGAAATTTTTACAAATTTTTCTCGCAGGCCGGTCTACGAGAAATTTATGTACGAAGCCATGCAGGAGCTTTACGACGACAACGTCATGTTCATGGAGCTCAGAAATTCTCTCTTTCCTCTGTACGATCTCGACGGCACGCAGCACACGCCCGAGGAAACCGCGAGAACGTTGATGAAAGTTGTCAAACGGTAAATGCTCATCTCGTATATATAAATTCGTTTTACAAGCATATCGGCTCAGATGCTTGATCGTTTCCACACAGCTTCTGCACGAACAATCCGTCCTTCTTGGGTATCAAGCTCATAATCTCCCAGTCGAGGAGTGTCCCGCTGGACGTGGTGAAGCAGAAAATAGAGCAGTTCAAGCGATGGAAGGCCGAATTTCCGGACCTGATCATCGGTTTCGATCTGGTCGGCCAGGAGGACATACATCACTCGTTGCTGGACTACCGGGAGGCACTCGAGGGCATCAAGGACGAGACCAACTTCTTTTTCCACGCCGGCGAGACCAATTGGTATGGCCGACAGCCGGATCACAATCTTTACGACGCCATCGTTCTTAATACCAAGAGGATTGGTCATGGGTATATAAGAACTGTATTAGTTAGTGACTAAACTATCATAATTATAACTTCCTTTACTATAGCTTCGCCCTGATCAAGCATCCGAAATTAATGGAGATCGTGAAAGAGAAGAAGATCGTCGTCGAGGTCAGTCCCATCTCGAATCAGGTGCTGAAGCTGGTCGGGGACCTACGCAATCATCCGGCGGCTCACTTCTTCGCGACGAATCTGCCGGTGGTAATAACGAGCGACGATCCGTCCCTCTGGGGTGCCACCGGCCTGAGCTTCGATTTTTACGAGGCGTTCGTCGGCATCATGTCGAGCGAGGCCGACTTGAGGGCGCTCAAGCAGTTGGCTCTGAACTCGATCAAGTACAGCAGCCTCGATAAGCGCGAAAAGGCGAAGGCGTTCAAGATTTTCAATCAGACATGGATGGAATTCGTTACGGAATTGCCCAAGAGTTCACTGTGTGTAAAAGCAGCTTGACATTCATATTGTACTCAGATTTTTGTACTTAGAAATTTAATTCTTTTTATTTTTTCTCGCACGAGCCTATAAAAGTTGACTTATTTTTTAGCCACGCTTACCTCATTGCACTTGAACGCGACGCGCATTTCATTTAAAAATACATCCTAATTATATCTCAAAAATAAAGTTTCAATTTGAATTTCGAAACGATCCATTCTGCGCACTGCGACGGTTGCATTGCAGTCCTCGCGCAGTCGCAGTCGATCCAAGTTTCTTTTGTGAAAGTAGCCTTTAGTCCGGGCGCTGGTGACATTTGAGTGGACTTACGAGATCCCCTCGGCGAGTTGACGGATTTCTATGTTTTTTGGGTCGCTGAAACCGAATTTGAAGGTCGCCAGGCCAAAATCCTGGTCAATTTTTTGTTATAAACAAATTAATTGTTTAAACAGCCATATCTTGAAAAATATTGAAGATAGATTCAAACAATTTGTTTTTATTTTATTCGTCTTTGAAAAACAAAAAAATTCCATTAAATTAATTGAAAATCCGTCCACTAGAAAAAAAGTTATGCAATAATTAGTGTAAAATACGTCTTTTTTCACCTTTCAACCTCTGTAACTTTGCTCGTATTAGTGCGATCGAGCTCCTGCACGTCTCATTTTAAAGGTAATAACCTACAGAATGATGTAACATAATTTTTATGTAGATAAAATTGTTTATAATGCAATCTGTAGACGTGTATAAACGTAATTTTATGGCTCTGACGTACTTTCCATTTGTTTATACGCGTTTTTTGCTGAGATAAATTATTAAAACAACGTGGTAACAAGTTACAAACAAGTCTGACCTTGGTTCATGAGTTCATGTTGCCTCAGTGTGCACGCCCTAAGCGCTCGCTGGGATTCAACGTTTTCTCTGGGACTCCATAAATTACAATACCGAAGAGTTCGGTTATAATCAAAGCGATTTTTTCATTGCTTCAGCTGCCATAGATGGCTACAGAAACGAGCCTGAAGATGATCAGAATGTAATTATATCGCCGCGTCGCACCACACTAATAGATCGAACGGTTAAAAGCTTGAAGATTAAACCTCGTCCCTGGATTCAACTGTTTCCTTACCTTTTTGAAATATACGACAGGTGTGATGTGAATTACACCGACGAGTCAGGCTACACACACTTTCACGCGGCCTGCCAGTTTGGCTGTGTCGACGTCGTCCGAGAATTCCTCGAGCACAGACAGGATCCCAATTGTATCTGGACAGAAACCGGTAATTCGGCACTAGACATTGCTTTGAGTAGTGAGGCTGAATCGATCAGTGATATAATGGAAATGCTGCTGAGAGGAGGCGCTGATCCAAATTTAGTCAACAAGAAAGGTTTGACACCTTTGCATATTATAGCCAAAGAAGTCTTTCATTGTGAGATAGTAGAGCTATTCTTCCAAATAAACGATGAATTGAATCAGCGGGTGCAGGTCGATGCCCGTGACAAGTTGGGTAATACACCAATTCATTTGGCTTTGAAATACAGTGATCGGAAGAAGATGATGGAGGTGCTGCTGAGAAGAGGAGTAATCCGAAATTGGCCAACGACGAGGGATCAACTCCTTTGCATATTATTTGCAAAAGAATCCAATATCATACCGATGACTCGGCGGTGCTCTTTTTTAAAATCAACGACGAGCTCAATCAGCAGGTGCAGGTTGATGCACGCGATAATTTGGGTAGGACACCCCTTCAATGGGCCGTGGCAGGTGGCTTGCCGCACGTGGTCGAGAAGAGAAGAGCAGAGTGGTCGCATGGAAGGGGGAGAGAGAGTTGTGCGAAGTGCCTCACGCGGTCGCCTCGTCCACTGCTGCCCCCATCACATACACGCACATACGGCTGCACCCAAATCGTCGACTTATGCATCGACGACAGTAAATAAACAAACGTGCAAACGTGCAAACGTGCAAACGTGCATGCGCTAAGATATTTTTATCAACATGAGATCACGCTAAAATTTTGGGTTCAGTTTAGTCTCTGGACACATTTTAAGTACTCCAAGAGGCATGTGTAAAAAAATTGTAAGGAAATATGTAATCATCTGCCGGTCTAGAGGGTGATTGAAATAATAACGTTACACAAAAAGTGTAAAATTTCTTGTCTTTGGCGAAAAATAGTCTCTTCGTCGCAATCATATGCAATATGGATGCGCCAATCGCTCGTTTCTTCATAAGATTTGTGCCGCTTCATCATCCAATTCGGAATAAAATGATCATTATTCTGCATGAACGCATTAAAACATGTGTCCAAATCTGCAACCGGAGCCATTACCATCTCGAGAATGTACTTAAGGATTGAATTAAAGTAATCGTGAATAACTTTTGAAGCAGCTGTTAACAGATCTGGGATGCAGTTGCGTTTCCCATGAGAAAATATTTCCAGGCTATAAAGAAGATAGAATTAACCCATAAGGTCCGGGACGGACAAATTTTTTATAATTTTTTGAACCGTTGTACTTTTGCTGAAAATAAGGTCTGGAGAACTTGCGAGTGAGCGAATCGATGGTTTGTCAACTTCATCAACGCTGTAGGCCATTGCTGATCGAAGTCATGTCTGGCTCAATTGGTCCGGGACGTCAACCTGTTAAATATCATGTTTTTGTGGTCTTCTCCAAGTTGTTATAGTCGCAAATCTGTAGACGAATAATGTTAAGGAATATTGCTGAGAAGTTATGCCTGGTAACATTTCTGTTTCGTGTTCATTGTGTCATAAATACTAATAATATGATATAATATAATGCAAATTAGGGCTGTTCGAGTACCCGATTTTTCGAGTTTTACTCGCCTCGAACTCGACTCGTCAAGTTTTTTTCGAGTTTTACTCGACTCGAATTCGACTCATCGAGTTTTTTCGAGTACTCGCACAGCCTGAATGCAAATTAATATAAAATAATTAAGTCGTGGGCCACTTCGCATCGAAGTAATAATATCTGGTTCAATTTGTCCAGGGCGTCAACCTGTTAAGTTTCATGTTTTACGTGGCATTCATAGTCGCAAGTCTGTTGACAAATAATGTTAATGAATATAATATAATATAATATAATATAATGCAAATTCATATAAAATAATGCGAATTAATATAAGATAATGCAATTTAGGGATTTGCGAGTACCCGATTTTTCGAGTTTTACTCGACTCGAATTTGTTGGGAAAATTTGCGACTCGAGTTGTTTTCGGGTAGTCGAGATTTTTCGAGTAATCGAATTTTTTCGAGTACTCGCAATGTATTCAAGTTTTAAGTAAGCTAGTAATATGAAACGCGCTTGCTCTGGACACACGATACGATTTTTATTTGTCGCAAAAATAACACGGAATTCTGAAAGAGCATACCCAAAGAACCCTGGATATGGATTTTCAAGAAAAAATTTTAACTTTATCATATTTCAGAATGGAGAATTCATGAACAAAATTGCACTTTTGCGCGTTAATGGGTTAAATATCAATTTATATTAGGGCAAAGCCACGTCAAGCGGAATATGTTAAAAAAATGCATCTGGACAAAATATATCTACAGATATAACAGCTTCTCACGTTGCTCTCCTTGAGTCCATGGTCCGCGTTTTTTTCCCGCGCACCTTCTCTTTTCCCTCCCCCCCCNTCCCACTCCAATGTCTCTTTTACTACTTTCACCTCTCACTAAAAAGAGGAACAGCTGACTACGCCGGCATTCGAACGTAAGCGGCGAAGCGTCACGGATGCATCAGTACTCATTTTTATTAAAACGTTAAAGTGTTATTAGCCTGCGAGTGCCTATTTTTTAAAAAATTTTTGAAGTAAGAATATTTGTAACAGATTATGCAAATATTTCGAAGAAATTTACAGTGACCTACGTGGAATCAGTACAGTAACACACACGAATACTCGTAACACCCATCGACACATAGACACGGAACTTTTATTTATAGCAAATAACACCAATATTGACAAGAAATTTACAGTGATACATGTGAAAACTGAATAGTAATTATTTGTAATAATTATTTACCATACTGCAGAACCAGATTTGCAGCTTGGAAAAAGATATACAGTGTTACACGTGGTGACATAACCTTAAAGATTTACTCTTCTGCTTAAACTGTAAAAATGCTTCCGATATGCAAACAAAACATCACGGAAGTATGGAGCTACAATCTGATCCAGGCTTTTAAAGAAATCAAAGATCAAATTAAAAATACATCATTCGTGGCGTTTGATAGCGAATTTCCAGGTACATTATCACCCAGAACAAGAGAGATCGACGAATGGACCTATATCAACGGTACAGTTTCATATACAAATCCAATACAGTTCGGATTATCATTTTATGGAGAGTTTGGAAGCAAAATTATACCCATTAACACGTGGCAAATAAACTTTAAATTCGACGAAGATGCGGACGAGTCGAATCCAGAAAGTATAGAATTTCTAAAGAAGCACGGATTTGATTTCAATCGTCACAAAAACGAAGGAGTATGTCACGAGGAGTTCAGAAAACTTCTCGTTGATACTGGAATCTTGGGATCAAATAATATTACATGGGTAACATTCTACGGTAATTTCGACATCGCCTATCTACTCAAATTGTGCGCAAATCGATGGTTTGATGATGCCCAGAGTTTTTTAGCAACGGTGTCAGAGTACTTTCCATCGACAATTGATGTTAAAGTACTGATCGAAATAAATTATATTAGAGTTCGATCGAAAGGGCTTTTAAAACTAGCCAGTGAACTGAGGATTGAAGTTAACAATAATGAACTGGCACATCATGCAGGCTTTGACGCCCAGGTCACTTTTGCGTGCTTCAATTATATTTTTAACTTTTATAATACAATGCCATCAGAGTTGAACGGAAAATTTTTGTATTTAAATATTTGATAATTTTATATGTTCATGTTTTAAAATTTTGACTTCCCTTAAGTACTGTGTGAAATAGCAATCTGAGTGAAATGTATGTAGAAAAAAACAAAAAAAAAAAACGAAGAACTACTATACTATACATATACTATATATACAAGGAAAATATGTGTAAATATTGAACCCAGAATGACAATCAAAAAACACAATTATTTTTCTGTGAGCATGAAATTTAAAGTGCACAACTATAATATGCCTGAATGATAAATCTGCCGGTGATTTGTGTGCGTGATAAGTATTATTTTCAAATATTTCTAGTTCAAAACACATTTGTCATTTGTTGTAGTATCTTTTCACGAGAATAATATTCAAAATACTCTTTCGTTATTCACTCTTCCGTCGCACGTGCCAAATATCATGACGCACATTTTTTTCTTTCTCCGAGGTGGTATCATTTTTCAACAAATTAATTTCAATCAGCGGTGTGGCACAATCGACTTTTATCAAATATATTCTGGAAACTGTTTACTTACGCGCTTAGAGTCTTGTAGCTTAGTGTATAGGAATTGAATCGCGTACGATTATGAAAGCCGCTTGATTACGCGCACGTGAATTTCATTCTCCTTGTCGGCGCAATGTTCGTGTGTTGTCATGAAAATATTCAGTGAAATTTCATTATAAATATCCTACCACGTTTTGCGGTAATTTTCTAGAATAAAAAAATTCGCGTGTGCTTCGATATATCAACCGAGATAAACCTCATTAACTCGATAACTAAATAGAACGAACTAAACTAAATAGAGAAACAAACTGAATAATTTTTACATACAATTGCATGACGAATTATCGTTTTATCTTAGTTGGAAGACCGCTCGATGTAAAAATAGATCAAATATCAATCAAGCTGAGCAAATTTCCCTAATCTTGCAACGTGAGAGCAAAAAATGATATTTATAAGGATGGTTTCTATGTTACTCGAGCATTAGTCGAAGCAAAGTTGTAACGAGTGTATAGTTGATCGCGATGTCGAAGTTACTTTTACTGTTGATATCGAGTTTCGTCGGTGCCACACTGGCAGCACCATCCTACTCTTACTTGGCGGAGCGGCAGAGCTTGATTCAAGAGGAGAAAAAGCTGCAGTTCGGTCATGATATCGTTTTGAGCGACGCCGAAGCGAGGGCGAACCTGTGCTTGATGAGGGCCAAAACCGAAGAAATCAATAATGGTGAGTAGTGGATTTCTTTCATACAACATCCGTTCGATCGAATCAGTCTGTAAAGCACTTGTACTTTTTATTCTTTTTAACAGGACTTCGACACCCCGACGAATTTTTGCCGGCACAAAATTTCCTGCGAGCTCGCGAGAGCATCGAGGAATCGAAGGTTTTCCGCTTGCTGCAGCGGATGCCCAAGGGCGGCCTGTTTCACGCGCACTCCACGGCCCTCCGCTCGGTCGACGAGCTGATGAAATATCTCGACGATCCCGATCTCTACATCTGCTTCCGTGCCAACGACAAGATCGTCTTCAGGTTCGCCGCGGCGGCGCCGGAGGACACGGCTCAGTGCGCCGGATGGCAGCTCCTTCGAGGATTGCGTCGTCGTAACAAGTACATTGACGAGGAGATCAGAGATCAGTTGCTGCTGGATATTGACGAGTCGACTGACATCAACGCCGTCTGGGACTCGTTCGAGAACGTGTTCGATGTCATTTCCGGGATCGTCAAATTCAGACCGATTTTCGAGAAGTACCTTTACGAATCGATGCAAGAACTGTACGACGACGGAGTCATGTTCATGGAAATTAGAACTCCCTTCTCAGCCCTCTACGATCTCAATGGCAACGAATATTCGCCCTTGCAAGTCGCCGAGATCATGCAGGAGGTTTCGAAGCGGTACGCTGCAAGGCAAATTTTTTAATTTTGAAATCACGTTTTACGCTCAGTTCGCTTAAAGAATGTATACTTGTCATCGCAGTTTTTGCGCGAGCCATACGGAATTCTTGGGTATCAAGACGATTTTTTCGGTATTCAGAGGAAAATCCCTGGAGCAGGTCGAGCGAGCCATCGACACCTATCACGAGGTAAAGACAAAGTATCCGGACTTTGTTCTTGGATTCGATTTGATAGGGCAGGAGGACAAGTTCAATCCGCTGATGTTTTACTCGAGTCAGCTGCAGAAGCTCGGCGAGAGCACGCAGTTCTTTTTCCACGCCGGCGAGACCAACTGGTACGGCCAGGACTCCGACTACAATCTCGTGGACGCGATTCTCCTCAATACCAAGAGGATCGGTCACGGGTAAGTTCGATGCTTTTATTCTTATAGCAGCGGCGACGAGCTTCACGTTGAGAAGAAAAAAGCAACTCATTTTCAATTGCGCTCTCATTTATGATTTTTGTAGCTACGCCCTGATCAAGCACCCGAAACTGATGGAAATAGTGAAGCGGAAAAAGATCGCCATCGAGCTGAATCCCATCTCGAATCAGGTACTGAAGCTCGTCGCGGACATGCGCAATCATCCGGCCAGCTATCTGTTCGCCGAGGACTTCGCGGTGGTGGTGTCGAGCGACGACCCCTCGATCTGGGGCGCCAAGGGCCTGAGCTACGACTTTTACGAGGCCTTCGTGGGCATCATGTCGAGCGAGGCCGATTTAAGGGCGCTCAAGAAGCTTGCCCTCAATTCCATCACCTACAGCGGCTTGAACGAGGCCGAGCAGCTCAGGGCATTGGACATATTCGCGGCCCAGTGGTCGAGATTCGTCGCCGAACTGCCGGAGAGTCCCGTGTGTCGTCGGCTACAGACTAGTCGAGCTTGAGATTTCCGAGATACGAGCGAGCTGATACGATATTCGCGCGCACAACGTTATATCAACGTTCAACTTTGTAAATATAAGAGAGAGACGTAATATCGCGCCCGTTCGTGTCAAACAGTATTATGATGTATTCAAAGAGAAAGAGGGAGAGAAAATTTGCGTAATCAGTCGAAATTTTATCGGACGACAAATTATGTTGTGTATACTGTATTAGATGTTAAGTGTTGAGTTTATATGCTAATTGTGCCATACGAATTTTTTTTTTGCAATAAAAAAGAAAAAATGTTATCTATGCGTTCTGCGCTGCTTCTTTTATTCCTCGCGCTTCCAAAGTGCCTGGCCGTCAGCAAAGATGTACTCGAGCAATATTTAACACAGCGCCGGGAAATAATCGATGAAGAATCATCAGATTTATTCGGAGCGGATATTATTTTGGATAGCGAGGAGCAAGCGGCCAACGCGGTCTTGATGAAGTTGAAGCTTCGAGAAATAGGTATAGAACAATTGTATTCGAGTACGTGTAAAAGTACGAAAGGATATATAACGGTACGAAAAAATTCTTTTAGGAACGCCCGCGAACTCGCGCAATTTTTTACCGTCCAAACAATTTTCAAGCGTGTCCAAAGCTATCTCGAACTCGCCGCTATTCAAAGTCATACGACTGATGCCCAAGGGCGGAGTTCTTCACGTGCATCTGTCGGCGGTGAACTCGCGAAATTTCATTCTCAACAACATAACCGACCGTGAGAATCTCTACGTCTGCCGGGATCAACTGGAAGGAGCTCCGAGGTTGCGCTTCTTTCGTAACGGCGCGGCCGTGGCGGCCTCGCGAGTCGATCCCTCTTGCCGATGGCGGCTCTTGGCCGAGGTGAGAGAGAAGGACAGGAGCATCGACGAGGAAATCGATCAGGCCCTGACGATGTACGCCAGCGGCGAGAGGCTCGGCCGGATCAGGAACTCGAACGACGCTTGGAGAAAGTTTTTGAACCTATTTGATTTCGTCAAATCCCTGTTTTCGTTCAAGTAGGCGTGAGCTGCGAAAAAAAAGCGTACGATTGCATTTGAAATCGATGTAATAATACGTACCGTAATTTTTTTCAGGCCCGTTTACGAGGATTATCTGTATCACGTGCTCGAAGACATGTACAAGGATAATGTACAGTTCGTGGAGCTTCGCACTGCCTTGCAACCTCTGTACGACTTGGACGGTCAGCAATACCAGGATCTGCAGGTGTTGGAGATCTTTAAAAAAGTCGTTGATCGGTATCGAAAATTTACATTCGTAGACTTTGTATCATGTGTAATATCGTAACGTGATTTTCAATCTGTACCCCTAGTTTCATGGACGATCACGCGGATTTCGTAGCCGTGAAAATCATCTACTCTCCGCACAGAAATATTCCTCGCTCGACTTTGGACGAGTGCATCGGAAAATTTCGATTGTTCCAAGAGGCGTATCCGGAACTCGTCATCGGCTTCGATCTCGTGGGCCAGGAGGATCGAGGCCGGCCACTCCTGGACTTCGTCGACGAGCTGCTCGAGCTCGGCCGAGATACGCGCTTTTATTTCCACGCCGGTGAAACAAACTGGAACGGCCACGAGGTGGACGAGAATCTGATCGACGCCGTCCTGTTGAACGCCAAAAGAATCGGACACGGGTAAGAGAGAAACTGCACTGCGCAACAAAATTAGAAGCATTAAAAAATTGACGAAATTTCGATGACATTTTTTTTGCTATATCTTTGTCTATTTAGATTTTATCGAGACAATTTGTTTCAATTTTTTAGACATTTTTTCGTCCATAAATTCATATATATATTAAGATTGGATGTGAGTCAAGATCGAGGTGCCAGGCGCTGTTGAGTGTAACGCGTAAAATGACCGAAAAAAAATCAATTTTTTCAATTACTCCTTGCAAAAGAGTATAAATTATACTGCAGTGCTGATTCACGTTTAAAACATCCATTTTTCCTGTCATTTTACGCGTTACACTCAACAGCGTCTAGCACCTTGATCTTGACTCATATCAATTAATAATTAATATGGATTTAAAGAGAAAAAAATTTCCACGAAATTGAAAAAAAATTGTCTCGATAGAATCTAAATAGACGAAGATAGAAGAATTGGAAAATTTAGATGAAATTTTTAGTTGCGTTAATTTCGTTGTGCAGCCTATATATTAACGCAAACCATTTCACCTGTGAGCCTCGATCCAAAAATTATCGCTCTTTATCCTCGACTATAGCTTCGCCCTGATCAAGCATCCGAAATTAATGGAAATCGTGAAAGAGAAGAAGATCGCCGTCGAGGTCAGTCCCATCTCGAATCAGGTGCTGAAGCTGGTCGGGGACCTGCGCAATCATCCAGCGGCTCACTTCTTCGCGACGAATCTGCCGGTGGTGATATCGAACGACGATCCGGGCTTCTGGGGCGCCACCGGCTTGAGCCACGACTACTACGAGGCCTTCGTGGGCATCATGTCGCGCAAGACTGATCTCCGGTCGCTGAAGCGACTGGCGCTGAACTCGATCGAGCACAGCAGTCTGAGCGATAAGGAGAGGGCTCTGGCCGAGGAAGCGTGGACGAGACGTTGGAAGACGTTCGTGCGACAGATAATGATGGATAGCGATGACAGGGAGACGTATTCTTCTTCGTATTATCGGTACGAAATTTAAGTAAAGCTCGTCGACGAGCAAACAGTTCGTTTTCGTAGCTAATTATTTCGATTGTTATTTGAATAAGAGCTTGATATTCAAAATCGTAGACACGATAAATAAGTCAAATGGTCATCTATTATTATCATATATTGGCATATTTTTTTTGTAAAGGATTTGTTTTAGATTTTACAAAAAAATAATTTTAGTTTTTTTTTTAAATTAGTCAATGTCAAAATTTAGTAGCTATAAGTTTCGTTTGGTCTGTACGAATGATTTTCGTTCGATTAATCTAGAATCTAATTAACGAGTCTGCATATTATAATTTCATCGAGCATGTTTTGCAAAGAAATTTATTTCATCACGTAAAACGTGATTAGTGCATTTTTAGGAAAAATATCATTGTAATTTCAGTCATCGTGCTCATTGTTGTTCAATTCGATGAACATCGTTATCTCAATCCACGAATTATGACAAACAAAGTATTATGTAGTGAAATCTCAATGTGGCGGTAATAAAAAGAAAACATTATTATTTTTAGCATATTATAATAGATACATGGATTATCTTTTTTTTTAAAGTACCTAAATATTGTGCTATTATATCGAACCTCAGCTTGGCGACCAATCACGCAATTGGCTTTTAGTAAATCAAATTGCTTGTAAAATTCGAACAATGACTTCATGACTTGATTTACACATTGTTTTCCAATGACGTTGAATAAAAAATGAATGTGTTTGTACGTGTTGCTCAGATACATCAGCTGTATGATAGTGTGTATATTTTTTTTGTTGATTTCATCAACCGTAGCTATTATATAAACTGCAATTACATTAATGTATTTAAACTTCATATGTATTAAATTTTCGGGCATTTATGGAAATTAGATATTGAGTGAAAACTTGGAAGGTATGCCATAAGAATACTGAAGACATCAATCTGATAAAAATTAGTAACAAGGCTTCAACCAAATTTTTTATTCAATTATTTACTTTGATGACGTTTAAAAGGTACAAAATTACAGGAGAAATGATAGAAAAATGATCTGGTTTTTATTTGTTTCATATAAATATTATCATTAACATTATTGTTTGTATATTAAAATTATTTAATCAAAGCTGAAAGTTTTGATTTCATGCTTTTTTTATTTAGTTTATAATTGTGCTCATACGCGTGACTTACTGTAGTTTTTGTCTACGATTCATAATTCTTTTGTTACCTGATGTAATTGTATCTTTAATGATACAATGCGTTCCTCGCTTTCCATCAATGTCCGCCAAGCGAATATTTCATAAATAATCGTCCATTAACGTAATATTTTCATAAAAAAACTCAAAAGGGTATAATAGTATCATAGGTAGCAATGATGATGTTACTTAGATATCATTGGGGTATAACTGTAAAACTTGAATTTTCACGTTTGGATTCCATCATGACATCTGACAATTATATCCTAAATTGGTTTGCTTACTATCAAAGCGATGAATTTATTCAGACTTTTGTATAAGGTGATCACATAATAATATGCTCAATGAATTAAAAGTATCTTTAAAGTCGACTCAATCGTAGTACCATACAATTTTGTAATTAACAATATCATCAAGAAGGAAATTTAATACGCGATACATACGGATGCACCGTTTGTCTCCGGGCAAATCAGTTGCTTAGCAAAAGAACTACTTCATATGACAATTTGAAAGCCTTCTGTTTGTTAAGGATTTTTTTAACCATCAACAGATTTTTGGACGATTCAAAATTTTAAATTGCTCACTGATGTGGTTTGTGTTATTTTTTTCGTATAATTCGCAGGAAAAATATTTTCTTCTTCGCAGTTTCTAATATTTTAAATATTTTCTCAAATTTTTTCGCGTGTCGCAACTACTGCAGTGATCAATTTGGTCTCTCGGATCGTGCACATGTTTCGGAACATTTTTGAAGTTATAAAGCATAGGCCGCAAAACGCGTCATCGCCGTGAGAGTATGAATTGGTGTAAAGTCTCCAGGCTCCAAGGGATCTGATTTTAACTGGCCATTTAGATACATCCGCGTGAGTGCATTTGATACAAAAAATTTGCTGTTCTTAGGTCCTTAGGATTTGCAGATAAAATAATCGAAAATACGAATCGCTCCCATCAGCGGCAGAGCTCCCTCTAGTTCTTTCACAAGCAGCGCGCGAAATTCATTTTACTGGCGCGAGCTTTCAATCGACGTGGAGTATACAAGTTACTGGACTCATCTCGCTTTGGAGTCTCAAAGTTTCGATCTGAAACAACGTAGAATTTGAAGAGCAATTATTATGTGAGCTCAATTTTTCTCATCGAGTTTTTCGAGTGTTGTTTAGGACCGTTCATACTTTTTTCTCTTCAAATACATCGGACACTATAGTCAACTTTCTCGAGTTGATCTTTTTGTAGGATCGAATATTTATTCACTATATAGGACAAAAAGAGTGTTCAACAACTCAATTACCTCATATAAATTTTTATGAAAACTATTCGAATATTGGGCTTTGATTTTCTACGAAAAAAATTCATCTGAGTTCAATTTACAAGACAAGTACGAAAAATGATATGATTGCCCAACTACTGTTAGTAAACACTGTCAACAAAAGTGTATGTATACTGTAGAATTAGTAGTTTATTATGGTTATAGCTTTCGATTTGAAACGTGTGTTTCTTGTATCTAGATTAATAATTCAGTAATAAATGTTAGTTGGTGAGTATCCCAAACTTTTAATTAATTTTTAAATTCCATTTTTACTCGTGATTACTGGTTTGAAAGTCACAAAATTTACGTTTTCATCAGTTTCAATAACATTTCCGGATACTCATCTTTATTGATCAACCGAAAACAATGGACCAAGATCAAAAAAACGACGTGAATGGCATGTGCCAAAATTCAATCACAACTCAAAAGAGTGTGACTAGACGTTTTACAATAGTTTTCGAAGGAAGAAGAGACACCTACGAATATCAAATGTACCCAGAGACGTCTGCGATTGAACAGAGCTCGACAAAACAACCCGATACCATCGAAATACGAAAAGACCACGAATGTGACGTGTGTCAAGAAGCATTTAGAACTAATCAGTATTTGACAAAACACAAAAAATTAGTTCACGAAGTGCAAAAAGACTACGTATGCGACGTGTGCTCAAAAGCGTTTTTAACTAATTGGAACTTAAAAAATCACCACAAAACCATTCATGAAGGACGAAAAGACTTTGTATGCGACGTGTGTCAAAAAACATTTGCAAGAAATCACAGCTTACAGACCCATCACAAAACTGTTCACGAAGGACGAAAAGATCACATTTGCGACATATGCCAACAAGCGTTTACATCAAAACAGCACTTAGAAACTCATCGCAAAAGTGTTCACGAAGGACGAAAAGACTACATATGTGATGTGTGTCAAAAAGCATTTTCACAAAAAATCCATTTGACGAGACACCAAAAATTAGTTCACGAAGGACGAAAAGACTACATATGTGATGTGTGTCAAAAAGCATTTGCAAGAAATCACAGCTTACAGACCCATCACAAAACTGTTCACGAAGGACGAAAAGACTACATATGTGATGTGTGTCAAAAAGGGTTTACAATAAAGAGCAGCTTAACACGTCATCGTAGAGTAGTTCACGAAAAACAAAGAGATCACATTTGCGACGTATGTCAAAAAGCATTTCGAAGTAAACATAATTTGACAGATCATAAAAAAAGAGTCCACGAAGGACGAAAAAATCACGTGTGCGACGTGTGCCAAAAAGTATTTTTACAATTATGCAATTTGACGGATCACCAAAGATCAGTTCATACAGGAAAAGACTACGTATGCGACATTTGTCCAAAAGAGTTTACATCAAAACAGAATTTATCACTTCATGTCAGATTATTTCACGAAGTACGAAAAGACTACATATGCGTCGTGTGTCAAAAAGCGCTTACAACAAGTCAGGACTTAACATTTCATCTCAGAACAGTTCACGAAGGAAAAAAAGACTACGTATGCCTCGCTTGCCGAAAGACGTTCGATACGAAATATATTTTCGAGGCTCATCGATTATTACACCACACAAGCTAAAGGGACAAGGTGTAACTTGTGTCAGAAATCATTTACCTAACATCCTATAGGTATAGGCTTCAGGTCCGAACTAAGATGTTTCAAAGCGTTTGAAGAGAAAAGTAATGTCTAAAAATAATACGTAAACTATTTTAACACAAAATTACCAATAAATTAACATATCGAACAAACGAGATGCTTGTCATTTTTATTTTATTTCACCTCTAAAATACAATGTTTATAGGTTAAATCAAAAAAGTAATTGTATAAAAAGTTTTCATCATTTTTTTTATGAATGGGAAGTACACTTTTTGTATGAAGAGATCTGTAGTATCAGCCGGCCATTTATGAGGTTGGCTCGCATTACCCCTATCAGTAAGTGATTTTTTATTAAAAATATAAAGTATGTTTGGTAGTAGAAATTACACGCTCGTAAATATATACCGATAAATTTTTACATGCTTCTATAATAACACTTCCTCAACTATAGGGCATTATACATAAATATATCTGTAAATTGATAACTTAATTCGCATTATAATATCGCGCGCTATAATATCGTCACCTTGATTACAAAACAGTCGATTTGAATCGTGAGAAGTAAATATCGTATAGGCTACCTACATGCATACCCGCTATTGACTGGAGTGAACTGTTTATTTACACGATCACATGAATAAAAAGAGAGCGCAGGCCGTCGACGACAATTATACACGCACAATAATAATATCGTCGTTTAGCGCGTCAGCTGTTGAGGGGGCGGTGCTCCTCTCCCTTTCTCTCATTGGCGTCTATTACGTTTGGCTCGATTAATTTAGTGTTATCGAGAATTTCGTGTTATCGGTATGATTTCGTCGATCTCGAAGGAGAAGTGCGCGCGCCGACGTTCGGCGCATATTGCCTTACTGTACACTATATATATGTATACACGAGACTATGTTGATCGATGGTGCAGAGTACAGATGAACTCTTATCGTCGCAAGAGTCGCGCGCGCGCGCACACACACACACGTATCGTGCTATATAATAATACCGTATATACTTGCGGCACGCACTTGGACTCGCAGAAGAAAATCGTATACAACATTAACTGTTCGAACTGACGGGGGTCTATTGGCCGACGCGATCGTCAATACTCGCAGTGTCGATCGAAAGCCCGAGTCGAGAGCAACGCAGCAGCAGCATATTAACTCGTCGCTCGTGTCTCTCTCTCTCTCTCTCGTGTTTCTCCCACGACAATCAGCGTGCGATACTCTCTTCGTCCTCGCGTCATCGCGCGCCTCTCCGGCTGTCTATCTCGCATCGACTGCATCATACTCACACGCGCAATTACACATATACGTCATCGTCGTCGTCTTTGTCGTCGTCGTCATGCTGTTGGTCGTTGCAACGGCGATCTTTTGCATCGTCGCCGGCTCGCTCAGCTGCGATCCGGTCGCGGCCTCGTTCCACCCGACCAATTTCCACGAGCTGCAGCAGCTGCATCAGCATCAGCACCAGCATGAGAAGAACAACGATCACGACGAGTACTGGAGGCAGAGGGCGAGGATACTGCAGAGCGAGGAGAAGAAGATGCTCGGCGGTGACATGAGCTTCGAGCGCAACGAGAGGCTGGCTAATAAGCTGCTGATGGACGCCAAGACCAAGGAGATCGACGACGGTCGGTGTAATATTTTACGAATCTTTTTTCTCTCCCATCTCGACGATAAACCAATTTGAAATATTTTTTTTTTCACGCAGGCTTCCGAGACCCCAAGCAATTTCTGCCGGCGCAGAGCTTCCTGCGAGCCGCCAGCTCGATACGCAAGTCGCCGGTCTTCCAGATAATCGAGGACATGCCCAAGGGCGCGGTGCTGCACGCCCACGACACGGCCATCGTCTCGTCCGAGTACGTGTTCTGGAACATCACGTATCGGCCGAATCTGTACGTGTGCGAGATCGACGGCCAGCTCAAGTTTCACTTCTTCGCGCCGGGCGACGCGGCGCACCGGCCCGGCTGCGACTGGACCCTGCTGCAGGAGATGCGCAAGTACGACCAGCACAGGACCGTCGACTACAGAATCGCCCAGCAGCTGACGATGGTCACGAGGAACGCCGAGCAGGCCTACGCGAACGTCGACGAGGCCTGGAGCAAGTTCATGTCGATCTTCATCTTTCTCGGCCCTATGCTCACCTACAGGTACGTGATATGGTGGACATCTGCTTACGAGAGCGTTTGGATCCACGAGCTTTTTTCAGTTTCGTGAGATTGAAGAGTGAAAAATTTCTGATAATAAATCCAGAGCAGTTTGCGTCTGCCGAAACTCAAAAAATCGCAACTGACTTTATTTTAAAGTTTTTAAAAATTTTCTCGAAGAGCTGTACAGAAAGCTATACTTGTATTTTCATTAACTAGTTACAAGCTTCTTTTTCTATATATTTTTTCGTTCGAGGTGTTCCTTTTCAAGATAAAAAATCGAAACGATCAAACATTTGGTTATATTTAGACTTTAATTATTCGAAAAAATTGTTTATCATCACGTTTTCGAATTTCGAGATTGTTTATCTCTAAAAGTAACGACTTGAACGAAAAGAATGCAAAAAACAAACAATTTTTTGAATTGGTCGAAGAATACGAGTGAATTTTTTTCAATTAAAAAAAAAAGAAGGATTTTGGTACTTGATCACGATTGTTTTTTGGCACTCGGAGTCGAGATCTAATTGTTGCTCATTATATCGATCAAAATGGCTCGATGTCTATTGAATTTTAATTTCATAGATATTTGTTTTAATCCCACAGACCAGTTTTCGAGGACTACTTTTACCAAGGACTGCTGGAATTTTATAACGACAATATCATCTACTTGGAGCTTCGCACGGTACTGCCGACGCTCTACGATCTCGACGGCAAGCAGTACGGACCGATCGAGGTGGCTCGAATTTACAAACAAGTCGCCGATAGGTATGTACTCGAAAAAGTTGTAAACTAATCGTAAAAATCGTAGTCTAAAAATAAGGTAATGCTCGATTCGATTGTTGTATTTCGCGTATCACCCGAAACGATCGAGTTAATTGCCCCTCCGAAGATCGATCGAGCAATGCTCAAGAGTTACTTCGACAATCTGCAATCTCGTAGTTGTAAGTGCGTGTGTTTATTTGTCCATCGGAGATAAGCAGCCCAAATTTACCTGCAACTTTACGATCGATAAACAACTTACTTATTTATTTCATAATTTTTGTGCGTGTCTCACGTAGATTCTGCCGCGATTATCCGGACTTCGTCGGCGTCAAGCTTATCTACGCGCCGCTGCGCAACGTACAGGAGCGCCAGCTCGAGGAATTCCTCTCGACGGCTCGCGAGCTCGTGCGCGAGCTGCCCGACTTCGTGGCGGGCTTCGACCTGGTGGGCCAGGAGGACAAGGGCGTGCCCCTGGTGGAGTTCGCCGAGCAGCTGCGCGGCCTCGGCAACGCGTCCGCCACGCCGGTCCATCTGTTCTTTCACGCCGGCGAGACCAACTGGTACGGCACGAGCACCGACGAGAATCTCCTGGACGCGATTCTCCTCGATACCAAGAGGATAGGCCACGGCTACGCCGTGCTCAAGCACCCCGAGCTGCTGGAGATGATACGCGAGAAGGGGATCGCCATCGAGGTGGCGCCCATCTCGAATCAGGTGCTGAGCCTGGTCAAGGACATGCGCAATCATCCGGCGGCGGCGCTGTTCGCCGGCGACTATCCCGTGGTCGTGTCGAACGACGACCCGGGCCTGTGGGGCGCGCAGGGCCTGAGCTACGACTTTTACGAGGCGTTCGTCGGCATAATGTCGCGCAACGCCGATTTGAGGGCCCTGAAGAAGCTTGCCCTCAACTCCATCAACTACTCGAGCATGACGCAGGACCAGAAGATCCGAGCTATGGACATCTGGAGGCGCAGGTGGGACGCCTTCGTCGCCAGGTTGATCGAGTCGATGATCAACCGCAAGTGAGAGAAAGTGACGGTGCTTCCGTGATGTGCTTCAGTGATATATTTCCTTATGCGACTGTTTTTCTCTATAATATTCGAGTTTATCGCGAGCAAAGTAAGCGAAGATGCAAAGCAACTGAGCACTGCATTGCTCGCAATGAAATTGACAACGCGACGGCCGGGCTTTCGAAGCGAGCGATTTAACAATCGATACCGCGGCGGATTTCGATGTGTACAGACGATTTTAATTTTTATACTTTTGTAACGATTGTTATAATAATTTTGCATTCGTATGATCGAAGAGCAGTGACGGATGCGCTATCATCTAAAAATAATTTTTACGTTTATAATGATTTTTCTAGTCCCGGTATACCGATACGCGCGGTGCGTACGCAACTGCACGATACGCGTATCATTGTCGTATGAACATTCGATTGATGAATGAGATGAAGAAAATTGTTCTAATTTTTATTTATTAAATTATTTTTGTAATTTATTGTATAGAAATAAAGAGAAAAAAACGACAGAATATCGTCGACAAGTTAATCATTGATTTTTATATTTTAATACTCCAGGAGCTCTCTGAAATCGAAGTGATATAATTCACTGTAAGTTACGCGATAAACGACTCATTCTCTCGACTTGACTCAACCACGCGAGAGGGAACTTATTATTCCCGAGAATACGTCGTGTATTTTTTGTATTTTACCAATCAGCATTAATAATTATTCATTTTGAAAACAAAAGCGACTGCCATACGTATGAGTCCAGCGCGCAAAGGCCTTTCATTATTGCCCATTTAAATGGATATATAAATAAGCTCGTTACGCGTATGCACGTGACGCGACGATTTCTCACACACACACACACACACACAAGTACGCATTTGCTCTCGGCTTTTTCAAGAGCAAGTTCAATTAAATCGTGTAGCTTATATGATTCGCTGCGTCTCGCGCGCACAAAAGCCACACGGCCGTGAACCGGCTCGAGTTTTATTATATGCTATATGTTTACACGAGGCCAGGACGAGAGGAGGTTTGGGTTAATTTGGGAGCGGAAGAGATGTGTGAAATGAAAAAAATTGATAAAACGTTCGATGTGTTATTGTTATGACACAGAAAAATTTTATTCCACTTTTTGTTACCAGCCGAAGTCCAAAGGTCAGTCGAAACGTGTGATCACAGATGAGGGTGAGGAGTCGTGCGGTTGTCCTCGTTACATTTTTTACCGTGGCTTATAATTTTGCTAAATAATCAACGCTGTCGGTTCTCAGCAAGTATTGCTTGATTTTACTCATTCCCGAGAGTCTATTGGAAGTAGAAATAAAAAAGTACACACAAGTTCAAAAAACATGGCAAAAGCAAAATTGGTAAAATGAAAAATTGAGCATATAATAGTTACCTCCGATCGGCCGTGTCGGCACCCCGTCGTTTTCTTCGATATTTATCCGGTTGTACGCTGCTTCCATCGCTCAATACTAGCCTCGATGCAAGAGCCGTTGATTTTCCGGGCGGACTGGTCGTTCCTGACGGTAAATTCATCAAAACGTAATCCTTGCCTTGTCGGTTCTCTTTCGATTTGCGCCGAACGTTCAGATCCAACGACACGACGATTTCGTCGAACGCTTGACCGATTTGTTCTAACGAGAAGAAATAATAAAAAAAACATTACGTCGAGGTTTTTTGTAATCGTGCACACAAAAGTGAGTTATGTAAGGTACGAATTAAACTACTTACGGTTACTTTTCTTTTGTTGACTTTGGGCATTGACATTGACGGTTATTGAAGCCAAAACGAGTATGAAGCAAGCAAGTAGTATGTGTTTCGTCATCTTTTCTTTTTAGGGGTTTCCGAATCAACAATTTTGTATTGCTGCTTTCTTAATAAAAGTGAATAATTGCCAAACTAAATTTCTGGAAACAAAAATCAAAACCACACAAAAAAACCATGAGTATCGTCATTTTAAAGATGCATGCGTAAGATGTATTGTTCTCTTATCATCGACACTGCAATGAACTCATCATCACTTCTGTATTTTTTTTTTATAATTGTAAAACTGATAACTTTGAAGCGGAAAGAAGAGAGAGAAGCAGCTTCACAAAGCAAAATCGATATTTGACGAATTCGCTTTTGCTGCTTTGCACATAATGTAATAATCAAACAATTTATTGACGCATGCACGAAATATGTCAAAGATGAGATTGTTAAAAAAATAATAATAATAAATAAAACCATATGCAATAATAGCTTTATGTACCTATATATAGTCACGAATCAAAGTTAGCGAGTTAGTTTCGAAATTGCGCGACGCGCTCGAATTTTGCGCGTCCGATCGGTGGCCTGGCTCGTTCGGTACTGCGAGAGCAGCCTTCGATCTCTCCAACGTCGACGGGGAGAAATACGCGGAAAGCAAAAAAAAGCAATATATGCTAAATCAATTTATATACGCGCCTCTCTCGTGATTCGAGTCGCAAGATGATTAATCGCGAAGCTGTAACCGCAGCAGCAGTGACAGCGGCAGCTTGTATGCTTTAATGCGCAGAAATACGCAACGCGTATGGTGCAAAAATTGACTCGCTCGATCTATCAAAATGTGAAAGTTCGTCGATTGATAATGATGCAAATTTTATAGAAAGTTCCGATGGTTTTGCTACACGAAACTTGAAGCGTAAACGACGAACAAATAAAACAGCTTGACTCTCGAAATTACTTGATTAAACGCGTGAATTTAATCGAAAACTCGTGACACGCATTGTCTAACAAAAAAAAAACAAGAAAACAATTAAATGCTCGGACGTTTAGACAATGAATTCACCCCTCCGAAAAAAAACATGGCACACAGTTAGCCACGATGTAAACAACAACAATAACAACAACAACACAAAGCATCAGCGTAATTCCACACCGCATGCGACGCAGAAGGCAATCACCCCCTCCAATAACTCTATATGTGGCGCTGTCGGTGGCAGCGGCGACGGCGTTGTTCTACCCCACACTTACAAAGATATTTAATTTTTTTTTTTTTTTAATTAAAGAAAATATTTATAAACGAGTTAAAACTCATTCGATGTTCAATTTTTACGGCAAGTTAATAACAACAACAAAAATTCACTTGACTTGTATTTTTTCACTGTTTCATTACCGATCTGTTAGCTCGATACATGAAAAAATAATAATAAAATACCGTACTTAAAATAACCGAGATTTTGCACTTATTATGGACTCCGAGTCGAGCCTCCGTAAATCTTACTGCTCAGGGTTACGTCGATGGAAAGTTCCTTTGTTCACTTGGTGCTATGGAGCGCGCGAACGGGGCCGCAAGCGCCTCTTTTATTCCGACGAACGGAAATTTCACTTTAGCTTGTACTCTCAGCTTTTTTCTCTCTCACGATTTTATATTTATATAATTGTTGTTTGCTGCGACGATTTAAAATGTTTTATGGTCGCGCGTATTATATGCACAACGAGCGAAAGTCGTTTCGAGAGACAAGATAATCGTATACACTCTTTGCGTCAACGATAGGGAGGAGAAATAAAAAAAATTAATAATCAGAATGTTGCACTGTGAAAATACGATCGAACGGTCTTGAATCATTCGCGAGTACGTAGAGAGCGATGCAAGCAGATGTTACGCGGAAATCAAGTTATTTAATTTTTTTTTCTATTTTTTAACGGATTACACTTAAAAACTTTAGTTTTAACTATTTCAAGATGTACCCACCGATTGTATTGTTCACACAAAATCCAAAATAAAAAGTATTTCTCACCAATGATAAGCTTTGAAACAACAACAACAACAAAATAAGACAGATCAAGAAGGTGAGCGACAAAACAGAGAAGAGGCACAGCTGAGAAGATGATCTCGAGCAGCGCTGCTGCGGAGAGTGTCCATCACCGACGCTGCTGCAGCCCGCAAAAAGGCCTTCGCATGTACACCAAGTCTCTGCGTGCGTGCACGTCAGAAAAAGATGATCGCGCGACGGTTGATGAAGTATATTAAAATAATAATTCGCACTGGATCTTCTATTTTCTTTATCTCTGCTTTCCCGAATACGTGCGTTGTTATTTTTTGCGACCAAATATGCCAAACTCGCAAAAAAAAGAAGAAGAAGATGAAGAAGATAATTGAGAAAGCAGGAGGAAGAGACAGAAGAAAAAAAACCACACTCAAGTAGAATTGTTGTAAATATATATAATTTGCGCGCACCAATATTGGCAAAAATCACCTCCACACTGATATCGATCTTCTCTCCTAATCATTGCTTGCGTGAATTATCATTAGTATTATTGTACGTGGTTTAAACGCGATTTTTTTACGTTGCCTCGTTGTTATTTTTCTTTTACTATTTAATTAAAAAAATTGATTATTTAACCGCGAGTTTTATTTATATTATTATTCATAAAATAAAGGTTAGTTGAGTAAATTGCTTTACAAGATTATGATAAACGATTAATTATTGCTACAGTAGCAGTTGGTGTTACAATAAATTATATATAAATAAAAAGGCCAAAAGCAGAGGAGCGCTCGGGCTCGACTCCGCTCTCCTTTTTTCTGTTTCTGTTACCCGCGGGGAATTGCACACTTACCGAAATTAAAAAAAAAATATCCGCGGAGAGGATATATACGTTAACGAGTCGACAACCGCACGAGAAATGCGAGCACAATAGGTCGGTCGACCAGGTCGAAGCCCACCAGTTTTGCTGCTGCCGCTGTAGTATACGCTGCAATGTTATGGGCAGCCGCCGCCGCCGCCGCCGCCGCCGTCACCGTCGAGCGCCGCACGCAGTTCGTTCACTCGCCCAAAGCTACGTGCACATTTCGTATTTTCCTTCTCTTTTTCTCTCGCTTACTCCTTTTTCTCCTCCTACCTCCTTACCGATGCTCCGAAATGTCGCTCTCTCTCTCTCTCTCGCACGCACAGACACACACACACACTGCTTCGTTTATGCACCGCCGCTTCTTCTTCTTCCTTTTCTTCTCTTCGGACTCGTCCTTTTCTTTCTCTCTCTCTCTCTTTCTCTCGGTATAGGCCGGTGTATTTGGTGTAAAGGAGACGAAAGATACGGACGAAGAAGTGGGGGGGCTTAAAAGGACTGAAAGGCTGCAGTGCGGCGAAGGAAGGAAAGGTGTGCTCTCTCTCTCTCTCTCTCTCTCTCTCTCTCTCTCTCGCTTCCCCCCTCCCACCTCTCTCATTCTTGCTCTCTCTCCCCAAGGTGCATACAGAGAGGATGATGTATACTGCAGGTTACACACACAGACACATAGGCGCAGGTAGGGTAGCTATATATATTTTCAGCAAAGGATTTTGTTCCTCGAGTGTCCGAATGTAAAAAAGGGGGGAGGGAGGCTACTTATAATACCCACCGCCATCGCGCGCCACTTGCCTCTGACTTTGGCAGCTCTGCGGCGTCCTGCTGCAGGACTCAGGCTGCACATTATCCTGTACATCCTGCAATTTTCTCGTGATCTTGGGCACTTTTTTGGCCCTAGGATTTATCGTGTTATTTTGTTTTATCAAAACATTCGTCTCAATTATTAAGTAGGATTTCTTTAATTGTTCTCGTTAATAATCGATCTCATTCTGTGTGGCCTAGACACCTTGGTCAACAAAGCGATTCGAGCGAAATCATAATTTAATTATATACCAATGATTCGAATTAGAGAAGCATATTTAATCTTTTAATATTTAATTGTTGTCTGGATAGCATGAGCGAATCTTTCGAGTTATATTTGCGAAAACGATAAGCGCGCCTCGCGACATATCTCCCCGCATGTTTAAAAATGACCGATTCGATAATAAAATAAAAGAGACAAAATACAGCATACTTGACAGCGTGTATTTAGGCTTCTCAAACTCAAATACGATCTCGAATCTTACGTAATATATATCCACTCTATTATTGTCGTGTTTGCAGAAGAAGGATCGTTCAAAATTCGATACCTGGCGCAAAACTTCAGCGCGCGTCTTGGGCATCGCTTGCGCACTCGAGGGAGTCGCTGAATTATAGCTCTTTGAAGAAGGGTACAATTTTGTTCCTTTTTAAAAACTCGCAAAGAGTAAGTGCAGTCAAAAATAGAAAATATTTGTTGGATCATTTCACAGTGGTGCAAGTAGAAAAAGGCTACTACATCAGAAATGTTGATGGTGATTTTGCGTTCTCCTGGAACAAAAGGGCCGCGCAGCAGCGGCAACTGCAATTGCTATACATAGTCGTCGTCAACACACACGCACACACGCACATACATACCAGTAATATAAGTAAAAAAAAGAGAGATTGCCCCGTGTAAGTAGTATACGCTTATTGGTGTGTGCAAGTATGTGTGTTGCATCCCCGTGCTTGCGTGGTCAGCTTAAAGGGTTAGAGGCGAAACTGCAGAGATCGGTAGGTAGGTAGGTACGAGAGACTGCACTCGCTTCGGCGGGCGCATCCTCTCCTCTCTTTCTTTCGTTTCTTTCGTTTCTTTCTCTCTATACCCCTCATTATGTTGCATATATACCGACACAAGTACGCGCATATCTGTGTGAGTGTGTGTGTGTGTGTGTGTGTGTACGCGCGCACATAAACACGCGAGATGTGCACCGGCTGGACCACTTTCTACTTCATCCTTTTTTAGCAGGCAGCAGCGGCATTTCGTTCGTTGCAATGCACGTAGTGTATATACTACTACACGCACACGTATACACACTCACACACACATACTTATACACCGTAGCGTCTTCAGAAAGCAGAATCATCGTCAAGCGCAGCATCGAAGGACTGGTTTTTTCGACCCGATGATCTGGCCTTTACTTGCATTCGTGTGTATGTACGTGCGTGTATATTGGTGTACACTTAGGCGCACATACCCTGACACATACACGCACGGCACAGACACACGTGGACACACGCACGTACAGTACGGTGCATACAAGAGTCTCCGTAACGAGAGATGCTGCTATATATATATAGGTAGTGCAAGGCACAAATAAAGACTGTAAGTGTGTATGTATGTGTATGTGTGAGTAGAAAGAGATAGCGAAAGAGAGAGAGAGAGGTGTCCCCTGAAGCAAAAATTTTTTTGCATTATGCTAATGCTCGGACAAAGGGACGAGTCCTGGAAAAACAATTGGCCTTTTTTTCGCAACGTGTGAAAGATCCCAACCCCCGTATACACATTCGGCACATAGTTCACGTATATATCTATTTGCGTGTCTCTGTGTATGTGTGTATTTGTAAAATACACACATACACACGTATATTTATAAGTATAAGAGATATGCAGTCGTGGTGGTATACAGTCATCGTCGCGTCGCCTCGCACGCTCTTACTTACCTCTTTTGCCATGCGGCTGTTTACTCGACGCTTCTTCTTCTCTACTTCTTCTTAG